GTAAATAAAAAGAATCATATATTTCAGAATTATTTAAGACCTTAGAACACGAAAGTAAATGATATTTAAGTTGAATACATTAGTCTGCACTCAAGGTCAACTTTAAATGTGATTTAAATAGACGAATTGTCTAAAAAACTTTAAAGTAAAACTATTGTAAGTACATTTTGGACCTAGTACGCTATAATAGTCGATAAAAACAGTTTACATCCGTTAACCTTCCGTACATGTGCCCCGCACTTTATTTCCCTAGCTAGGGGGAGTTAAGTGGGGGTTATTTGCGGCTATTCCAATTATAGGCCTTATGAAATACTTGTCTTGCCGGGTGTCGATTTCGCGGATACCGCAATATCGACGACGATGCGATAGGCGATTGGAATTTTCGTTGTGAATCAGCCTTAAGCATAAGCGGCGCGTTTTTAGCGTTTCGTCATCATACATGTAGATACAAACGCAAATGATAGAATAAGGTCTGATGTCTGTGGTAAGGTCACGCAACAGTGTTCGCTGTTGCACGAATGGGCAGGCCCGTCTGGGTTAGTACCACGACCTCACAGAAGAACGGTGTGAAATGTTACAGTTCTACGTTTCGTCTGGTGAGTGAGGTAGCCGGGGCCCACTTTATTAAAAGTTGGCAACGCATCTGCAACAACTGGGTGTTTCAAATGTCCGTCAACAAATCAGGTGAACCGCCTGCTCTTTCACATAAAAAAAAATCTAAACGATGAGTCAATCGAAGGAGGGACTTGGATGCGAACGACAAAAGTTATGTAAATGCATACACAAATCTAAAAAAAACATTTCTAATCATATGGTGGATAAATTGTTTCAGGGATCATATTAATTACTACTACAATTGTTTTCTATTCATGCAAGTTTCTTACATAAATGTCATATGCGAAAACCTTTTCATTTTTCGCTCCTCTCATCAGTTAGGCCGCATGATAAGGCGTCTCACGCCTCTTAGTGGCGTAAAGAATGGCAGATATAGCGGCAGCTCAAGGTTTTTAAATTCAGTTCAGGGATCTTCATTGGAGGAACTTTTCATTTATTAGATTTCTATTATATCTGAACAACTTCTTTTAAGAATAATCAGTGAGAGAGATGTTGAAATGGGTATTAAAGTTATTTACGTGTCACACTTAGACACTGCTGGTACTAAGTGTATTTTTCAGAGAGTACAGACGTGTTCCCATACATATAGGAACTGATCCTAACAAGAAAACATAACAAGAAAATTTATTTTCTAAAATAATCCCATTTCGGAGGGATTATTTGAATGAGGTGTATTACAAAACCTTAAAGTAACTAAATTCTAGCCTCGTTCTTCGTCTTCGCAACTTCCGGATTATTCGTTTAGAGTTCATGAAATATTTAAAATATATAGCATAGATAGCATGAAACATTACTAATGAGACATTGGTTAATTTCATTTTAGTAAACTGCTAATAACTTTTACGAATTAAATAAGAATTGTTTTAAATACTGTAAGAATATTAAATGAACTTCTAATGAAATATTTAAAATGTCAATATTTAGCTTTTTCATTGAAGTAATTGACATGTCTGAAATAAAAGGAGGACCTAAGCCTTTTTTAATACATATTAAAGAGATGATGTTGGGCGTTGTAAGCCACGCCCTTTGGCTACGTGGCGGCGAAGTAATAACCACCATCTAGGATTAATTTAACGGCCATCCCAGACGCTAACATTGTTACTAACCTATTAAAATTACTGTCTACATCTGTTGATTGCGGCCCTTGAGCGACAGAAGAGAATATTGTCTGTTTACTTCGTGTAGATTTCACTTTCTGTCTTCTCTATGAGGGTAGAAACCACCAGAGGTTACCCTAATCATTACTCAGGCTATCGAATCTTTTTTCCGTTTTTAAAAAAGTTAGCCTGAACTGGATTGCAATACAGTTTTATCGCATACAGTACAACATAAGTATACTTAATTAACCAGCAATGTTTTTATTGTATAAAATCGTTGGCGAATGTGATAGATTCCAAAGCTAAACGTCTGTTTAGTGTCACTATTACTAGTGTACACAATTGTAAAATAAAAGGGATAACAGGGCTCTCTTCAACCGACTTCAAAAAAGGAGGAGGTTTCTCAATTCGACCCTATATATTTTTTTATGTGTGTTCGGGGATAACTTCGTCATTTATGAACCGATATTGATGATTCTTTTTTTGGTTTTTTTGTTCGGCTGCGTTCCCAGACAGTGATATAACCACTGTAAGTGCTGCATGTCGTTATATTAATTGTTAATATTCAAGTTCAGTATAGTTAAAATATTAGGATCAAGGTAAAAACGTTAGAACTCTTATACATATATATATACAGCGTGTCAATCATTTATTGTCGCGATGGTAACGCCACGCTGTATATATATATGTTATCTTTATAAGCGTGTCTATTTTTCATAACTATTTGCCTTTGTTTTATGCTTTAGCTGTGCTAATACCGCGCTAGATTAAAAAAAATGCCAAAATTAGTCAATAATCAAGGAGGAGCAATAAGCAACCTTATCGCCGGATCAATTACTATGATAATGTAATTAGTATAAATAATTATGTACTTAGAGTAATAAGTGTAAACAATATCATTTATATACATAGTAGTTTAGTTACATAGTAATGGGAACAGTCGAGGGGTTTTTTAAAATTTAAACTAAGATAGGTAAGTAGAGAATCTCATGTACTTGATACTAAGACTATAGTTTTTTTATTTATTTTACTTTGTGAAAAATTGTCAAGCGAGTAGGCGATTCAACCTATGTTAAGTAAATACCGCCGCCCAATTTTCAAAAGGTTGTCAACGCATCTGCAAACCCTCGAGTGTAGCAGATGTCCACGGGCGATGGTATTCACTTAACATCAGATGAACCACTTGCTCGAACCACCTGCTTATCATTTTCTTAAAAAAAAAAAAACATGGACGTATGCAACACTAGAGGGCTTGAAGAAACGAACGAAGAAACGACAACTTGCCTTACTTAAAATAAAACAAATTCTAATTTTTGGTTCATGTGTACTATACTGATGAGTTGCGCCCGGAGTACTTTAATATTAATTGAACTACTTAAATACTACGAAAGTAATTTATTGCGAGTTTATAATAGCCGACTTGTGGTTGAGCCAAAACACGTGTTTATTTAAGACGGAAAACATCTTAAGGTACCTTGAAAGTCAGGTTTGATCAGTTTTTAACCCTCCTACCAGATTTAAATCCAAATAGCCAGTAAGATATGCTTCCTACTGTAATCTTAAACGTTGCATTTAAAACACACTTCGTGCACGCCAAATACAAATAAATATATCGAAAGATATTTGCTTAATATATTTTAATCTCGCTTCATCGAAGCAACATATATATTTAAACATCCATGTAAAAATACTTAAAATGTACATAGCAATGGTATACATATAACAGTGTAAGATTCTAAAAATAAAAATGTCTTCAGGTGACCCTTTTCTTAGGATTTGACATTAGTATGACAATTTCCACTTTGGTATGAGAACTTTCTCTCTTCGGTTGATAAAAGCGTCGATCGTTGCGGTCTAGAGGTACTAGAAGTTTATCGTACCAGCCGTACCTGAAATAACATCATCACTGCCCTGCATTGTCTGTTGTTGCTTTTATATTTAAGTTACTAGCTGAACACGGCCACACTGTGCGACTCCCATACAGATACCCCACAACGGATTTATATAATAAAAGCAGTGTGCTAACCATAAGGAAATTATATATCTTCCAGACAATACGTAAATACCACCAAGGTATCAAAGGCATATATCCTTTGAATCAGAAGACGATACTCAATACCTGGCTTTAAGACCACATTCGCCAAAAGGAATTATGATTACAATGCTCTTTCACTATACAATAAGTTCAACCGCAATAATAAAATGGAACATCTTAACAGGCATTATATAAAAGTCAAATTACTTAATTGGTTACACAATTTTGACTACCATTTAACCGAAAACTTATTTGTGACCCTACGACTGACTCACTATGACACACACACACACACGCACACACACACACACATACACATACATGCACGAACACACAGAGGCTAAGTTAATGTAAATCCTGTGATGTATTGCTTTTGATCTTTTTGTATAATTTAGTTTTAGTTTTAATTTCCTGATTTTTTAATATTTTTAAACCTATGTTTCAAAACCCATATTTTTTTTTTGAAACATTTTCTTTTTTATTATTTTTCTTTATATTTTTTATTTTATTTATTTTGTGTTTATTTTCATGTTCTTACAATATCAATGAGTGAAAACTATGAGGGGAAGACACTGTAGTCTGTAACACAGTTGTAAACTATTGCAGGGCTTCTAATGACTACATGTTTTTCACTTTTTTGTACCCAATAAAATCATTATTATTGGGGATATTTCTTTGTTTACTCGTCAGGTTGGGTTTATGGATAAAAAATAAACATGTAGATATATATTGCATATATAAAATAAATATTATGAATAAAAATAAACATATAGATTTAAATATTGTATATAATACATATATAAATAGGACCCAACCAGACGGAAGCCCTCGGCAGGGGAGACCAAACGGCCGAGGGTTAGGGTGAAAGGGAGAAAAACCGGCGGACGATGCGGGCGGTATCGAGGAGCACCGCTTTCTGCATTAGAGCTTGGAGCGTTCCGTCCTGAAGTCCCAGTGGCCTCAGGTATCCGGAGAGCCTGACTGGGATCAACCCATTCGCAGATACGACTATTGGGATAATTCCGGCCGGCACACCAACCCACATGTCGTGAGCCAGATCCAGATACTTCGTCTTCTTATCTGTTTCGGCTTTCACGTCATATGGAATGGTAATGTCGACCAAAAATACCCGCGACTGTGCCCGGTCCATCAACACTCTTTCATTCACCTTTACATTTATTTTTCGACAACCAAATCTGAAGTGCTTGGTCTTTAACTTACTATTTTGACGGCCATTCGTAATTCTTTACTCACGTCTGGTTTGAGGTGGCCGGTTCTGGGTATTTGCTGCGTGGCCCCTGCGCCCTCGTCTGTGATACCTTATCAGTGTAGTTTTCGACCTTCTGCGCCTGTTCTACACTCTCCTTTAGTGCATCGTGCGCCGCGTAAGCCTTGCCAGTCACCGGGATCGCTATATAAAAAAATCGTATGGTGCAGCACCTGGATTTACTTTTATAAGTTTTGCGTTACATGCAACAATTTCCTATTTCCAACTAATCTTTCTTCAAATTAGTTTTTCTTTACTTAAATAATTATACATATATATATATATATATACTAGCTGCTGCCCGCGACTACGTCTGCGTAGAGGGGTGAAAATTTTGGGTTGTATGTATTTTTGTATGCTGTGTCATAAAAAAATAGAAACAAAAAGTTTTATATATAATATTTGGTAAAAAGCATATAAAATTTGGTAAAATCGGTCGAGCCGTTTCGGAGGAGTTCAAGTTCGAACCCCGTGACACGAGAATTTTATATATTAGATAACATATATATAGCAATCATAATATCGGAGCTCGGAGTTCACTCAGAGATCTTTTTAAAGAGATTTATATACTCACTGTTGCTACTCAATACATTTATTGTAATGTTTTGTATATTCGTCATAACCTTAATTATTACCTAAAGAATAGTAACAGACATAAATTAAACACTAGAAATAAGGACAAACTTACTACGCCATTGTTTCGCCTACAAAAAGTAAATAGGTCGTTCATGGGGGCAAGGTGTGCCCATGTATAATAAAATCCCACGGTCGATATTAAGTCTGCCGCTTGATCAATTTAAACGTAAAATCAAAAGTCAACTTATGGTTAAAGCATATTACACCATTGCGGAATATCGCGACGACGCTAATGTGTGGACATTATTCATTCAGTTCATACTGTTGATACTCACGTAGGCTAAAATAAGACTATTATAGCCGTATGTTGTAAACTGATATTTTTGAAAAAGAACAACTGTTGAGTTTCTTGCCGGTCTCTCCTCAACAGAAATTGCTTTCCGAACCGGTGGTACCTTACGAACCTATATATAATTATATTTTTTTATGTAAAATTTGAAGATTTATAAGAACGCGCAAGCGACTATTAGAATAATGATATTTGATTGATTTGACTGATTGATACACTTGCAGTGTGTCGATGTTATTCAGAGAGCATTTATTAACGAGTCTTATGTAACGGGTGCAGCGGATGAACTTTGCAAGATTACTAAATGTGTTTGTTATTTATAAGCTACTAGCTACCCGCCCCGGTTTTGCACGGGTGCAATGTATTATACGTATAAACCTTCCTCTTGATGCAGTCTATCTAGTAAAAAAAAAACCGCATCAATATCCGTTGTGTAGTTTTAAAGATCTAAGCATACAGACAGCGGGATGACTTCCATTTATATTATGTATTGATTTTCAAGGTGTCTTTAAACTAAGACGTGAATAAGGTCCTACCAAGGTGCTCTACTTTCAAATACCTGCTTACCACTACGTTCGAAGTAATAGGATTTCTCTCATAGGCGTGGAACAATTTGCTAAGGTCAATTTTTTCCACGTGACGGCAAGCGCAGCGTAGGAAGGCCTCCCACAAGGTGGACGGACGACCTACATAGATCGCAGGGACGCGTTGGATGCAGGCCGCTAACGACCGGTGGAAGTGGAAGTCAATGGGGGAGGCCCATGTTCAGCAGTGGACGTCCTACGGCTGATATGACGATGATTTTTTTTCGTCCGGAAACGAAGGTCCTCAAGGAGAAAGTGGCTACACTATTACTGGACTAGAACGTTTACCACTAAAAACTAAATCACTACGTTCCATTAGCAAGATAGTGGTCTACACCATTCAGTAGTCCATTTCAAATCTTTTAAGTTTTAAGCTTCCGTACCCGAAGGGTAAACGGGACCCTTTTTCCCTGTTTGTAAGACTGCTGTCAGTCGGTCTGTCTGTATGACCGTTTGACACCAGGCTGTATCTCATGAACCGTAATAGTTAATCAGTTGAAATTTTCACAGATGATGTATTTCTGTTGCCGCTATAACACCAAATACTAAAAAACAGAATAAAAAAAATATTTAAGCGGGTCTCCCATATAACAGCATGTCTGTTATATGGGAGACCCGCTTATATATTTTTTTGCCGTTCTTAGAGATATAGCCCAGTTTTCAAAAGGTTGTCAATGCATCTGTAACCCTCGGGTGTAGCAGATGTCCATGGGCGGCGGTATTCACTTACCATCACGTGAAACGTCTGCTCGTTTGGCAACTTTTCACATAAAAAAAAAAATATTAGTACGGAACCCTTCGTGCGCGAGTCAACCTCGCTTGGCCAGTTTTTTTTAAAGAGTGCAAACTTACATCCGAAATTGGGCCGATATATCTTGTAGTTTCGAAAGTGTTTCACCTCCCTGTATATGATCTCGTTTAGCATATGAATGTCGATAGGCATTCTTGTGCCGAAAGTCGACTTCTCTTTGTGACCACGGCCCATCCTGATTGTGTAGTCTAGAGTTTTTTAATTACAATCAGTTACTATTTGTCGATTTCAATTAACTGAGAAAAATATTATGTAACTGTATTAGATATAATACATATGTATAGTACGTGCAACAATTGTTATGTTAGATAGACATATAATACATTTAACTTTGTGTATAACTAATTATTATAAATAATTAAATAGTGAAACCTTGAATTACCTATCTTTCATGGCAAATCAAACTACAGTAATTACTAATGAATTAATTTCAAATATTAATTTCTTGATTTTACGCAGATATTATACAACTTAAATGAAGACCGCTGCTCCATGCGACCATGTGTCCTTTGGCTCAAGTAGATAACATCATATCCGGTATACAGTGTTGCCAGCGCCAACAGAACAAAGGTAAGCGTATAGCTCAGAAGATTAGTAAGCTGAAGTTATAATGGACCGGCTCGTAGAACCGGTAAATGATGGGGAAGAGAGATTCACCAGGCAACATTGAGCCATTGCCGTGTAAGGCACATCACTAGATGGTGCCGTGTGAGGATCTGTAAAATATGCGGGCCGTCGATGGATGCAGGAGGCTCAGGGGCGTGCTTCATTGCACTCTGTGGGACGACCTATGGTCAGCAGTGGACTCGAACAGACTGAAATGATGATGATGATTTCGATGATGAAACTTTTAAAGGCATTTGCTTAAGACAAGTTTTGTCATGAATGATACCCATTGACGGTCCTTTCTGAAATTCAAATAAAAACAATGTTCTGTAATAAGGACATTTAATGGCTGAATTTCGATGGTTTTTATTGTATACAATGTTCTGGAATAAGGGTAGGGAAGGCAATAATAATTTCGATCCTCTGTTTTAACATAATGTTCCGAAATAATCTTTCTTTTACTTTAGAACAATCTTTTAATTTAAGTCCGCTATTATAGGTATAAGCTGTTACTTTAAAAGTTCGTTCAGCTTTAAAACTAAGTCGGCTTTTTGAATCTGTGTGTAGATATAACCCGCTCGCTGATAAAAATATAGAAAACTTAAATCTTTTATAAATAGATATATTATACACTAGCTGTGCTCGCGATTTTGTCCACGTGGAATTATACTATATGTTTGATTAAAATAAATATAATTTCTAAAATAAAAGTAGCTTAAGTTACTCCTTATTAGATCACCTATCTGCCAGTGAAAGTCCCGTCAAAATCGGCCCAGCCGTTTCAGATATTAGCCGGAAAAACAGATAGACAAAAATTGTAAAAAATGTTATTTTGGTATATGTACCATGTTTACATCCATACGCATTTAATAAAAAGCGGTTAATTGAACATTACAAACAGACACTATAATTTTATTTATCTGTATGTAGTATGTATAGATATACACATGATCTTAAACCTCATGAAACAAAAGAAAATTGATTATGAACAATACTCATATCCCATCGTATGAACTTATCCTATTTCCTTCCCAATGGAAATAGGTAATTTAATTTGACAACATTAATTGTTTTATAGGTTATATTAGGTACAGCATTCAATGTCGAAATAAAACTTCGATAACTTGAAATTCTATCCAAGAAACGATTTTTCATTATTGCTTTTCATGATTTTACTTAAAATACCGAGAAAAAAAGAAATGTCATCAGCTATAAATTTATTATTTATATGACTTATTATAAACATTACAAAATAATATTTAAACTGTAAAGTATTCAAATAACAATAAAACCCATATCTTATTAGTAGTTAATTAGTAAAAAAAATACTTAGACTAAAAAAGACTCTACGTAAAGAACTGTAGCAATAAAACAAATAAAAAATACCAACTCTTGTTGAATCAAAGTATCTCTCGATTAAATTAATATTTATATTCAGCAAACGTATACAAGCGAGCTTAATACTAATGGAAAGATTAAATATAACAGAGTCGAACACTTCACTCGATACTAATAGTTTCTACAGCCAACTTATTGAATATTCTCCAATAATGCCTATCCTAGCGCCGGTTTGATCTTGTGGCCGTTTTGATCAAGATCATCGCCTTAGTGTGACTGCTCTCCCTCCGCGGATGGTAAAAGCGACCGTCGTCACGATCCATGGGTAGCAGAGGCGTGGCGTACCAGCCGTACCTGAAAAATATGTTGCAGCTGTTGGAAACTTCAAGGCGTTTTGAGTTTTACAAATAAACGTTTCTTTCTTTCTTTCTTTCATTTAACAACCTATAGGTATTAGTTATGTTCAGGCCTACTTTTGGAGACTCGGTCTAATCAAACGAATTGAACCTTTGGTTGGAATTGGAACATTTAGATGTTTTTTTAGCAATCAGTTTTTTAAATTGAGATTTAATCAGTCTAAAATAAGCTCCATCTTTACTATCGTAAAGAACCCTATTATCAAAAAAAAGTAATTCAAAATAAATATTACTGTTTAACCTTATTTCGCAATTATTTATCTACCTAATTGTCATAGAAATAAAGAATAAATTTATCTCAAGTAATTATTTGGTATAAAATGCCTAAATCATACGTTTCAATTCGGGCATGATCGGGAAGAGCCGCCGTAAGCGTTCGGGGAACTTCGTACCCATAGAGTAACTTTGTATACTTGAGATTTGTATACTTGTATACTTGTTCGTACCTATTCGTTAATACTTACCGAATGTAGAATAAAAGCAAACAAATCACTACCTCTTTTAAATAACTATACCTCCCACAAATCAACGAAACAACTAAATCAGAATGATGGCGTTGTAGTGTTTATAAAAAATAACCATAAAGCAAACATCACGGACCTTAACCTTTCACACGCCACGGGGCTTCAGATAGAGACTGCCAATTGCACCTTTCTGGGTATATATCGCTCCCCTTCTTTTCATAATGCCGAAAGCTTCATCAGCTCCCTTGACACACATCTCGAAACTATCGCTCACCACAAAAATGTGTCTGTTATAGGTGACATCAACATAAACTTGCTCTCTAAGGACGCAGAAAAGCCTCAGGACCGCCGAAATAGACTCAATTATCTAAATGTATTATCTTTGCACGGTCTCTTACCCGGCCACAGTTTACCCACAAGAATGAACGCCTGTCTTGACCACGTTATGCTAAAATTGGATATTATTCACAACCCAGCGTTCATTGCCGTTATTAATACCTCAATCACTGACCACAGTCTAGTTTTGCTCTTATTGTCCAATGTATCCTCTTCTAAACGTATCATGAAGTCGAAAATTAGTTTTAATTTTGATAGTGCCTTAAAGGCTATCATATCAACTGACATCCGCTATTTACATATGTGCAATAATGCTGAACATTTTGCTAACTTCTTTATCGGTATTATTAAGAAAGCTATAGAAGCTAATTCTAAGCTAATTCATTTCTCAAATACAAAAAGGATTTTAAAACCTTGGATTACCTCTGGTGCTCTAAAATGTATCAGACTCAGAAATAAAATGCAACATAAGCTGAGTAAGGAACCCCTCAACATTATTCTAAAAATTACTTACAAACGGTTTCGAAATTTTTGCACTAATCTTATAAAGAGGCTTAAGCGACAATATCACGCTCAACTAGTTATCAAAACAGCTAATAATCCACGAAAATTCTGGAGAACAGTAAACGAGATTACACAATATAAACCACCCAAGACAAATAACCTAGCCCTGCTTAATTCAAACCCGCTACCAATTATATCACTTAACTACGTAAATAATTACTTTGTCCGTATCGGTGAAAATCTTGCTGATAGTATCAGTAAGAATCCGGGTATAAATAGCCATGTTTCTGAAGCCCACGCATCTTATAATAATTCGTCATCGTTCGTACTGCTGGATACAGACGTTAAGGAAGTAGATACAGACGTTAAGGAAGTAGACACAGTTTTGATGAGCCTCGACTCAGGTAGTGCACCGGGATGGGATGGGATTAGTACAGTTTTTTTGAAACATGCAAGAGACTTCGTTGTCCCCTGCATCTGTAATCTCGCTAACCTTTGCTTTAACACTGGTGTCTTTCCCAGCGCTTTGAAGAGGTCTATCGTAACCCCTGTGTACAAGAATGGGGACAAAGCGGATGTCAGTAATTACAGGCCTATCTCCGTTCTTACATCTATTTCTAAAATTATTGAAAAAACTGCTCAATAATAGACTGGTCGATTTTCTAAACAAATTTAAAATATTATCTAACTCGCAATACGGTTTTAGGAAGGGTTTATCGACCCAGGACGCCATTTTGGACTTGACTTCCATTATAACCAAAGAAGTCGATAATGGTAACAAATGCCTGACAGTCTTTTTAGACTTAAAAAAGGCTTTTGACACGGTTTCTATCCCTATTCTTTTACAAAGATTGGAGAAAATAGGTGTTAGAGATGTAACACTCTCTCTTTTTGAAAGTTATCTTCAGGACAGAACCCAGGTAGTAAAAATAAATAGGTATTTTAGTGAAAAAGCAAAAGTTAATTTTGGTGTTCCGCAGGGAAGTGTTCTTGGCCCGACTCTCTTTTTAATATATATAAATGAATTGTGTAACCTACAGAATGTGGGAGGAAGAATATTTTCTTACGCGGATGATACTGCTATCGTTTTTTCTGGCAAAACTTGGAATGCAGTTCATGTTCTGGCTGAGACCGGTTTGACTAGGGTATCGAACTGGCTTCGAGAAAACCTTCTAACACTGAATATTCAAAAGACGAATTACATTTGTTTCACTCCTTATAATAAATCTCAGCCAGATAATAGTTTTAACATCAAAATCCACACCTGTCCTAACCCTGGTGTTCTGACCTGCAACTGTCCCCCTATAGATAAAGTTAACCAAACGAAATACCTTGGTATTATACTGGATCAACGACTCAGCTGGCATTCACATCTTGATTTGTTAACCAAACGAATGAGGAAACTCACATGGGTATTCAAATCTATACGTCAGGTTATGTCCAATAAAGATAAAAACAAAATCTACATAGCCCTGGTGCAATCTATCCTCACCTACTGTATCACGATTTGGGGTGGTGCTAGTAAAAGTCACTTTCTAGACCTGGAGAGAGCGCAGAGATCTATTATAAAGGTCATGTACTCTAAACCCTATAGGTTTCCTACTGATAGTCTTTATAAAATCAGCGGTCTCCTCTCAGTCAAAACTGTATGTTCTCAACATTATCCTTCACTGTCAAAAATCACTAACGTATGTGAAATTTGCCCATAAAAGAAGGAAGAATATTGTGGCACCCTCCCTTATACGTACTGCATTTGCTAGAAGGAAATATATTGGCCAGTCCGCCTATATTTATAACAGAGTGAACAATAAACTTAAAATATACCCCATGCTATCTTATAACTGCAAAAAAACACTAAGTGATTGGTTGCACCCTCTTAACTATAATGACATTGAAAATCTTATAAGTAGAATAAGTTAACTATATCTATATTTACATTTATACTGTATACTGTTCACTGGGGTAATAATCCCTTGATGCCCAAACACACACACACACACACACACACACACACACACACACACACACACACACACACACACACACACACACACACACACACACACACACACACACCCACACACACACACACACACACACACACACACACACACACACGCACGCACGCACGCACGCACGCACACACGCACACACACACACACACGCACGCACGCACGCACACACGCACACACACACACACACACACACGGCGAGCGATGTTTGTTTTTATAATATATTGTTTAAATAGTATGTAAGTTAATCTATAGTCTTAAATATCCACAAAGGAAGTAGCGGGTTATTCCCACTACAAGTGTCCATGACAACTTACTGGGAAAACTCGGCAAGAAGATGTTACAAAGATTATGGAAATAAATGAAATTTTTATTTATTATTCGGCCGTTGTCGCGAGCGTTATATACCGCCACCGTCGGACGAGGCGGCCATACCTATCGGGTATGGAACGGGCCTCTGCCGTACATACCCGGTGTGCGTACTGGTACGTTCATACATCGTACTGTGCCAGTATATACGCCTCATCCCTAATTACGACACCGCTTGTCCCAATTCTCCACGAGAAGTGTGTGTTTTACACATCACTAAAGGTATAATAATAAAAACCGTTATTTCTTAAAAGCTTAATTAACATCCAATGAAGATATCACAGACATCATTATCCTTTCAGCCTAGAACTGGTTATCGGTGTGACCCCCCACTAGATGGAGTGAAGCGACATGTGCATATGTGCGGGAAGGCGATGGATGCCGGTGGCTTGGATCGTGCTTCGTGGCAGTTTATGGGGGAAGCCTGAACAGGCTGAACTGATGATGATGAAGATATCACAAATTCACAACATTTTTTTAAGATACAAAGTGTCTAAGAATTAAAAGTTAGAAGAATTTATTGAAATAACTATATCGTTGTTTTTCTGTGATGCGCGCAGGAGTTTTGTTATTTTAGTTAAATTGTTTTTGTAAAATGAGGAGACGATATTAAATGTTTTAATCGAAGGCTTTCAATCATTACGTCTCAATATATATATATATATATATATATATATATATATATATTGAGACGTAATATATCATACGTAACATAATATATCATACTTTCGAAATTTTAAGAAGAAATATATGGAACATTTGTAGGTGTCGTACAATTTAAACATTAGGGCAGTAAATATATAATGATATTCGCATGCAGTTTGCATGCGGACAAAAAGCCATTTATAAACTAGCAAAGGCGAGAAACAAGGCTACAAACGATTGCGTTAAGTCGAGAATACTTAAGGGAAGAAATGGAACTGTGTTGTACAAAGATAAAGACATTCTGGCAGCATGGCATGAATATTATGAACATCTTTTAAACTCAGCACCTACAACTGTTGACCTTCCTGATGTGGATAACAATATGGGACTTATGTACCCAATACAACCACAGGAAGTTAAAACTGCCCTCAAAAAGATGTCGAACAAAAAAGCAACAGGCCCTGACGGTATTCCGATTGAAGCATGGAAGTGCCTCGAGGAAAAGGGAATTTACTTCCTGACACATCTCTTTCGTATGGTATTTGAGTCTTCAAGGATACCGGATGCATGGAGGCTCAGTACAATTGTTCCACTTTATAAGGCAAAGGCAGCAGATACGAATGCAACAATTATCGTGGGATAAAGTTAATGTGCCATACATTCAAACTATATGAAAGAGTAATAGATGCCCGGCTGAGATCTGAAAGCACATTATCTACCAACCAATATGGCTATGTTCCTGGCCTATCCACGATTGACCCGATGTTTGCTTTAAACATGATTGTGCAGGAGTATAGAGCAAAACAGCAGCCATTATACATCGCCTTTCTTGATATGGAAAAGGCATTCGATCGCGTACCTAGGCAGACTATTTAGTGGAGTCTTCGAAAGAAAAACATTGCAGAAAGGTACGTCGTCATCATAGCCGACATGTATGAGAATGTGCGATCAGTAGTAAGGACTACGGTGGGGCATACAAAGCCAATAGCTGTTACGGAAGGGGTACACCAAGGTTCTGTGCTCAGCCCTTACGTCTTTTGCTTGGTTATGGATGCACTTACGGAACATGCTCAATCTCTTGCTTCCTGGACTTTTATATACGCTGACGATGTAGCAGTATGCACAACATCACGTGAGGAACTGGCAAAAACCCTAGAAGAGTGGAAGCGGCAGTTAAGAGCAGGTGGCCTGGTGCTGAGTGTTGCGAAGACCCAATACATGGTGTGCAATGATCCAAATACTGTCGAAAGCGGCCCACTTACCATCGATGGCCAACAAGTCGTCAGATGCGACGAATATAAATATTTGGGAACCATGTTGCACAGTTCGGGGAAAGTGTACGTAAACATTCAGCACCGAATTCAAGCAGCCTGGCTTAAATGGAGGGAGGTAACTGGCGTAACCTGTGACCCAAAAATGCCTGTCAAGCTTAAAGGGCTAGTATATAAGACCATGATCAGGCCAGTTCTTATGTATGGAAGCGAAACGTGGGCCGTGACACGGAACCAGGTCCATACCATACAAGTAGCAGAGCTAAAGATGCTACGGTGGATGTGCGGAGTGACGAGACTCGACAAGATACGTAACGAGTACGTGCGAGAGAGTCTCGGAGTCCGTGACATCGCCGACAAGCTCCAGGAAGGTAGACTGCGATGGTATGGGCATGTGCAACGTCGACCTTTTGATTACATCGGGAAAGAAGCGTACCATCTGGACATCCGAGGTTCCCGGAGACGAGGAAGACCAAAAATAAGATGGACAGAGGTACTGAGAAAAGATCTTAACGTCTGCAATGTGACTCATGACGATGCGATGGATAGAGCGAAGTGGAAGCGAATGACAGGAAAGGCAGACCCCACTACCGTGTGGGAATAATAAATGCACGGGAGAGAGAGAAAGAGATTCGCATGCAGTTTGTACAGAAGCCAAGACATTTAAAGGCTGCATTGAATTTAACTATAAATGCGTAATTAATTAATCAAATACTATTTTACTACAACGTCATGTAGTGAATTACTCGTTGTATCATAATAAATGAATACATATCTCGATATTTATAAGATGTAATATTATAACCTAGCTAAATATTGTATAAAGGATAATTAGTGCATTTCGGCATACGTCTGGTTCTCCGTGACCGGTGAGGGATATTTGGAACGTGGACCTTTAGCTTGGGATTTTGTTACGTTGTTGTAATAGTTCTCGATGTTTCGAGTCTCTTCTGGTGACTGTTTCTTCAACTGATCGTGGGCCGCGTAGAACTTGGTGGCCACCGGTATGACTGTTCAAAAACCTTTTGCATTAGTTTACTAACTATTAGCATGAGAAGCATCTCGTCACTAAAGAAATTTAAATGTCGTATGCGACCTCTTTTTAACATTTTGCATTGTTTAAGGTCACAGGAAGGACGTTCTTATTAAAATGTGTAGCGTGCGTGGACAAACTAGTAAATTTTCACCTTTACGGAATGCTTAAACTTATTACTTTTTAAAACAAGGTCAGGATTACTGAACTGTTTTTTTATGCAAAAGGGGGCAAACGAACAGACGTGCCATCTGATGGTCTTACTTGTGCTTTCAGTCCGTAGACTATATAGCAGCTTACTCGGACACAGAGTTCGTAGAAAATCAAAGTTTTCACGAACTGGATAGACGCATACGTGAGTTAATAAAATGGGGGGATTATTGGCTAAAGGTAGTTGATGTCCGGAATGCGAGTCGTGACCTCGACGGCAGTTATTCGTCGCTGGGTGTGGTGAGAACCACCAGGATATGTCCGTAACATTGGTAACACCAGGCGATTTAAATATGCGTTGCCAGCCTTTGAGGTAGCCACAAGCTCTATTCTTGTATATTGTATTAATGTCCCTGAATCGTACTTATGGAAATATAATACTGGCAACAATGTAGTAGCGTATGGCATACGTCATTTTTCGAAACTCAGCAGTAGATGTTAATCACTTTTGAACAATAATTAAAACACTCCCCATGATAAACATTTTCACGTTTACCATGGGTTGTGCTCGCGAAATGCAAAGGCTCTTTTTTCATAAATGGTAACTTAGATGATTTGAATTTGAATTTTGCAGCTTTAGGTTCTACCCGCTTTACAGAGTATTGCGGTGGTCATACTTTCTAAAAAATATAGCTTTTAGCAATTTCTCTTTATTTCTTTTAGATTATTAAAAAATTTTCTTGTTCAATGCCTCATATTGTAATTTTCATATTTTTGTATCTAAAAACTGACAAAAATTTTATTGTTTTTCAATTTATTAATTTAAAAACATTCTGTTTGTATGGATACATAAAAAGATAAATATACTAATTTTGTCCGATAGATATCAATTTGAAGTATTAATTGGTGTTGCTTAGACTATTTTGATGAGTGTACTTTCGTATTTCGTTCTGGTGAGTAAAGTGACCGTGACCTAGGCATCTGCAACCCCTCAGGGCTCGTAGATGTCCATGGGTGATCACTTAACATGAGGTGTCTACACGATCACTAGACAACTTATCACATAAAAAATAAGAAGGCTTTCCTATGAAGGTCGTGGCAAACAGAAGAGTGGGCTTAATTCAAAATTTTGCTTAATATGACCTCAACTACAGACACAAATTTATTCTGACACTGGGTAACGTATTTCTGATAAATATTTTCCCTTTACACTGTAATATCTTTGGATGAAATAAAAATGGTGAAAAAAAGAGGTCTAGTTCAAAATCAGTATTAATCTCAATAACCATTAACTATTAATTTTAGGGGAAAAGAGCATAATGTTTTCAATCAGAACTTGTGAATGTGTGTGAATGACTGTTACTTGCATTAACATTTATAATGTTTATAATTTTTTATAACGTTTTTTTCATTCATAATCCATAACTCGTTATATAATACAAATATATTAGTTGACCTTCGGCCTAAGAAAAGAAAAGTTAAACATCATATTTACCTCCAAAGTTAGGATGGTAAGTCTTGTAGTTTCGAAAGTGTTTCACCTCCCTGTTTATAATTTCGTTTAGCCTATTGAGATCGAATGGCATTCGGATGCCAAATGTGCATTTCCTGAGATCCATTGCGACCTGAAAAGCATCGAGTTAGATATATGCACCCTATAGGTATATCACAGTGTAAATCTATACAATACACATACATATATTTGCATGAGCACATGCGCGGCCCTGCCCACAGCGGAGGGCCCAAACCCGTGGGTTCTGGCTAGCCCACCGGTTCTGCGTCAGATGAAGCTTTAATAGTCTCAGGACTGAAAGCAAAAACATCAGTCAATACAACATACAAGTATAGAATACAACAATTGATATGGAGTACAACAGTTAAAGACGTCTCCAAGGGTTAATGCCCAGGTAATAAAAGGGTTCGTTATAGCTTGTTGAGCTCAAAATGACCAAGATATTAGGACTTTTAACGATTATTCCGCGGCCTCCACTTGAGATGGTCATTATAGAATATTAATCATGGTAATTATAGAATGTTATTGCGTTTCTAATAAAAAAAAATGTATAACTTGTAAAGTAAAGTAATACATATCTTACGATAGTATTCTTACGATAGTGATATCCGTTAGCGACCAGGGAACAGTAATGGCATCACACTAAAGAATAGACTTCCGATATCATAAGTTGTATATTATCTTGTTATTATCTAATTACTGGACAATATACCAAAGTTTGAAAGCAGATGATATATTGAATCGATGATATACTTACGTAAAATATAACCAAATAATATTGGAATACGCAGCAAAGACATAAACGTAGTGTTTACATTGTCTTTGACATAAATGATGTAAGAATTTCTGTCTAACAATTGATTGAAGGTTCTCAGTTTTTTTATGAAGTAAATAGCAAATGAAAAGCAAGTGCTTCACTTGATAGTAAGTGATGATGCGACCAATTGGAAGACTTGCAATAGTGTATTACATAATTAAGAACAGGTTTCTTCTTAAATTGTATCGACAGTTAAGATACAAAATATATTTTTAAAAAATCTTTCATGCTGAGACAGATGCTTTCGTAAGACGGAAGGGACATTACATTTGTGTTTTACTGAGGTAGAGTCGTGATAGTTCAGTGTCCGGGCGCCCGCCTTTAATTCAATATTCTAGAGCAACCTGTGTTCGATCCCCGGTGCCGGGACCAATGGAATGTAGCTCATATCCTTGGTACCACGCAGTATGGGCTAGTTTGTTAGATAACGTATTACACGTTTATTAGTATTCGTTAATTTTATAAATAATATAATTTTTGTTGTTAATAAAACTGTTATTCATTATAACCTCGTTTACATTTAACACAAAATCTATCTAAATCAATGTCACGCTGTGGGTTATTTCAAAATGTCATTTTATTAAATTTATATACGCTCAATTAGATCGATATACACCTCATAACAAGCATTTAAATCATAACAGGTATTAAATTATTGCTACAGTACTCACAGTACACATACATAAAAGACATAAAATATGTAACACTGTTACAGCTAACAAATGTCTGTATATTATTTATCAAAGTAAACAAATTAAGTACCTAAAAAGCTCACATTTAATATGCAATATCATCATCTGATCATCATGGTCATCATCTGACCTCAATATCTTCTTTACAAATATTCACCCAAAATTCTATCCCTGCCACCTTAACACCTAGTTTAACGTGCCGCCACCCCTGGAGAATTTGTAATAGCTCCTACCCTCTTGTTACATGAACTTTTCGACCTATCCTTACTTGTCTCTCGTGATATTTAAACTTTTATTGTATATTTTTCAGTCAACCATTTCAACACCTTACTGGTCACTTCATAGATAACAATGGATTCCACAAAATGCACGTTTGGCATTCGCATGCCCATCGACCTCCATATGCTAAACGAAATTATATACAGGGAAGTGAAACACTTTAGAAACTACAAGACGTACCGTCCTAACTTCGGAGGTAACCACAATTTAGAATTTGCTCATATAGTTTTAAACAACTGTAGAGCAGCTTTCCTTTTATGTCAGAAGGTGTCAAGTGAGCTGGCGGTTCATCTGATGTCAAATGCTCATTGACATTTGTGACCACTTTATAATAAAGTGGGTCGCTGCTACCTCACTCACCAGACGAAACTCTGAGGTATATGTACACACCGACTTCACACCGATCTTCAGTGAGGTCATTGTACTTACCTGGATGGACCTGTCCATTCGTGCCACAGCGAAGGCTGTTGCGTGGCCCTACCAAAAGCAGCCGCGGAAGTACGGCCACACAAGCACGGAGTATAAAATAAATATATTAGAATCACACTTATGTATAGACTACTGTAACGACGTTTCGTGGAACCTCTCAATAATGGTAATTCGTAGCAACAATCGCTTCACATTTGGTGAATCAACTTCTTTTGCATTGTTCTTCCATAAAATTGTCCTTGTACTTAGTTGAATAATTTAAAATTTATAAAGGTAAATGTATTGATGGTACCGATGATTTGGATGCAATCTAATGACATTTTTTGACGCGACATAAATTCACTGAAATCATTCCTCTTACAAAGTTTGGCATTTTCCAAAATCTAGATAAGGGAAATGTTTACATTTTTTTTTTTCTTAACATTTAGAATGGAGGTATCAAAAATGGAGGAGTTGCTATTCAAGCTGATTGTCAATACGTTTCTAATGCAAAAGGTCTTTCAACAGTGACGCCGGTAGCCGGCAAGTTCTACGCGGCCCACGATCAGTTGAAGACTCAATCACCAGAAGAGTTAAGAAAGGTCGAGGACTACTTCAACAACGTGACAAAATCCCGGGCCAAAGGGCCGCGTAGCAAATATCCCTCGCCGGTCACTGATAACCAGACGTAATAAAAGAATAAAAATTCATTTCTATTTATATATTACTAACGCAGAATTCCTTTCAAAGATATGGAGAATGAGATATGTCCTCATCATCATCATTTCAGCCAAGTTTGATTCCACTGCTGAACATAAGACTCCAACATAGACTGCTACGAAGTAAGATCCTGAGCCACCTTCATCCATCGACTTCCCGCACATTTGCGCAGATCGTCAGTGTCCTACTATAGGATATCAATTCGATCTAAATAATTTTTATTAGTAATTTAGTAGTAAGTGTAAAAATTTCATTGTAAAATTATGGGTATAACATATTTTCTTTTATGAAAAGCGGTGATAGCTCAGTGTCGGGGCACTCGCTTTTAATTCATTTTACTCGAGCAGCTTGAGTCCCGGTACCATCACTATTTAAATTATAATTTTTAAATGCCGATTTAACTCTCTCTCTCTCTCTCTCTCTCTCTCTCAGCAGTCAATGAAAACCTGCATGTTTTCGAATTAATAACAAAAAAATATGTGAAGTCTGGCATTCCGCAGTGGGCTCGCATGATGGACAAATGACAACGCCGTAATATCCTCTGTACAGAGCACTGCAATACCATCTATGTGCAGTAGTGGGACATGTATAGCCTGCTACTTTACTTTTTACTTTATAAAGACGTTTAAGAAAGTTTCCATTATTGCAGGATCTCTTGTTGTACAGCATATAATTCACAAAAAAATTTTGGGGCACAACAGGCCTATTTTTCAAGATTTACAAAGTTGTAATCGAATTGCGGTTGCTAATACCTGCTCAAACATTCCAGAATTCTATTTTCCCAGGTACGGATGGTATTCTATACCCCTACTACCAATGGATCGTAACGACGGCCGCTTCTACCGCCCACAGAGAGAGAGCAGAGAAACTAAGACAGAAATAATGATCAAAATGGCCAACCCCGGGAAACGACACTAGTATTAACGGTAGTTTAGATTTGAACACTTAAAACTTGAAACTTAGTATTCGTAAACAAACTAAAATTGTCACCAATAATAAGTTAAATCCATTAAATAATATATTGATATCAATAAGTCCAAGACATTTCTTTAAAAGTAGTGCTTAACCGATAGTTTTATCCAAATTCTTTTCCTTTTATACACTATACTTTTTATACTTGTTTATTTCATAATTATGTTTTCTTTGATATTTTTTTACGTATACTGTTTAGTTTAAATAAAAAAGTTATTGTTATTTGTTGTTATAATTTTCCTTTATTTGTCGTTAATTTTGGCGGCAAACTGATTCCATCCGCGTGGGTGTTTGTTCTTATAATCTGCTTTATCCAATGGACGCAAATGCGCAGCGGCAACACGGTCTCTGAAATAATAAAATGCAACTTTATGGAGGACGTGGATTTTGCAGAGAATAAATTGCAATGCAATTTAGATCAAAATTAGATGACTACAAAACCCCTTTTTACTTATTTGTACGTGCCAAAGATTCTTGTAGTAGCTTGTATAGGGTTAAGTTAGAACTAACGGCACTGTAACCCTGATGATGGCATAGACCTACCGTGTCGGAACGATTTTAAATATAATAAGCAACGCAGATAAAGTTGCGGGTATCAGCTATTCTTGAACAATCAGCAATAGAAGATTAAATAATACTTATTTATGAAGTTTCTCGGTTCCTGTAAGAATTAGATTCGTAGTGACTACTACTGACAAGATGAGAAATATGGCACGACTACACCATACATCTGTGTTTCAAAATGAAAATGTCTACTTATGTTTTCGTTTCGAAAAGAACCATAAACAGTTTAATAGAGTTTTTAAATTAAAATATGTAATAAAATATGTAGTTTTTAAATTTAAAAAATTACCATATTTAACCGACGTTATAGGCGTCTTTGTCAGCACAAAGACGAAATCACGCCGTTAAAACAGATTCGAAGCACGATCCTGAGCCATCTGCATCCATTGATTTTCCCTCCATCTAGCAGGGAATGTCCTACACTGCGATGGCCAGTACTAAGCTACCACTCGAGATCCTTTCTTCCCCATCGGTTATCGATTCCACGAGCTATATAGCAGGCCCATTGCCACGTCAGCTTGCCAATCTTCCGAGCTACATCGGTTATCTTTGTTCTACCGCAGATATTTTCATGCGAACTCATGGCATGCTAACTTCTGATTTAAGCTGAACATGAAGAAGGCGGTAACAACGCGAAGAAAGCAACTCACGCGAATTCCTCGTAAGTTTTCGCGGTGTGTATCGCGTCGCATTTGACGTCGTTTACGCGCGAATACTGCCTGTCTTCTTCCACGCACTGCCTCAGTTGTCCCTCCATTTCCGCAAAGTCATCCGCGCCCAACGGCTTGTCCATGGCTTGAAAGCGGATATTGCAATCGGTAAAAATTAACATTTTTGCGCACTTAATTATTCAAGCTTAAAAAATTTTAATCGATAGTAAACAAACTTGGTTATAATGAATGATATTATTATATACAAATACGACCTAGATATGAGAATATTGCACCGAAACTGAGCTAAGTACTCAAATTACGAAAATCGGTGTAATTAGATTGCAATTCTATAGATTGCTTTCTCTTTTCGTATCATGCGTTCTCTTTCACATTCGCTTGTATATATTACTATATTGTACAATGTAAAAGGTCTTCTATAATGTAAAAAGGAATATTAAGCGAGGCTCAGGCTAGGCGCCCTCAGGGCCGGCCATCACAAGCCTGGTGGTTCTATAAAGGCCTAAAGGCCAACAGTGAAAGATCATTCTTAAAATTATTTATACGTCCACATCTGAATTTCACAAGTAAAGTATATATAAATGCTTGTCGTAACTAAATCTTATCAAACTAATTAAAACTGTACCACACGACTCTAATGCGGATCTTCGTTACTTTCAATATATTTCCCGCCATAGGAATATCATTCACTGGATATACCAAAGTACATAAAAACAAAGATAAACCACATATTTCAATAGTAATATATAAAAAAAAGATACCTTACTGTTTATTTCTCACTAATACGATACTATTATAATTCTATAATACTATTACTTATCTCGACGCAAACAACCAACAGATATCAAACTAACAACTTCATCACCATAGTAACGTAGTTACCTAACAGGGGCAATAGATAAAATCGTTAAAGTTTTTTTTTAATGGGAAAGTAGGGAAACAAAAATCACAAAAATGGTGATCAGTACCACCACATGGGAATTTGCAACACCAGAGGTTACAGAAGCGACGATATATACAATATACTCTTTTCTTGAAGTTTTATTGTTTTACAGAAATGATTGGCAATGTTCAATAAATAATGTATTGTAATTTGTGTATGTGAACTCTTGCATCCGCATGGGCAAAACCCGTTCCTGTTTGTCCGGCCCCACTGCGGATTGGCGGACTTCACATATCTTCGAAATATTTTTTTTTGTTATTATTTCGAAAATATGCAGGTTTCCTCACGATCTTTTCCTTCACCGCGGAGAACGTGATAAGTCAGCAGTTAAAAACTTTATTGGTGCCGGCACCGGGGATCGAACTCAGGTTGCTCGAGTATATTGAATTAAAGGCGAGCGCCCGGACACTGAGCTATCACAAATAGGTTTCAAATAAATCCTTTGAACGGGATCTACTTGTAATTACTTGTTAATAAGCTTAGTGGTTCCAGAATTTATTTTAAAAATATTACAAAAAACAAAATCGAGTCCAACTCTATATTATTTTTAATTTGATTTTTGTTTTTTTTTTATTTCGTTATTGAAATTAATAGTATTTACAGTTCAGTATTTACACATAAGTAGAAATTACTTTATCTAAAAAAATTTTACCCGCATTGTACGATTTTTTACGAAATAGAGGTATTAAACAACTTACGTAACTGCATGGCATTTACCATTACGCAAAGCTTCATTTAATGCAATTGCGTAACGACCGGTAAGCCTTATCGGTCCCGTACTTGGTAGCCTAGGACTAAACATTTACGTAAAAACAAAGCCGGTATTAACCATCATTTGAAAACCTTAGTGGGCTTGTTTCACTACACACATTCCTGGTAAACGCGTGAACAGAAATTATTTTTTTAATTACCGTCGCAATCATAATCATGGCATGTCGCTATCACAATCATTTTGAGAAATCAGATAATGTCTGATAAATTCTTTAAAAAAAACCTTTTTGCATATGAAAGATTGTGATTTGGAAACGCTGGCTACCACCTTCAGGCTCATAGCGAGTACAAAAGCGATAGGTATGTACTGTTTTTCTGATGGTTGCTTGTATTTACGGGAATACTACCCCCCTCGAAGAATAAATTGTTTTAAATTGTAACCAAAATTGAAAGCGGTAAAAACTTGAAAAATCTTTAATGGTAATTGATAATAATAAGATATATAATCGATAGAGAAACATAAGCGAAACTATAATTACGAAGTAAAATATTATTGCGTAGTCATTTATAAATTGAGAGAAACAAAAATCTATTATTGACCTGCTTTGCGGGACTACTTAATATATAAAAAACTGGCCAAACGCGAGTTGGACTCGCGCACGAAAGGTTCCGTACCAGTATCTATAAAAACATTTAAAAAAAAGGAAAGGGAGCCCCACTTAAATTCTCCAATTCCAATAGACGACCTCTGTCAGGGATGACCATCCAGACCCTAAATACTCAGGCCAGTAACGTGCAGCAGCATTAAAGGAGATAGGTACTGGAAGAACAGCGCTGCCAAACCCGGTTGCCAGGGATGGCAACTATGGCAAAAGTCTTATGATGAAAATGAAAAGTGCGGCCCCTCTGTCTGTTATTTTTCCGGCGGTCCTGTAATTTTTCACAACGGTAGCTGTTATAGTAACAGCAGGGCAGGAAGTGCCAAATTTGAATATTTTCAAATATTCAGAATTTTAAAAATTTCAAATTTTAAAATTATTGACAAAAATGATTTTTTACGACTTAATGCGGATTTCCTTCACATACACAATAGTACATCTTATTTAATAATAGTATGTACTATTTTAAATCTTGTGTGACTTAATTCCTATCTTACTACTAATAATAATAACTTTTTATTTCTTTTTATATTTTAACACAGACAAAAAGCATTAGCGTCGTATTTAAAGAGAACGTGTTATTTGACGACGCGTGCCCGTGGTATCAAGCAAAGACTTTTCATGCAACAGTTACTGCACTTATTGTTCCTTACGTAACGTCGAGAAGCGCTCAATGCGTACTCCAGGTGCATTCTTGAGTGCTTATAATGTACATGTGTGAGTTTGACAATTCTTTTCTCAATGCCTTCTTTTAACATAAAAAGATCCTTCAGAGAGTGAGAATATTATTCCTTGTACTTAAGTGCTTATGTTAGGAGTGATTACTTAGTAAATTAACATAATCAAGTTTTCTTTATTTAACCGTTTATCTATAGGTTTGGCTGTCATACCCGCTTTATTGGCAACTTGTTATTGCTTTGCGGGCTATGATCTCTTTAAAGGCTTCGACGTTAACGACGAGACTCCCAATGCAACAACTCTTACCACGTCAATTGCAGGAAATGTAAGCAAGGTTTAGTATTATCTCAAGATTAAAATTACCTAGGAGGCAAACTAAACTTTATCTCTTACAACAAGAATGTCAAAAGCGGGAACAGATAAGATTTGGATGAACTCAACAAAACGTTACATTTGTTTCTGTTATGTATTTTGTACATATTTTATTGTTTAATATTTATCATAATATATCGTTTATTTCAAGCTGTCCACTAACACTGACCGTTCTTACATTACATCGAATAACATAACCAAGTTCAAATGCCCAGAAGAGGAGGAACCAATTAGTATCGGACCCTATGAAGTACCCACTCAGAGGGACCTGGTGTTAATGACGAAGACCATAATGACAAAATTGTTCAATGCGTTTTATCAGGAAGTACTTTTCTTGATTAAAGACATCAAGGAGGTAGTTTTCTTCATCTAGATTATATTTTTTAAAGAAAGGAAATAAAAATCAGGCTCAACTAAAATCATCATTACAGTTATTCTGTACCTAATATTGTAAATAACATAATGGTTATCCTCTGAAGCTACTTCTAACTTACTTATATGACTTAAACTTGACTTACTTAAGATTATTTAATAGCTTTCATAGTAGTATACTTTTAAGAATTAGTTATTTCCACAATGTTACAGTCATGACCACTTAGGAACTCACGACGACGCAAAATGTACCCCAGATCCGATTTATCATCAGTGTTAAATTATTGTGAGGCTGCTTTCCAGAATTCATTTTTATAAGCTTGCGAAAGAATATGCGGTTTACCTGATATTCATTCATAACAACCTTTAAGAGGTTGGTTGGCCTTTAACCTTATGGCATATATACTTCTACTTTACGCTGGTCTTCTATGAACTGCCCTGGACGAGCCAACCCGTTTAAGCAGCAGCAAACGCTGCGGCGTGGCACCTACGGTACAAAATATTCTTACATACTGCCACTAAGCTAGAGGTAGCGACAGCAGGGGTAGCGAAAGTAGCTACTTTATTTTAAAGCTAAAATGATAGTTGCTAAAGATGTTTTTGTAATATTAAAGATAAAATGAAAACTAACTGTTGAAGGCAACCAAAGCATCGACTTTCGTAGAAAAGAAATGCCCAGAAATAAATAAGGCTGCCTACAGGCAATGCGTAAAACGTGTGAGCAGACAATCTGAGCTGACGGTGAAGAATCTTATCGCTGCGGTTGAGAATCGGAAAATAGATGTTGCGGCTTTAACTGAGGTTTGTTAAAAAAAATTGTAATGCATTTTTTTATTTGTTTTAACGTCTAGTGTTACTAAAATAATTATGTTGAAAAAAAAACCACATCGTTAAAATCATATAACACAAAGTCATCATCATTTCAGACTATTTGAGTCCACTGCTGAATATAGGTCTTCCCCACAGACTGCAACGAAGTACGATCCTGAGCCACCTGTATTCATCGACTTCCCGCACATTTGCACACGTCGTCACTCCATCTAGTGGGAGGTCGTCCCATACTGCGATGGCCAGTACGAGGCTCCCACTTTCTTCCCCAGCGGTTATCGGTTCTACGAGCTATATGGCTGGCACATCGCCACTTCGGCTTATTAATCTTCTGAGCTATGTCGGTTACTTTTGTTCTACTGCGGATATCTTCTTTGCGAGTCTATCACGCAGAGAAATACCAAGCATAGCCCGCTCCATAGCTCGCTGAGCGAGTTTTGAGCTTCCTCATACGGCCAGCAGTGAACGACCACGTCTCAGTTCATTCACATTGGTTGAAGACTTTAGTCTTACTGTCCTAAGTATACGTACTTGTCAACAACTTCGACCACAGTGTCCTCAACAACAAGCAGTATAGGCGTGACATGGACATTAGATCATGATCATGATCTTCGTCTTGTCCGCGTTCATCTTAAGGCCGTTGAGAGACACTCGAGCGATTCTGCCATGATGACTATGTCGTCGGCAAATTGAAGGTGGGTGATGTAATCGCCATCGATATTTATACCACGTCCTTGCCAGTCCAGAAGCTTGAAAACATCTTCCAACGCAGCGGTAAAGAGTTTCTGGGATATAACATCACCCTGTCTTATACCCTTCTGCTGTTGGATAGGTTTTGTACTACTGGACTGTGCTTAGACGGAAATCGTAGCCTTTTTATACAAAGACCTCAGCACCTCGATATACTGACAGTCAATTTGGCACCACTGAAAGGCGTGAAGTACCGCCAATTATTTCGACTGAACTGGCTTTCTCATAGTTCACATACGCTAGGCGCAAAGGCAGATTATACTCTTCGATCTTCTGTATAATCTGTCGCAAGGTTTGTATGTGGTCTATGGTACTGAAGCCTTTTCGGAATCCGGCTTGTTTGGGAGGCTGGAAGTCGTCGAGTCTGCATCCATCAACTTCTCCCACAGTTTCACAGGTCATCACTCCGACACATTCGCAACAAAGACATCCGCAGTAGAACAAAGCTAACCGACATAGCACAGAAGGTGAGTAAGCTGAAGTTGCCGCTCATATAGCTCTTAATAATAATAAATAATAATAATAAAATATCTTTATTCACATAGACGCTTGCGAGTTCTTATGAAACGTCAAAATTTTACAAGAAATTAACACGTTCGTAAGTTACCACCGGTTCGGAAAGCAGTTTCTGTTGAGAAGAAACCGGCAAGAAACTCAACAGTTGCTCTTTTTTTAAAAAATCAGTTTACAATATAATAGTACAGGTACAATAGTCTTGTTTTAGCCTACGTGAGTATCAACAGTATTAACCCCACACATTGGCGTCGTCAAGATATTTGGCAATAGTATAATAGGCTTCAGCCATAAGTGTACTTTTAATTTTTCGTTTAAATTCATCAAGTGGCAGACTTAACATCGACTGTGCGATTTTATTATACATGCGCACACTTTGCCCCATGAACGATCTGTTTACTTTTTGACTTAGAACCGATAACACGAAAAATAATCATATAATTCATTATTTTTATATTATATTTCAGGACAAAATATGTAATTTGACATCTATGAAAACGGATCCATTAGAACTTATAAAAATCTTGTCTCAAGAAAATGCGTCCATACAATTTGCTCTACCAGGATTTCTACGATTACTCAATTCTTGTTCGTCCTATTGCTCGCAGTACGTATTAAGTTGTCTGTGCTAAAATTTCCTTTATTGTTTAAATAAATTTATATACATTTTTATAAAATCTTCGAAAAATCAATATATTAAGAGAGTTCAGAGAATTTAATCATCCTTTTGGCAACTCAAATGGCATTTGACAACTGATTAGTTAATCTATACGATGATCAGTGTTTCAAAAACCGGGCGTAAATCTATCTAATCTACATATTATCTAACAAACCTAGATCACGCGACATGGTGCCAAGAACGCTAGCTGCATTTCCATGCTGAATAGTTATGCTTAACCTCTTAACCTTTGAACGAGAATCATTTAACATTATTAAACTGACAACAGTTTCATTAAACATTTATTTTAGTTAAAAAATATTACAATTTTATCTTATTGTAAATTGCAGATCATATTCAAAAGCACTCATAGAAAAAAAGCCTGATATGATTTCGGACTTAGAACTAGTTGTTAAACATTTTTTAACCCACAAGAATTATTTAGTTACTAATAATCTAAAACAAACTAAGAATTTGTAGACCCTATCTTTAGACCTTATGTCAAGTAAGAGGAAAAACTTACGGAGCTTTCAAGAGATTCGCATACCAACCAAAAGATGTCGCTAAGTGCAATGAACTTTTGACATGAACTTAGTACAAACTTTTAGTAACTTAACCAAAATACTTAACATTTTTGTGTAATGAGTGTGCTATGTATATTTTATTTAGTCTCAAACAAACATTTTAATATAAACCGAGTGAAGTTCTAAGTTATGTAGTTTTAATTCAAACAACCTAATATCTTAGCATGAAAATGCATCTTTTATAAATGGTACGAAATTCCTTGGATTATGGTAAGTAATTCATATTTATATTATTATCGTTTCTTAGACCATATATAGAATTTTGAAACACGCATTGGCTCGTAATATAAATAAATGGATAAATAAATACACGCTTCTAAGGAGAAAGCTCACATACAATCTACCTACTTTCTAATTAAAATGAGCTAAGGTAAATTGTATGTAATTTTAATGTTGATAATTAGAAGCAGTCTTGTAAATCCTATCATCATTTACTTCAAAAAGTATATAATTTAAACTGAGATTATTTTAGTTTTAACATTCATAAAATCTAAAACATTTTGTAACTCGGGCATTGACTATTGTTATTACAAATCTTCATGCCTAAATAATTGAAATTATATATACCAATCATAAAATATATTAATATTAAATTTTTGGTATCAAGGTCTTTGTCTGGACATCTGTTATATATTGTTGTAAGGGTATTCAAATAATGTTCTTATCTAGCTGACATATCCATTTAATATATTATATTTTTTATGTCAAAACTTGGCAGCAGATCATATTATATTAAATGACAACCACCAGGGCCACCCATAGACATCTACACCTTACACTCCTTACGGGTTAGAGGCATTGCCAACAAATAAAAAAATGAAACGTTCAAGTATATACTTCCATTTCACAGCTGTTTTCATGAGGCTGTGGTACTACCTGATCCTGCCCAATTGTGAAACAGCAGAAGTTACTGTGGCCCTCCAACAGTAAAAGTATCCCAGTTGGACATATTCTATGCATAAACATATTTTTTATTATTACCAACTCCAAATATAGTAGTCTGGAGGTAATGACGGTCTTTCCCTCGAAACTTGGATGGAATATTTTGGTATGAAAATGAGATGTGAATTATGGATTTTAGATGAGAATTTAGATGAGAAATGTTTTTTGGAAGTATGCATATTACATTTTTTTTTAATTGTCATAAAATAGTAGTTGGGAAAAATAAAACAACTGTATAAAAAAAAGATATTGTATTTTACATTCAAGTCAGATCATAAAATTAATTCTTGATTTGTATCATTATGACAAAAATACAGAATATGTTTTAGCCTGATTTTTTTCAGTTTATCTGAAACCCTACCGAGACTTCTTTCTCTTGTTCTTCTTTTTGACTTTGTTTTTTTCTCGCTTTCTTTCCTTATGTTTTGCTTTTCTCTTGATATCTTTCTTCTCCTTTTTCTTTACTTTCTCCAATTCAGAATCAGGTGTGTCACTTGAATCACTACTACTACATGAAGATGGGGAACTTGAAGAGCTGCAACTAAATAAAGTCATGTTTATTATTTCGCGATAATCTGACAAAATTTTATCTCTAAAATGAACCATTTCTATTATAAGCATTTTCATCTTTTTAATTAAATTAAATATTCTTATGGAGACTGACATAACATGATTTATATGTAATAACATTTCTGTGATACATTTGCCAGCTTACCAAAATACTTGGAACTTATCTTAAATGCAAGTATTTAGCATACAAAATATCTATAAATAATTCATGAACTCGATTCTTAGTAACAATGCTCAATTACTCCCCATGCAATGACTACTAATGAAGCTATACCTAAAGATATTTCTGATTTCAATAAACTTTTGTGTTTGTACAATTGTTACATTGTAATAGTTCCTTAAAAATACTTATCAATAAATTATATGTAATGCATGCTATGCAATGTTAATGTTATTGATGAATAGAAGAAACTTGAAGCTTTCTAAGTTTTAGGAATTTCTGAATTTCAATCCTTTTAAATAAATTTGTAGTATTGAACAAACTTTACCATGGAACATACCTGTTACTATTAACATTCTGTACATGTCTACACTCCTTATGTCTAATTTACATTCAGCTCGTGAAGGTAAGCTTTTTCATTTGTACTTATACACAATTTACCACATCATCAAATAGACTTTTAAGATTTTAATAGCTAGCATTGAATTTAAAATGTATGTACATGTAACTATCGACTACTTGTCTTGGAAGACTTAAGATACGTAATTCATTGAAATAAATGCTATGTAAGTATAACAGTACAGTTAAAATAAACATGGAAAAATACCTTGATTTCCTTCTTTTTTTACTTTTCTTTTTTTCTTTGGCTTTTTGCAACTTTTCTTTTAACTTCAACATTAACTCCGCTTCTCTCAAACTTTGAAGTGGGGTGGCATAATTCTCTTCGCTATCTGTGCTTGTACTACTTACATCTAAAACTATTTCTTTGTTGGGATCAACCTATGAAAAATACTTGTATATCTGCATTATACTGTAGAGGTGCATTATAGTAAAATTAAATATAGACAAAAAAAAAGATCTGGCATGATCCACCTGGATTAAGTATTTATAGATAATATTATGGTATAGTAATAGTAAATACTTGATCCAGGTGGGAAATAAAACCACATCGTGCAGTGCCAAAGCCTAACAATTTCGTCAATTAAGCCTTTGTGGAGGATTCAGTGTGTTACACTTTAATATATAACATAATATATTTATTATGATTTTGACTACACACTAATATGCATATGATGATGTCATAATATTCATGTACTGAAGATATGTTATTTAGATATGAATATTTAGATTATAGTTTCAATTTATGTTGAGGTGTATTCATTTCATTTTTAAACACTATGCCCAGAATAAGATTAATTTTTATAAACCCTTCTCAAGTTTTGTTTAAACCAATTTAAGTCTCTATCCATGGGATAAAGAAGATACAAATGACAATGTATAGATCACATCCATCCATTGTTGTTTGGCAAAAACTGCCTTTGGAACAGCTGATGAAGTTTATAATGGCTCAATTTATTATAAATGAATTGGTATTTATACAACAAAGCCTTGATAAGTTAGATCACATTTAATTTGATATACTCGAACAAACGGAGTTCAAACCCCAATAGCAGTACCAATGAAATAGTTAATTTTAAGTGCTAACTTATCAAGCTCAGCAGTGAAGAAAAACGTTATGAGGCAACCTTCATATTTTTGAAAGAATATCAAAAGAAAATATTTCGAAGATAATTATGTTAAGTCCACCAATCCGCAGATGAGCCATGTGGTGTACTCTAATATATACCCAAATACCCCTTTAACAGAGGCCTTTGCCCAGTAGCGGGGCATGCAAAGGCTATTATTATACTTTACAACAAATTTTGGAACTAATATTTTTACTGAGGAAATAGCATTGAGATGCATAAGCACCAAACTTTTTATATTTATATTTTAAAGAATAAAACATTATATCAGAATTACTTTGGACATTCATCCAGTGATATTCACCATTGTAAAGATAAATTATTATTTATAATATAAAAACCTTAATATCACAAATACGGTTTTTATTTTGATAATTTATTTTAAAGCTTATGTTCCTGAAATATTACTATAATATAGGGCACGTTTAAATTGCCGTACAAACTTACTTTAATAAAATTTCGACATTGAAACGTTAAATGTCCTGTGTATCCACACTTCTTGCAAGCAGCTCTTGTTGTTTCCTTACCGAATTTATTAACCAAATCAATGTAATTCGACATTGCTTTCAATTAAAAAAAAGCATAGAAACAACTAGAATAACATAACACAGATTAGAAATGCATATTTTGTTTATTTAAACTTTACGTGTTATTCCACAATATGCGTCGGTCAAGTCAACACAAAACAAAGCAAAGCATAAGCAAGCTGAGCTGTCCTGTCAGTGTCAGTGATTAAATAATTTGCGTTCCATTTTAAACAAAGTTCATTAGAGCATTATTAAATAATGTATATTTTTATACATAATAAAAGTTACTAACATATTTAATAACTTAAAGATTTAAACTTCATTTATTATTATTATATCCAAAGCAGAGTAACTCGAGTTAGGTACATTCTTCAACAAGCATAATATTTTTTCCTACAAAACACCGCAGATTTTTTTGATAGGTAGTCTTATAATTATGTAATTTTTTTTTATTTGTTAGCATGAAAAAATATACATAATTATGTCAGCTGTGCTGCCCATGAACATATACAACACCCGTAGGGTTAACAATGTGTTGCCGCGTTTGAATAAATTTGACCTTGGCTACCTCATTCACCAAACGAAACGCAGAAGAATAACACTTCCACTTCATGTGGGTCTTCTGTGAGGTTGTGGTACTTTCCAAGGCGAATCTATCCATTCGTGCAACAGCGAAGACTGTTACGTGGCCCTACCAAAATCAGTTGTGGGGTGAAATCATAATTCATTAATTACTGCTTCAGAGTTAACAATACAAAGAAGAGGGGCATAAAAAATAGGAGAAATGTTATACAATGGCGGAGTTCCTGCCTCTTTGCGACGTGCTTTTCAACGTGATCTCGCTGGCGGGATATTTCTGCGACGTCGTGTTCGACGTGGTCATGGGATATGCCCTCCTGGAGCGGGGCTATAAAGGCACGTTCGCAGCGACGATATCTATCGTTGTGACGTCATTGCTGATATCTCAGGTACGGTGGGCGGTGACAAAATGAATACCAAAGGTTTTGGTATTATACCATAATTATATAATTTTGCTAGAAATTAATTGCACACCATATTTGTTCACTACTTGGACTTTTTAACGAACTAAATTTTATTTGAAATGTTGATTAATACTGACATAATATGATATTTAACTCGACCTTTTCAGCCCACTATATATGCACAGAAACCGTCTAGCCAACTTTACTCGGGCGCATGTAGGTTTTGTTGACCTAGATGGGGCGCGGCTGACAATGTTCACCCTTTCTAGATTTTCTTTTATCTATGTATATTTGCCGTATGATATACAGGGTGGCCTTTCTAAAGGTGCCTAAATTCACACAGGAGTTTCAGACTCGGTAGTGTAATCGTTTATTGAAATAAAAACAAAAATTTTTTTTCAAAAAGATTGCCATTCTATTCCTTAGAAAACAGTACTTGTTCTTAAATGCGTCGTATACTTTTGAAAAGAACTTGTGTGCGTGTTAGTTATGAATGATCGCGCGTAAAATAAATGAGTTGCTCATAAATCACGCACTTTTTGAGATAGGTTCAAATGAATGTATTTAATTAATTACGATTGATTTTAAATATTTATCATTTTTATATAACATTATTTATGTCTGAAATTTAATTAAAAAAAATGGATACACTTAAAAAAGCCTCTCTGTATATCTATCTGACTGCGACCAGAAGCTGACAAGTAGTTTAATATTTTATGTTCACTAGTCTGTAGTTCGATTTACAACACTTGGCTCCACCGAAGATTACCCGGTAAAAGTATACCGCCGCGAACACTTAAACTTCGTACATTTCGCAAAATCCCGTGCACCCGTTCGTTATTAATTAATGACGAAAAGCAGAATTATATCACTTTCACCTCACGCTGGTCTTCTGTGAGGTCATTTATATGCTGCTGCTTTACTGCACTCTCCTTATTTAACCTCTATCGTTTAGGTGCTGTCACTTCGGTGGTATTTGCACGTGTGGTGGGCGGGAGAAGGTCGCAAGGGTCGACCACCCTGGCTCCCGATCCTCCTGCACTGCCTGCAGGTTGGCGTTCTGTGGCGGTACGCGCGTCTTCTTGTTCCGGTGGAGTTGCGTCGCGTCAAACACCAAGTGCGCGACCTCTGTGAGTAAATAAAGAAACTACGGCGACATAACTCCGCGACACGATTGGGAGGAAAATACTGAGCATTCGTGGTATCGTTTGTCTACTAAATGCGGTGGACGTTCCAATAAACACCTTAGGTGTTGCGCATATCCATAGGTGGCGACACGATTGGGAGGAAAATACTGAGCATTCGTGGTATCGTTTGTCTACTAAATGCGGTGGACGTCCCAATAAACACCTTAAGTGTTGCGCATATCCATACGTGGCTTAACATCGTGTAAATCTTCCGCTCGCTTGTGACATTTTCACATAAAAAGTAATATCGTTCGTCACTTAATACTAGCAATATTTCCTATATGTGACAGCATATGTTATCTAATTTTTATCGACTAATTTTAGCACCAGACATGATAATGAGTAAAGACACAGACGCCGAGTGTTGATTTTTATCCGGATTTAATCCAAAAACCAACATCTCATTGGAATCCGAACCTTTCCGAACCTTAACATCGTTAGTGTGACATCGTATTCGCTTAGCCACCACCTACTTTATTAGGCACTGGATGTTTCGCCTTTCATTTCTTTGGTAAATTAGTTAATATTCATTCGTTTGCATTTCTTTGGTAAATCTATATAATAACGATTATTTACATTTTCTTTTGCCCGTTTTCCGTTCCTATGGCGTTCGTCAGACTAAGATGGATTTGTGGTGAGTTATACATTACATGTTAAATAACTACCGTTTGATGTTTTCTTATTTACGCGAATAGGCTGCCCGAGTATTGAATTAATATACTCGAAATTAATTAATTGCTCGATTGTATTGCATTAAAGCGAACGCTTCGACACTGAGCTATCACAATATAAAAAAAGCGTTGCCGATCTTAAAATGTCCAGGTCCGTCTGGGTAAGTACCACAACCTCACAGAATGCCGGCGTGGAGTGGAAGTGTTAACTTCTGGGTTTCGCCAAGTGAGTGAGGTAGTCGGGACCCACTTAATTAAAAGGACACAAAGCATCTGCAACCCTACGTGTGTTGCAAATGTCAATAGGCGGTGTTTATTGGCGGTGTTGGTGGCGTCGATGGTATCCCCTCTCCCTACTCCTTTCAAGTTATAGCTGTAAATGTGCCGGTATTTACATTTGTAGATGTACCCTTATTTGAGTTTTCTTTTTGGGTTATATTTATAGACGTGCCCCTATTTCGATTATTTTTTGTGTTGCATTCGTGAATATATTTTATTTTTAGTTTTATTTTTTAATTACTTTATTTATTTTGATTATTTTCAGGTATGCTACGCTTGGTGCACGCGTTCTGCGAGGCGGCGCCTATGCTACTCCTCCAGCTGCACATACTGCTCAAGGATTCGAACCTCGAACCGCCCAACGAGCTCGGCGTGACGCCCGAGCCGAGTATAGACGAACCGTCGGGTAACAAAATTAGTAACTTATGAATACCACCTGCACTAGTACACACCACTTTTAACTGTTTTGTGTGTTTTAACCTTAATGAGGCAGGCAAAGTAACACAATAATCTAATAAGAAAAGTAATTTTAAAATTCGAAACCCACGTCTTCCAAATTCGCGCACGGACGCTTAGCCACTAAGCTAAACGGCTGATTGCCACACCGACGACACTTCAACCTATTTTATCCACATTCTTTTCTTAGCGTTTTAAGGTTAATAATTACCCAACGGGACTCTAGGAATGAAGCCAGTACTTTCTCCCCTTAGCCAACAAAGCCTTCGCCGAGCTGAACGTGATATCGGCGTCCCTGTCGATGTTCTCCGTGTGCTGGGCTCTCGCCAGCTTCAGCAAGAACGTGCGTCTCCAGAACGTGCACCGGCTGGTGCTGACCTGGCTCGGCGTCATCTTCCAGGTCCCCAATCCTTAATGTCGCAATGCGATAATATCTTATCCACATTTTTATCATTTATTTCACATAATAGAATGTATGTATATATCACATAATAAAATATATGTATATATCACATAATAAAATATAAATTTCATAATATTAACGGTAGGGCCACGAAACAGCTTCGGCTGTTGCACGAGTGGGCAGATCAGTCAGGGTAAGTACTTTGACCTCGCGAGATCGGCGTGTCGTACTTCTGCGTTTCGTCTGGTGAGTGAGGTGGCCGGAGTCCAATTTATTAAAAGGCGGCATCGCATCTTCAACTCTACGGGTGTTGCAAATGTCAATGGGCGGCGATTATCACTAAATATCGCGTGAACCGCCAGTTCGTTTGCCACCTTCTCAGATTAAACAAAATCTAATTATAAATCTAATTTTAAACCTTCCTCGGTCTGAAAGGTATGGATGGACTGTGTGATGTATTACAGATGCATTGCCACCTTTTAATAAATTGGACTCCGGCCACCTCACTCACCAGATGAAACGCAGAAGTGTTCACGCTTCCACTTCACGCCGGTCCTCTGCGAGGTCGTGGTACTCACCCGGTCGGACCTGCCCATTTGTGCAACAGTTACATCCTCCAACCACACTCTCCTCTTGGTACATGGATTTTTTCCCTTATGACTTACATACATTTATATTACCGAAGATTATATTTTATGACCCAAATGTCCGTACCAGCACCAATGAAATTGTTAATTTTAAGCGCTGAATTATCACGTGCTCAGCGGTGAAGGTAAACATCGTGAGGAACCCTGCATATTTTCGAAACAATAACAAAAAAAAATATATTTCTAAGATATGTAAAGTCTTCCGATACAACAGTAGGGTCGCGTGTTGACCCTAATACTCCCTGTACAGTGGAGGCCTTTGCCCAGCAGTGGAACCTATATAGGCTGATACGTTACTTTTAAGTTGTTTAACTTATTTATTTATATAAAAAATATATAGTTGATACTTTTGTATTTGTCCGCAGTTTCTGTGGAGGCTGGGAACTATCTCGGCGCGAATTTGCGCCCTCACCGTGTATGCTCTAGTCTACGAATATTGGGTCTTCTTAGTTATAGGTGAGTGCCACAAACAAACGGACGAGGTGTATCTATTTTTACATCACAGATGAGAAAAGCCGGCTCGTTTACAGTTAAAACATAAACCACACCCTCAGAGAAGCATAAAGTTAGCATAATGTTAGTATATTCACGAACTTTTTGTTTTTTATAATTATTAGGTGTGCTAAGACATCTAAATCCAGGCTTTATACAGACTCAGTTGAAATTCCTTAAAATAAAATACAAAAGATTGAAAAGATCTTAGACAAAATAAACTGTTTACTATATAGTTTAGTTGATAGTGTATTTGTCTAATTCGTATAGTTGTCTTTCACCTTCTGTACTTTCCTTTACTGATACATGAGTGAGAAATATAATTATAACGTTACATTATGAATCTGTTAGTTGCAATTTAACTGAGGAAAAAATTTATTTAAAAAAAACTGTTTTTATGTGAGAATGTGGTAAGTGAGCTGGCGGTTTACCCATGGATTTTTGCAACACCCGTGCGATTGGTGATGCGTTGCCACCTTACAATTCTTCGCCGGCCATTTTTTTGCATCTTTAATTGCAATTTAACTAAGGAATATATCGTTCAAAAATATATTTTTACGTGAGGAGGTGGCAAGTGAGCTGGCGGTACCCATGGACTATTGCAACACCCGTAAGATTGCTGATGCGTTGCCACCTTTCAAACAAAACACATCCACTTCACGCCGGTCTTCTATCAGGTCGCGGTTCTTCCCCGGACGGGCCTGCCCATTCGTGCAACGGCGAACGGTTGCCGGTCCGCGGTTCTCCTCCGGACGGACCTGCCCATTCGTGCAACCCTACCACGTTTCCGATTCTTCTCCGCCCAGGTCTACACTGGGTGTCGATGTTCCTGTGGCTGATATCGCCCAAGAACGTGTTCCACGGCGAGCGCATCAGCCGGCCGCGAAAGGCGTACCTCTCAGCCCTCATCGCCTTCGTCTACGTCTTCGCGTACGTCAACCTCCAGGAGCTGAACCACCGACAGAAGATGGTGACCACGCTTTCATTTCATTTTTTTTTCGTGTAAAGGGGTCGCGACTTACTAAGTCCCAACGACCACTGCGGGTGACCATGAAAGGCATCGGGACTTAGTCTTACCGCTGCGGCCTAGATCTACTGTAGTCTTCCCTCCGAAAACGATGCCCATTCTTGTAAGATAACATTAACCTGTGTTGTAAGGACGTTTTACGTATATAAATTTCACGTGGACAAATATCCAGATGAGAAAAAATTATCTGTTAAAATTATTATCACACAAATAGTTGTCTCTGAAGGCAATACCTTGGCAACAGCACCACGGAGTGTGTTACTATACTGATAGTATTGATCAAGTAAAATACTATCTCATTTTACTAGTAGATTAATAAATCGAAAACTGCACTTTTGTTAGTATGTAGGAAATAAATTAAGAATCATTTGAATTACTAAGTTGAAATTATTGAACTGATTGGAAATTTAGTAATTCAAATGATTTATAAAATTTTCAATATTTTTTTAATCACCCATAAGGTAAGATGCCATTATTATCTAATTTATAGACGTTTACTTTTGTTAAGTCCCCGATCCGGAACAATAACTTTAGGGTTGTAAGAATTTTCGTCCAGGCCGTGAAACTAACGACCAAAATAACCGAAGTCGAACTAGCGACCGGTGGCGACGAATTCCGTATCTTACCAACAGTGGTGCCTTTACAAATGACCACCTATCGATCATATTAATCGAAAAATCCTTCATATTAGCTTGATTTAACATAAGTATAAAAATAAACTTAGATGACTCCGTGGCGCATTTGCCAAGTTATTAGATAGTAACTTAGATGGCTTCGGCGTCGGGGGTTCGATTCCTACACGGGACAAATATTTGTGCGACCCACAGATAGTTGTTTCGCATCTGGGTGTTTGTCCTCGTGTAATATATGTTTGTAAAACGTCCTTACAACACAGGATAATATTATCCTAAAGTGAGGGCAATGTTTTTAAAGAAAAAAAAAACTCGAAAGCGAAAAGTGAGACCACACTCCGTGCGGGCGGCCTTAGTTTGAAAGTCCATTGACGGTCGATTCGATGTTTGTGCGGTGGCTCAGGTGATCTTCTACTGCGTGATGTGCGTGGAGAACTGGTTGCTGGTGACCGCCTGGTGGTGGTCGGGCAGGGCGGCGAGACCGGCTGCCACGGCGGTGGCAGCCGCTGCCGCCTTCTGCGCCGGATTGGGCTTCATGCTGCTCTACTACAGGTACATGGCAGCCTCGTCTTTTCATGTGGAAAGTTGCCAAGCGAGCTGGCGGTCCACCTGATAGTAAGTGGACCATCGCCCATGGGCATCTACAGCACCTGAGGAGCAAGCAGGTGCGTTGACAGCCTTTAAGACCTCATGTGGTCTGTAGTCCACAGGTCCTACCAGCATCGGATCTCAGTGTTCCGCAGGTCCATAATGAGGAACTACCAAAACAGCCTTTAGATTTTCAAAAGGTTGTAAACGCATCTGTAACCCTCGGGTGCGGCAGATGTCCATGGGCGGTGGTATTCACTTAACATCAGGTGAACCGTCTGCTCGTTTGACAACTTTTCACATAAAAAAATAGATGGTAGAATATTCATAATGCTTTTACAACCGCCAACTGCCTAATGCTTTCTTATAATTGCCCGTTGTCAACCTTTGAACTGGCGGCCATTTGGCTATCGGAACGAAATCATAAACTCTTCTGTTTTAAGTCAGTTAACTGTGAAGCCAACTGACTTATTATTGTTTCTGGCATATTATTGCAATTAAAATATATAAAAAAATGGACGAATTTTCCACATTCCACTCCATTCCATTCGTCTAGATATGAGTATCACAATAAAACTTTATATTAAATTTGAACACTGCTGCAAATTAAATTGTTATCCGTCCTTATGTAGTTCAGCCGCGCTATCGTCGGTCAACTCTTTGATTATTTATAGTCACAGAACAGATCGACTAAGTAAATTATTGTGTCGGTCTGTCTCTTCCACTGCATCTATAGGTCGCCGGTACAAATCCGGCTCAAAGGACCGTATAAGGAATATATATTATCATAAAGCTCCTATGATCTATTTATTTACAATGAAACTAGTCTGTTACAGAAAGCATACTTTATTGTTGTGTATAACAAATTATGTGTTGGGCGAATTAAACAATTCAGCAAAGTAAACCGCACAGCGCCAACTGTCATTCAAAATACGAATGAGTGATTAAAACTTGTAGAAAAGTGTAGAGATTAGCACTATAAAAAACTTTAAATTACGAATGGGTGATAATAATATTAATAATAATATGCTTTATTGTACACCATAAAAGAAAAAAGTACAGAACTAAACAAAATATTTATCAAATATTGGTCATCAAAAGGCGACCTTATTGCTACACAGCAATTTCTTCCAGGCAACCTCAGAAATTAATCAAAAGAAATTCTTATTGGGTAGGATGTACATGAAATTAAGTAAAAAGAAAGTTGCAACTAAAATAAAAGTAATAAGAAAAACATACCTCTTGTGTGTGATTATCAAAGTAAGAGTGAAATAAAAAGGGAAGGAGAGAGACATCGAGAGATAGAAAGGAGGTAGATAGAGAGATAATGCTTCTTAACCTGTCTTTTAAACGAATCTAGGGTTTGAGCGCGTTTAATAGCCAAAGGTAAAGAGTTCCAGAGTTTAACAGCGACAGCAGAGAAGAATATCCAGCTATGCATTGTATTGTTTATAAAAATTACTAGAAACGTTTCTGTATCAGGTATTTCCACGTGCGGAGATTGGGCTACATGCTTGGCGAACATCAACAGGGCACGAACAGTACAAATGCATCGTCACAAAACAAAAACGGTTTGTATTACACTTCATACGGTTCAATATAAAAGTAAAGTAAGCCTATACATGTCCAATAGCTGGACAAAGGCCTCCTCTGTACAGGGGGTATTAGGGTAAAATACACCACTGTGGACATTTTTGATTGTTGCTGGCACATATATTATCTTTTTGAATTATAAGAGTTAAAAATGACGTTTAGTTTTCGCATTGAGTTATAATGGTATAAAATGTTATACGATGTAACGTTCCCTGCTTGTTGAGTCGGTTATCGCAATCGATAATGCGCGTTTCTTCCTCCAGAGGGTGTGGAATGGATGCCTAATAATGCGTGATGTGATGATCTACATTTTTGTCTCTATGGTGTTCACACATCTATATCATTTGATATTTATTTAAAAAAGAAAATTATGCACATTTATTATAGTTTATTAGTCATCCAGTTCTCATAGTTATAAGCTTTGCTTAACTGAGTACTGGTATTATTTTGGACTAGATTAAACGAAACGAGCGAATGAAATTCATTTATGTATTTTACTTAACACTTACTGCTAGAATATAGACAGAATTTTTCAATTTTTCGAATCGATATGGCAACCCTACTTTTGAACAAACCACGAGCTTTTATTTTGTTTCGGACTAGATTATCATAAAGGAAACGGACGAACGAAATTAATTTGTTAATTTAGTTATTACTTACTGCTAGAAGCTAAAATAATTCTTCAGAATTATCCAGAATTCTTTGTCCAAAGCTCCAGCTTTTTAGAGCCGTTTTAAACATGTGTATGTGACAGGTTTAAAAAAAAAGATGAATAAAAGAAATGTCGATTTGGTGTTTTCTTACATTTTTAGACTTTTGAACAAATCGAGGATTATTTCAACAGGCAAAGGCTCTGCGGCGGCAGACAACACCGCCATACCGGGCGTGTTCAACTGTCGCTTCTCGAACCCAGTCAATAACAGGTACGTAATGCAATTTTTCATAAGTTTTGAGACGGCCCTTCATTTCTGATTAGACCCATTTTACATTTGCATTTCAATTACGAAAACATACATTTTCATTAAGAAGAAAAGCTTCAAAGATAAACTTTAAGTTTCCCCATATCATGAGATATCTAGAGTGAAATACATTTTCGTAATATTTTAATTTCAAATTTGAAAAAAAAAATTGACAAAAGTATCTCACCGCTGCGGGATTCGAACCCACGTCTTCAGCAAATTGTCTGATTGTCAGACAGACGTATTTCAAACACTGCTTGTCGCATTAATTCTCCTTTATAGACAAACAATTTCAAATATAATTTTACAACGATAGTACGAACTAGATATATTTTCCTTGATTGTCCTTGAGTAGTCGTGTCCTCCCGTACAATGCAGTCCATGCGAATGTTACGGGCGCGGACAATTTGCCCGCTAAGCGCCACTTTAATTAAAAAAAAGTGGGCCCGGTCACTTCACTCACCAGACGAAACGCGATAGTAAAATACTTCCACTTCACGCTGGTCAGAAAAATCGGACCTTACAGAAGTAAGGCCGTGACACCATGGAAAAGAATGCCCATCCATTCAAAAACAGTAGCTTATGCGTGGCCCCTTGTACCACGGTAAACACTGTCTACACTTATCTATATCCTTAGTTATATATATAAAAAGTTAGCATGCGTGTTGAGACATTTCCAGCAATGCCATCGGCCAAATAGCATGCACGTTGAGAAATCTTCATAAATGCCATCGGCCAAATAGCATGCACGTTGAGAAATCTCCATAAATGCCATCGGCCAAATAGCATGCACGTTGAGAAATCTCCATAAATGCGATCGACAAATAGCATGCGTGTTGAGAAATTTCCTGCAATGTCAACGGCTATTTAGCATGCAGGTTGAGAAATTTGCACCAATTTTTCAAACAAGTGTTCCTGTTTGACGCTCTAGCGCAGCGAACGGTCGCAAGAAGAAGAAGCCGACGACGTTTGTGCCCCCTCCCGCCGCCCCGCCGGCCGCCTTCTGGAGGCGACCCCTCGCCGCTGCCCACAACCACCACGTAAGTTTGTATTTAACTATTACGACCCTAAGCACTCGCGTAATACTCACTTTCGACGATCCGACACCTTTATTCGACGTCCCTATAACACTAAAGAGTAACTTTTTGTGTTTAAGAATTACGACTCTAATGCCCGGTTTCTATTTTCAACGAACGGCCGTTAGTTACATGGTTTCGCAATTTTCATAACGACTCGTAGATAAAAGGCGCGTACGTCCGGTTCTTATATTAACAAAACCAGGCGTTTTCCTTACGAGCCGTTGCATTACCTACGGAAAGTGAGTTACTGGTGTTCCTTTAATCTACAAGTAGTTATGAAAGTTACGAAGCTATGTAACTAACGGCCGTTCGTTGAATATGAATAGGAACCGGGCATTAGACCGACGCGTAAGATTCACTTTTGACGATCAGGGACGCCTGTCATCGACCTCCTCCTTAAGACACTATAGAGAAACTATAATATTCTTATTTTAGATTACTTGCTCATGTAGGCTAAAATAAGAATATTATACCCATGTTATATTGTAATCTGATCTTTTAAAAGAAAGAGCAAATATCGAGTTTCTTGCCGGCTTCTTCTCAACAGAAAGTGCCTTCCGAACCCGTGGTAACTTACTTACGCACGTATGTTTTAGTTATTATGTAAAATTCGAAGTTTCATAAGAAAGCGCAAGCGTCTGTTTGAATAGAGATATTTATAAAAGCACTAATTTGAATCGTCATCTGTTACCTGGGCGGCAGGGTGGGTCGTCGGAGAACGAGGGCTCCAGCGTCGGCTCCCGCGTCAACATCCAGCAGAAGCTGCAGGAGAAGAAGCAGAAGCAGCTCGCCGAGCTGCGCGTCATAGAGGAGGAGATCAAGCAGGGCAAGCTGGCCAAGACGACGCCCGTCGCCGCCGAGGAGATCTACAGCAGCCTGCAGCGGCAGCCCATCCCCAGGGCGAAGACCCACGCGGAGCCGCCCGCCTGGCCGAGCGTCGAACTCGCGCACTCGTACCAGAACTACCCGCCGCACCCCTGCGCCCTCTACACCACCTACACCGAGATCAAGCAGTACGCGCAAGCCTTCGCGGACAGCGAGCCGGCCGTCGACAAAGTCCGGCTGCCGAGCCTCTACAGCCCCGCGCCGAGGAGCTTCTACGAGGACCCGAATGTGCGTAGCGAGCGCCCACCCCTCCGCTCGCCCAACTACCTGGCCTTAAGCGAGGCCAGAGGCTACGAGCCGACTCGTAGCCCGAGGGCCGTCAACAGCCCGAGGGTCTACGCCGACCTGAACGGCTACGACACCGCCAACGCTGAGCCGCGCCAGCAGAACCCGAACGCCAGCGTATACTCAGAGGGCCACAGGGTCAGCATGGAGTACAACGCCTACGAGGCTCAAGGGTACGGGAAGTATGCGGAGGGAAAGGAGGAGTATATATCGGCCCTCCACACTGCACTGGCGACAGTCCAGGGCATCGACTCGAGGGTCTACAATGAGGTCGGCTGCAACCAGTACGGACAGAGCGAGCGGCCCTTCCCCTACCAGCCTGTGGCTAAGAAGGCCGAGCTGATGAGGAAGATGCAGAGGTGCCGGACGCCGGAGATTCTTCTAGCACCCCACTATCTGGAGGGCTGCAGCAGGCAGGTTTGCTGCCATTGGAGCGGCTCCTACACGTGAGTGCTTTAGTACTAGCCTCTGTGCCTGAAATTAAATTAAAAAACAAACTATTTATTTTAAATCAACTTCATGAGCGAAGAGACTGCGAACTTTAAACAGAGCTTTAGTTATTACAAGACATGGTCCATTAATACCTTGATTTCTTGCTCGATAGTTGGCAGTTTAAATACAATCGTATTAATGCTCTTCACACGCCTCACTTAATCTCGTTAGTCTGTTAAAAATGTACTTACAAAATCATGAACATTAATTACTTTATTGTGAAATTTGGAATGAACTTTGGAATATTATATTTTTAAATTACTTTCAAAATAAACAAAATTATTATTCCTTATAAGTAATGGTAAGTAAAAGTAAATTTTTAAGTAATCTTTAGTTTCTAATTTGTTTAACATTGATGAAATAATCGATTAGGACGTTATATACATAAAAAATACTTAGTAGTATCCGAAATACAACCAATTTAGTTTTGTAATATGATAACTAGATGGCTTCCTTAACAGCCGTGTCATTAAGTACTTGTTAAAATCGTGCGAGTGCTTATTTAAGTTCTGACGACTAGAGGCTTCTGTCGACGCGGTTAAAAAATGGCGATTAGCAACAGGAAAAAGGAGGACGGCGTCGGTGTGGGCGTGGGCCCAGGCGTGGGCGTGGGCAGCAGCGGCGAGGAGTCCAGCCCCGACGGGCCCGCCAGAGACACGCCTAGGCCGCCGAGTGACATCGACAGTCAGGTGCGTCCAAGTTTTATACGGCCTGTCTACTAATAGTAGTACTAATACTATTTGATCGTAGAGATAGGTCGATAAAAATCTTTTTTTTAAGTTGGCAAGCGAGCAGATGGTTCGCCTGATGTTAACTGATTACGCCCAAAGACATCCATAATATATTGATATTTTTGATTTTATATATCGATACTTTTAGTCGATATATCGATAGAAAATATTCATTTTTGTTTTCTTTCACATTTTTGGAATGTACGGTTATATGAGAGTTGTGAATAATTAACGTGGATTTAAATAATGCGAATCTTAAGATCTCACGACATCATTTGGAGTGGAAACGACGATTTACAAAAGGTCATTGTGACGGGCACCACAGAGGGCAAAAGAACGAGAGACCACGCAACAAATAGATGGTCTCGCCAACAGGGATTCTAGATGCACAAAATTACTAAACCAGGTCCACGATTGCCACACAAACGAGTAGCTGGAGATTTTTTTTTATGTGAAAAGTTGCCAAACGAGCCAAAGTTGACAACCTTTAGAAAATTGGGCTCCGGCCACCTCACTCACCAGACGAATCTCGAAAGTATTACACTTCCACTATACACCGGTCTTCTGTGAGGTCGTGGTACTTACCCGGACGAGCCCGCACATTCGTGCAACAGCCGAGGCCGCTGCGTGCCCCACCACCGTGGTGGGAGATAGAGAGTTACTTTCAGCTTACCCTAATAAAAGTCCGCGCGCGCAGATATCCCTGCCTCGCTCGTACACTCTGCCCCGCGAGTTCCGCTACTGGCGGCGGCGGCCGAGGTTCCGGGACGCCCATGTGCCGAGCAACAACAGTAGCGACGGTTCGTTCTAGCCCTAAGATTCCCCTCTCAACTGTAATAGAAACTACAAACACCCAATGTACTAACACTAGCTGCTGCCCGCGGCTACGTCTGCGTAGAATAAGCGGAAGATGTAACATTAAGACAGAAAGACAGATATACATAATATGTATATAATTTATAGCCTATGTCTTATTCTGATGTATAAGCTATATTATTGTAAAGTTTCATTAAAATCAATTCAGTAGTATTTGCGTGAAAGAGTAACAAACATCCATCCATACATACAAACTTTCGCCTTTATAATATTAGTAAGGATAGTAGGGATAGCTCGTAAACGCGAAAGCTCAGACGCAAAAAATGCTACGCCATTGATCAACTTAGCATGCCTGTGTATGGTGGTAGTCAAATACTCAGATTATATAAAAGAAGGCAGCTCGTCTCGTCTTGTCCAGACTATTAGATAAAAGCTGTTTATAACAGGTGCTATTATAAAAGCTCATTTCGTCTAGTAAAAGACGTCTGTTTAAAACTGTTTGGGCATAACTTTCTCAGGATAACATAGAGTTTTTGTGAACTTTTTCCCATTAAAGTAACAGTCTAGATATTTCCCACTGCTGAGCTAAGGTCTACTCTGTACAGAGGGTATTAGGGCACTCCACCACTCAACCCCAATGGTACACATGTCTTCACTTCGAAAACATGCAGGTTTCTCCCTGTTACCGGCTCATTCAGCCGCTACTGCATTTCGTTATCTGGCTCGTGGCTGTGCAAGTACCGTTATACAGTGCACTTGTAACAGCGACGAAATGCATGTATGCGCGTGCCAAGATCGATGCGGCGGCGGGATATAACAAAAAATCGTAACAGCCTGTAAATGTCCCGCTGCTGGGCAAAGGCCTCCTCTGTATAGAGGGTATCAGGGTGTAGTCCACCACGTGGCCCCACTTCGATTGGCGGTCTTCACATATTTTCGAAATATTTTTTTTTTGTTATTTTTCGAAAATATGCATATTTCCTCACGATGTTTTCCTTCACCGCCGAGCACGTAATAAGTCAGCACTTAAAATAAAAAATTTCATTGGTGCTTGCACCGGGGCTCGAACTCGGGTGGCTCGAGTAAATTGAATTAAAGGCGAGTGCCCGGACGCTGAGCTATCACGGCAACCGTAAACATTAGATCGAATCCCTTCAATTGATGACTCCGTGGCGCAGTTGCCAAGATATTCGGTTAGATGGCTTCGGCGTCGGGGTTCGTGGGTTCGATTTCCACACGGGACAACTATTTGTGCGACCCACAGACAGTTGTTTCCTAAAGTAAGGGCAAAGTTTTACAAAAAGGAAAAAAGAACATGTTAGAACGAATCCCTTCAGTTTCCCCACGAGCCAGTTCGCCCGTCCATTCGCAGGCGACGTGGACAGCGGGGACAACGACAGCTCCCGCCAGTCGGACTGTTCGGGCGCGTCGCAGCCGCAGCCCACTCGCGCCGACCGCCGCCCGCGCCGGCCCCACGCAGCCCGACACAAGCCGGAGACGGAGCTCTGAAGCACCGCGTGCTTCCTTATCGGCCTTCGAATCGCATGTTCTTACGTGAGGCGGTAAGACAGCTGGTTCACCTGATGCTAAGCGGCAGCCGCCTGAATACCCACTTGACGCGTAGTCAGCGACCTCGAATTTGTGACGTGACGACCTGGCGGTTGAACTGATATTATATTGGTAGCCGCCGCCCATGGACATTTGCACCACCCGTAGGGTTACCTTGCCACATTTCAAGAAAGTGGACCTAGGTCACCTCGCTCACCAGACGAAACGCAAAGGGTAACAGTTCAACGTCACGCAGGTCTTCTGTGACGTCGTGGCACTTACCCGGACGGACCTGCCCATTCGAGCATCAGCGAACACTGTTGCGAGGGTCTACTTCATTCTTATTCGAATCCGCTCAGCTGCTGCGTTGTCACGTGGACGCATCAAGGTTTAAACCTTCATTTAAAATGTTGGCGCTTCGTGATTAAGCGTCTCTCATGGTTTAAGTCCATAACGGATGTGATTCCCAATTACAACTTCGATGCTGCCATTTAATGAGTGAAAGCAAAATATCACAATTCTGTATATCTGAAACCATACATCGCCATTAATAAGATCAGAGTTGAACTTAAAGGTGTAGTGTAAAATTCGTCGCAAAACGAGTTTCTCAAGTAGATAATTATTTTATGTATATAATTTCTATCTGAATGAGCTATGATTAACTGTTCTGGTATTATTATCAGAAGTCTCTAAACCGTATAGGTACCTATGAACAAATTAATCTTCATGATATAATCTATGCCAATCGTAGCAATTAAATATTTTCATCCTTTCTATTACGTCTAAATAAGTTCATACAGATTAATTCCTTTATTTATTCATGTAAATGGCAAAATGTGGATAATTATGGGATTATATATCAATAATGAAAAAAAATCTATAGATGCTAACGCGATTGTTATAGACATTTTAAAATAATTCAAATGAACATAATTAATACACAAAACTCTAAAAGAAAAATTATATTCTTATTTATTACATAGAAATCTCGTCCTTTTAAAGTATTTAATCTAATAACATACCTGCGAAGTGGAAAAGTTTTTCGGCCAGTGTATATCGGCTTCTTCAGAGCTTATCGGGAAAACCATGCCAGGAAAGCGTAAAGTATAGAGAAGTTAAAAATTAACCGCAATCTAGTACAAAAATTATTCACGCGGATGTATGTTTCATACTTTAAAGAAATGAAATCAACAAGATTCCCCTGCTGTAATAGTTGAAATAGTCAGTCCATGGTTGAAATTCCTTGTGGTAAACGGCTGGCAGATATTAACTTTGAACCATGACTTCTTGAACTAGATTACTACTATGCAGCCCATGAGCTTGAGGAAGTATATATTGTATTGTTCGTCCTGTCAATTGAATTACCTAAAAATGTCGGTGACGGTTCAACCTACAGGCTGTCAAATCTACACTAACTGTTTATCACACTTACCTAGAATGACAAATAGTGTTTTCCTGCTTAAATATACTATGCATAAAATTGATGGCTCAATTAATAATAAAATAGATCTCCTAATATTCTTAAAGATGTTCAACACTTGTACCTTTGTATTAAGCGTCTAGTTTAGTCGATAGATAAAATGTGTATTCAAGTCTACTCCTAACGATACTAAACTCATGTATTTAAATTTTAATGTAAAATAAATTGTATTTTTGTACATTGTATATTTATATATAACTGTATAGAGGTGGGTTGTGAAATAAAATGAACGTTTTCAAACTTTTTATTTGCTTTATTATCTATATTCCAATTGTAAAAGGGGGAACCAGTCACTCGCTATCACTCCGTGTCACTACGCCTCTACTGATCAGCCATTTACACCAATATAAAGAAACATCAACCAAAAATAAGGTTTAAAATTCACAAATACACATTTAATGTTGATTAAACCTACCTTAACGAGTAATTGGTGCGAACGCGCCGAAAGGTCACACGAGTACATAAACAAAATGGATGTGTGTATATTGTATACTGTACAATCTCGTTCGTTGGATACCAGAAGATTGTGTTTAAAAAACTGCCATGCGTCCAGGAGAGGAGATGATATATAGACAATAACAGAATATCTCCGTTCCGGAACGCATTTGACGTCTTGGCGCGTCCGCACCACGATAAAACTAGAAGTTTAGCTCAACCCCGGACTTAGCGACGGTTTCGGCCACAAGTTACATCGTCAATGAACGTCTGAATATATCGCGGCAATGCGTACCTCCAGGCTTCGAAACTGCATTTCCACTCATTTCGAAATTCCATCACGCTATCGTATCTTATTTTTAATCTCAGCAGATTTCAAAGCCTAGGTCACGCCACAGCCGCGAAAGCAGCACCTATAATTAAAAACAAGCGAACGTAATAGAAATAATTATAACAAGAAATGATAGCAAGTCTTACATTTTTAATAAAGAGAAAAACTCTGACAAACTCTGATGTGCTGTCAACTAAAATTGAACTTTAACAACATTCAGGCTAAGTTGTTTTTATTATGCTAATTGAAAATTATCATTGTATTCCATGTATACATATAGACGCAATCAAGGACTTCGTCAATTTATCATGACTTTATTGTCTAGAAAACATAAGACATACGATATTGATTGATTACAAGACAATTGTGAACCTACGATAATGCTACTTAGATAAAGTTTGCATTGCACTTTAGTCATAATGTAAATGAACGCTCTATTTTATTCGTTATAAGTTTAAAATTCCGTCTCCGTGTCCAATATGATTCCATGAATAAATTGAAGTAGAATGTGAAAATTTCGATGTATTTGCTAGGTGATAATATTTCGACAAATACCAATTTACGCAACACAGACCTAGAACGATAGAGTCCTGCGTTTATTTACACATCTTAACAATACACTTAATAGAAACCTTAATATGATAGTATTTATTTGCGATAGATCCAGACTGCGAGAAAGTTCTATTACAACCTACGTCCGTTATTTAAAAAATATAGTATTATAATCCACGTTGATTACAAAATTCGAACAACAGTGAATTTCAAATTAAAAAAAAACTAGCACGAGCGTTTGTATGGACAAAACGACCTAAGTAATTTCACAATAAAGTGTAATAAGAAAATATTCTCTGTCGGGAGAGCGAAAATTCGAAATTCGAACAAACAACGATTCCGTATTTTTTTCATCACGCGATGGTTTTGTCGTGTGCCAATGACGTGAGGCCTAAACGTTGACTACACTGAACTTTTTACAAAAACCGTTGGACAACAAACACACACAGATTAAATAATGCACTTTAATAAAATAAACAGACACAGATCACCGGACGGTGCGACGAAACACTTGTATGCGCGTGCCAGGACCGATGCGGCGGGTGGCGCTGATATAACAAAAAATGGTCCCGACTCCGATGTACCGTCAACATATTAGCACGAATCCCTTCAGTTTTCCCACATCCACCGCACGGTCCGCACGCGAGTAGACAAAACGAAAACGACAACAGGCACTCTTGTAGTGGATCGCGTGATGGGTCATATAACCCCATAGGCAGAGTGGAAAACGAATCTTAGCATTACTACGGCGATTAATCTTTATTCTTAAGCTAGTGGGAATTATACCTACAGTATAGAATAACACTGGCTCGCGCCGCGTCTTAACACAACGGTTAACACAATATCATATTAATCGCGTATACCCATATAAGAACAGAGAGAACGGCAACGAATTAACGATATACGAAGCGAATATTACGCGAATTTCTTTTTCCAAGAATAGTTGATCCAGTTAAAATAAAAAAAACTCCATAAAGCTTCCTTACAATTTAATTTACAAAAGAAACGCCCGGTCAAAAACGAAATGTTTATGCGACACGCCGAGACGCCAATTAGCGCTAAATGACATTAAATTCTCTAAACCTCTAAATCTAAACCTCAAAACACTAACTTCAAAAATGAAGTAGTTTAATGTTAGGTTAGTGTTAATTGACATCTCTGAGAGTCGACGAGCGTGTAACTTATCTAAAGTAAAATCAACTATTCTTAGATTACATACTTAGCTTAAACACTCAACAAAAATACTATGGGCGAAGTGTACCCTTACAAATCGCATTAAGGCATTGTCGTTCTATCTGCATCTTACGTAACGTGAACGCTTAAAGAAAACTAAAAGTCGTGTTTCGACGGTGTGTCGGACGCGGCGGTCTGTGTTTAGTGGTGTGGCTTACATGACTATTTATATTTGCGGCCGATAGGTCACTGCTCACGATGATATGAGCTGAAATTAAAACAAAACAAGTTATTTATAAGTGATTCATATTAATAAGGTAATAATGATATGAAACAGCAATATAATTCCAGATATACACAATTCCAGTAGAGACAATACTGTAAATAAAATGACTTGTAAACAGGAAAACCAAAGGTCCTTTTATTAAAACGGTTGAAGTTTGATATTACATTTCCAATTAAAAATAGCTATGCACCTAAAGCTTAGCCACACCAAACAAAGAACAACAAATATTATAATTGCCCGATAATTTACGAGTAAAAACCATAAACACGAATATATAGCAGCAATACCAACAAATAATAAGTAAAAATTAAAATAAAAGAAAATAAAAAAACTACCTTGTAAGGAAAAGCGGGTGTTCATCCATTCCACTCCATTTCAGATAATTATTCTTTCATAATATATTATTATTGTAATAATATATAACTATGTCCTTTTATAAACTATAGGTATGCTATGTAGACATCTACACTCCTCCCTTAACTCCTAACATCTTAAATACACTGCAACAAACAAAAAATAAAAGAATAGTAAAACAAAATGTTCAAAATGCTGCCTACTCATAAATAATACAACATTTACAAATTATGGGTAATAAATTGCACACGGGAATCATTAACAATTCAGTTACACCAATTTAATAAATTGAATTTATAAATTTACTGAGTACATATAGACCATATCAATTTTTCCCTTGGTATTAAGTGGTATCTTGATTTCAAAATTTTTTAACATCACATGAATAAATTTAAATATCATAACTTCAAATCATATTCTAGGGACTCCCCTGCAACTACACAGGCAGGTGCTACACCTAAAACATATTTTTATTATCATATATCATTATTTCATTTCATTTTTATTAATCTTTTTTTAATTATTTACAAAAAAAAATTTAATACTGTAAGTCAGATAAAAAAATAGTGTCATCTTTCTCTACTGGCCCGCCACTGCCCCCGTCCGAATACAACACACAAAAGCATAAAGTGAAGAATGGCATTGATATTCTCCAACCTTAGCAAATTCAATCCTAATTAATTGGTTGAAAATTTGGTGGCTACCAATAATTCAAAAGTCAAGAAGAATGATGTGATAAAATTATTCTTGAGCCAAAATAATGTTAATAGACTCTAATAGTTGGCAGAAATTCTAATTTGTAAGTAGAGAAGAAAATCGTGCTCAGCAATGAAGGTTTATATCATGGGGAAATCTACCTATTTACCATATAAAAACAAAAAAAATATTACAAAGATATGCGATGTCTGCCAATCCGCAGCAGGGTCACATGGTGGTATATGCCCGAAAACCTTATACCTTCTGCACAAAAAAGGCATTTGCTCAAGCAGTGGGACAAATTTGGGCTGTTAAAATTTGCACAGTAATCACATAAAAATGTCTTAGATTTTACACTCACCGACTTGACTGTAGCCTTGATGAAATCCTTCTTGTGCGCGAGGTCAAAATCCGGGTAGTGGCTGTAGACCTGCTTGCACACTGTTTTCATTGTGATCTGCTCAAGGTTAGCTCCCTCAAGTATTTGCTTAACATATTTCTTGATCTCCTCGTCCTGAATTAGCAATTTGGAGTTTTTGGAATAAAAATGAATTTTATAACCAATATAAAGTATTATTTGCAAATAAGTAATGTCTTATATTATGTATATAACCAAATATATTTAATAATCTATATTATGCATCACATATATGATATTTTATAAACAATATATTACATTATATCATTAATTCTAATAAATGATATAAATCTAACTTTCTATTTCATTCTCTATATATTTTCTATATATCATTCTACACTTAAGTTGATATTTGAATGTGACTTTTAATAGATAAATTGTTTAAAAAGTTTATTTTAGTTTTTATACAATATATGCATTAAAATTCACATTGAAATAAAAGGGAAAACATAACGATCTTTAATTTACAGTGAATAAAACGTGCAAAAAAAAGATCATAGCACAACATCAGGAACTGATACATAAATTGGCTGGCCGAGTAGTAAAGTAATATTCTTTTTATATTACGTTTCCTCTGTTGATTTAGCGTGAAGAGGTATTACCATTGTCCACACTCACCGTGGGTGGTCTTTTGGCCTTCTTATCGGCGGGAGTGTCGGATTCTTCGCCGCTTTCTTCCTCCTCTTCCTCTTCACTTCCTGCCTCCTCCTCCTCGTCCTCACTGCCTTCACCCGACTCCTCCTCAGAGGAAGCCTTCTTGCCCTTCTTAGCAGGCCGTCCTACAGCTTTCCCGGTGACCTTCTTTTTAGCTATGTAACAAAAAAAACGTTTTGTGTGATACGAAACAGTTACGCAAGTTTCACTGTATTCATCTTTATATATATATAATTCTTCTGTGAGTGTGTATGTCACTGAACTCGTCCTAAACGGCTGATCATTAGAGCGTGCGGCTTTAAAGTTTACTTGTAGTATTCTATCTTTTCTGAAAGCAAATATGCTATTTAAAAATAGTATTTCAAACCGATAATTATTGATATTATATAATTACCAGGTGGCGTTGGTGCTTTTCTCTTGACAGGTGTCGCTTTAGCAGTAGAGTTCTTCGCAACGGCTCCTTTGCGTCCTTTCGCAACCGCTGGCGGCCGTCCGCGCTTGCCTTTTGGCTCCTGATTCAAACAACAAATGGGTAAATTAAAAAAAAAGAACAATGGGAGACATGAGACATACACAGAGTGTGGTGTTGTTTATAAATGTATTGTTGACATGTAATTAATAGAAATCTGGGACTAAGAGACTTTAAAAGACTAATATAACTAGATAACTTAAACCCAAGGGAGTAGATAGTTGAATGAAAACAGAAGGAATTATATTTACTCACATCGGATTCCTCTGCGTCGCTCCCGGACTCTGCGTCACTTTCACTCTCAGATTTGTCGCTCTCATCGTCGCTCTCCGATTTGGCTTTCCTGCCGCGACCTACCTTATTTGCTCCCTGTGAATAAACACGTTACTACTAAACATGTTTCCATGACTCTGCTGATTTCAATTATATTTATTCAATATATCCATCACACCTCATACTAAATAATCTTTCTCAAAATTGGAGTTTTATTTGAAGCTTAAAGTAGATTATTTGAAATTAAATTACTTTAAACCTGATCGAAACAGTTTAAAAAAAAAGTACAAATAGACTATCCGTCTCACCCGTCCGCGCTTGGCCTTGGGCTTGCGTCCGCGCTTGCTCGGCCTCCCTGCAGAGCGCCGCCTTGAGCTGCTCTTCCGCTTGCGGGCGACTCCGCCGCCGCTCTCGCCCGCCTCTGGGTCGAAGTCCGAGTCCGCTTCGGAGCCGCTCGGGTTGAACGAGCCCTGTCATATATCATACTATGTAGTGCATGTCAATGATGTACATCATTATCATCATTTCAGCCTGTTTGAGTCCACTGCTGAACATAGGCCTCCCCCATAGACTGCCACGAAGTACGATCCTGAGCCACCTGCATCCATCGAATTCCCGCACTTTTGCACAGGTCGTCACTCCATCTAGTGAGCTGTCGTCCCACACTGCGACGGCCAGTAAGAGGCTGCCACTCGAGAACTTTTCTTCCCCAACGGTTGATGTACATAATTGACATTAACTTAAAACAGTAGAAACCCGATTATATGAACATCGATTATACGGATATCCGATTATCCGCACTCATTCCTTCCAGAGCCGCTCGGATTAAATGAGCCCTGTCATATATTATAGTATGTACATAATTGGCATTAACTTAAAACAGTAGAATCCCGATTGTCTGAACATCGATTATACGGATATCCGATTATCCGGACTCATTCCTCACGGTTCTAATTATCCGACTTAGGAATCAAAATTTGACGGCGCAACGAGACATATTACTATTTTTTTTTGTATCGTATTGTCAAAATTAAGTATGTAAAAACCTTTCTATAATAAAAAAAGTTATTAATGTTTATTTATTATTTGATTTAACTTTGAATTCGATTATCCAGATTTTCGATTATACGGACCCCTGGTTTTATTTCATTCGAATAATCGGGATTATACTGTACACGAAATTAAATAAAAAAGCGACATTGTTCACGGTGCCCTAATGATTGACTACCGCAATTAAAATTATTAAAACTTTCGTGAGAAATTATTAACGAAATAATAAAACTGCTGAACTCACGTTCAATCGATGTATGCACCGATGCATAGAGTTGCATATATCGATTGAACTTCCGTCTCGCACTGACGACTAGACATCGAGACGGGGCCCAATCGCGAACTCATGCCACTCATCCTGATGAAGGACATCCGATAGGTCTAAAACTAGTCGGTACGCACATCGATTGTCCGTCAGTTCAGCCATTTTATTATTTATTCCGTAATTAATACTTCTTTCAAGCGCCATGTTTACTTAGTGCAACACGGGCCCGCCTCCGGTGCCCTAATAATTGACTAGTGCGCAATTAATCCTTTTTGTCAAGATGTCGCAATATCAGTCTTATAGTTATCAGGAAAGTGACAGTAAATTTCGCCGCAAAAAAAAATGTTATAATAGCTCGGTCGGTAATCGGGCGGCCCCAAAAGAGACGGCCGCGGTTCGTATCACGATCATTTACACACTTATTTTTTAACTTTTTTTTCGATTCCAGATCATTGCTTTCTTTATCTTTTATTTTTTGTCGATTTGTTATTTTGTTATTTCTTTTCCGTTTTTTTTAAAGTTCTTTCTTTTGTGAAAAACACCACTTCATATTTTCTTATTATTAAGTCGGTAAGATCGAAAAATATTATGCATATTTCATTACTTAGTAATTTTTATCTAAATGTAATTTCCAAAATACACGATTTACCAAATCAAAAACAAACCGAGCAAAGCTCAGTCCTCTAGGTACTATGTACTAATACATAGACAACAACATATATTATGTAGATAACACATACTGAATTCTAGATTACTGGACGGTACATGCGCTTTAACGTACGACGACGTAACGACATACAACTTTAGCTGAGCGAATTTTTTAGTCATGCGATGTCAAGATCACAGCACGGAATACGTGCGGAATCAATTTGTTTTTTACTTTTAGTGTATGGGGATGGCCACCTCCCCTCACCACCAGCAGCATTTTGGAAATCAGTTTATTGTTAAAACCTAAGCTCAACAGCGTTACTACGTCTACGCTGTCATGGTTAGGAGATAAGATACCTTGTTTTATTATTACATTACATAAACCATTTTATTTTGTACAGAAAACCACCAATGATTTAAGCTTTTGTAGTCGTTTTAAATTTTGAAATGTTTTATGCATAAAAAATATATTAAATTAATCAAATGAAAACAGGTAAATAGGCAATGTAAAAGTAATATAAGTTACTTCACACAATTGGAACAATATGGGTACTTACATCTGAATCTTCTGATCCATCTTTTGCAGGTTTGGGACCTTTGACTTTTGTTTCAGGATCAGTCTCGTATTCTTCATCAGAATAACCTACAAAGAATATAAATTCACAGATAAACCGTAAGAATAATATAAACGTATATCAGTAATGCTATGAGGGTAATTGCTCATCTGGCATACAAGTTGTATATGGTCTGTCATACGGGAGTTGTATGTCAGAGTCCTGTACTCGTATTTTACAATGGCATACCAGGTGGTGGATGGCCAGTGGAATAGAAAAGAATGGAATATACTTTATTGTACACAAGGAAATACATAGAAAGAAAATACAGGAAACATCGTATACAAAGGTATACAAAGAGGGGTATAATTGATGACTCCGTGGCGCATCTGCCAAGGTATTGGCTTCGCCGTCAGGGTTCGTGGGTTCGATTCCCACACGGTACAACTATTTGTGCGACCCACAGATAGTTGTTTCGCATCTGGGTATTTGTCCACGTGAAATTTATGTTTGTAAAACGTCCTTGTAAAACACAGTATAATGTTATCCTAAAGTGAGGTCGACGGTTAAAAAAAAAACATGCGGGACGATCTTGGGGGACTGCCGATAGAAGTGAAAACTAAGTAACTAAGCTCAATTTTCAATAGGTTGTCAATGCATCTGCAACCCTCGGGTATAGCAGATGTCCATTGGCGGCGGTATTCACATAACATTAGATGAACCGCCTGCTAGCTTGACAACTTGTCACAAAAAAAAATTGTGTATTTAACCGACAAGCTATTAGATTATTATTTTTGGTTTGTAAATAAGGTGTTAATGAATAATTTAAACGTTAATCCATGATCGAACTTGACGACGAAGCGGGCTTCGCGCTTTTTGTTTACCCAAAAAGTACACATATATACACAGTACAAATATAGCTCATTGAAGGTGATGACGCGAGTTCCATGGTTTTTGTTCACCCAAAAAGTGTTAAAAAATAAATAGGCGGCCGGCCTTATGAATGAATGAATACACTTTTATTGTCCACCACATAAAAGTGACAAGTGCCTTATTGCTAAGGTAGTATCTTCCAGTAGTACGGCTGTACACTTTTATCGTCCACCACGTAAAAGTGACAAGTGCCTCATTGCTAAGGCAGTAGTAGTATCTTCGAGTGGTAGGGCCAGGGTAGAGCGGTAGCAGGGCACCCACCTCTGTTGTGCACCTTGACGGCGGCGGAGCGCCTGGGGCGGCCGCCGGGCGCCGACTGGGCCGAGTGGGCGGGCGGCGCGCGGGCCACGCCGCGCGCGTGCGGCGAATTCGCGCCAGGCTGCTGCAGGAAGCCCACCAGCCGCGCCGCCAGCTCCGACGCCGACCCTGCACACGGACGGCGCTTCAGTTCAGTCGGACGTCGGTTCGATTCCGACGAGAGATAACTGTTTGCGTGGCCCACGGACATTTGTGTTTGACCGCGTGCAATTTATGAGTGTTAAACGTCCTCACAACAGGAGTCGCCGCGGGGGTCGCGGGTCAGATATCCGCACGAGACAACTGTTTGCGTGACCGACGGATAATTGTTTCGGAACTGTGTTGGCGCTGGTAACACTGTATACCGGATATGACGTTATCTACTCGAGCCAAGGGACACATGGTCGCATGGAGCAGCGGTCACTTGGATTTCGGCCGCGTTCCCAGACGGTTATATAACCACTAGTGCTGCTTGTCGTTATAATAGTTTTTAATATTTACGTTCAGTAATAGTTTAAAATATTAGGATCAAGGTAAAAACGTTAGAACTCTTATAACTGGGTGTTTATCCACGTCAATTTATGCATGTTAAACGTCTTACAACACAGGAAATGTCAGTCCTGCAGTGAGGGGACAATGTTTTTTCGAAAGGTAAAGTACAATAGATGTTTCTAGGTTGCAGTGGTCATTTAGGCTTACTACACGCTCCTAATATGTGTGTGGGTGCGCGACAAAAGAATTATGTTCTAAGGAGTTAAGTAAAACCAATTAATCAGATTCTCAAAGTATGCAGAGGTCATTAACCCCCTTTCCATGGTGCTTATACAGTTATTTTGGCTTCATTATAATATATATATATATATTATAATGAAGCCAAAATAACTGTATAAGGTATATATATATATATATATATATATATATATATATAGATATATATATATATATATATATATATATATATATATATATATATAAGGGCGAGGTCACTATTCAACAGTGAATACTATCTTCCTTCCAGATGATGTCGACAAATGAGTTCCAAACACATTAAACATTTCCACAAACCTTTCTTATCCAAATCGAGCATTTCGCACATTGTGCGCAGTTGTTTGGGCTCCATCTTAGTGGTCTCCTCTAGCTTGGCCTTGTACTCCGTGGATCCGATCGCCCACTCGTAGCCCTTGAACTTTTTCACGTTGCGCTTCACGTTACGATCCAAACACAATTGCTGCAAACGGTTTTCATTCATTTATATTTAACTACAATATTTACATTTTACAATATTTACATTTAACTACAACAAATTTATTCATGACAATGTTCCAAGTCAAGTAAAGTAAACGTAATTTTTAGGTAGTTTAACAAAAGGAAAAAAAAACACTCTTCACTACAAACACAAATTGTATAATAAGAGTAAGACAAGGTTTTTAATTATCTAGTAGCATAAACAGAATAATAACAAATTTCGTAACAATTATTATTATTGATCGTCATAAAAATTATTATATTTTAAGTTTAAGCTGTACTCGAAACTTCATGAGATGTCAAGTGTTACCAAACTCACCCCATATAGATATTGATGCAACAGTTTCTGATCTTGAGTCTTGAAGCGCGATAGTGATACTTCAACGTTGCTGATATGTCCGAGAGGCGTGCCCTTTCCAGCTGGAAGCGGCACTGGAGGCTCCGTGGGCTAGAGATAACGCAGTTTATTTGCATATTTACGGAATAAATGTATGTTTATAAAATTCTGTTTTCGCAATAACATATTGTTCAGTGCCACAAATGGTTAATTAATTTATATTTCTGTTGTTAATTAATTACAAACAATTATATTACTAATTGCACATTACTATTTTATTTGTTGATTTTGAAATGTGGCACTAGTTTCTTCTAAGTTTTGATAAAAAGATTAGCCGAAAACCATGGGGACTAACAAGACTGTGTTCTGAGAAATACTTTTTGTTTTGAAGAATAAATAATATGACAAATTGCAAGAGTTAAGTAAACCATAGAAATTTGCTTACTAAATACTACTTATTAAGTAAGTAATGCTTAAAAGAGAAAGCAACCGATAAAAATAAAATACATAATTATATACAACTAGTTTTTAGTCCATTAATAATACATTGACTCAGTTGTGAAAAAGCATAAAAGGAAACAGCAGCCTATTACCAAAAATAAAGTTTGGGTTTATATAACATAGTCTTAACTATCTTGTTTGGTTTAATAACCAAACGAGATAGTTAATACGCGACAAGCGGTGCGGAGGCAACTGCGCTAACTGAGGCAAGACTGCAAAAAAACTATATATATATATATGAAAAGGAATGTCTGTATGTATGTTCACGTAAAATTCGAGAACTGTTAGCCCAAACATTTAAAGTTCCACATGAGCACTACGACGGACATAGTTATGTTAATACCGGGATAGGTGGCACTGGTGGCAGTGATATTTATCTTTTGAACCATAGGTCGAACTGAATACGGTAACAAATACTACCCCACCTCTTTTTTGGGTTTCGGTTTGGGCGCCTCCTCCTCTTCCTCCTCCTCCTCCTCTTCTTCTTCTCCCTCCTCATCCTCACCCTCCTCGTCGTCACCCTCGTCATCCCCTTCTTTTGGCTTCTTTACCGGTTTCTTTACTCTGATAAATCAACATGTGTTTCTAAATATCGCTTATAAGCCATCAGGATCATTCTCCTGCCCTTATCCCACCTAGGTGGAGTCGGCACAACATACGAATCATGTAAGCGGTTTTCGCTATGTTTTGGCCTATCGACCTACCACAAACTACCATCCGTCAACCCTCCTTAAAAAAACACCCAGATTCGGAAAAAGTATCTGTGGATCACACAAATACTTGTCGACGCCCACGACCCCCGACGCCGAAGCCAACGGCGCCAACGAGTCATCGCTTGCAAGTGAAAAATGATATCAAAATAGTGATGACCTAGTGGATGGAACGTCAGCCATGTGAAGTTAAAGTAGTAGGTTCGGATCACAACCAAAAATGTCAATAAAAATGTATTAATAAATGATTATAGTACTTGTCTTTAGGTGGTTTCTTTTCTATCTCCTCATCGGCCTCATCTCCTTCCTCGTCTTCTTCCTCCTCCTCCTCCTCCTCCTCCTCCTCATCTTCTTCTTCAGTGTCCTAATTTTAAAAGAAAATCTTTATTGCCATGGCTAATGATAAAAAACAAAACCGCATTGATTTCAAGTTTAGTTAATTTATTATTATTAATTCACAATCAAGCTTTTTAAGGTGTTTTGAACGTCTGTTACCGGTTCACTAATACCATTATTGTTTAGAAGAAGAAGAAGATTATATGTAAATTTTTATCAATTAATAAAATCATTGGGATTAAAGTTGCAATATTAATTTTAATTAAAGTTATTTTTATCATTTTTATAAAATATTATTGAATTTACTGTATTACATATTTAGTTATACATATTTGATTCTGAAATTACCTCTTTCTTAGGTTTCTTTTTCGGAGCTAATTTCTTGGTTCCTTTGTCATTCTCCTTTACATCTTCCTTGTCGTTGTCGTCATGAGTCTCACCGTTTTCCTCCTAAACGTTAAAGAATTAAAATTTCAATAAATACATATATACTTTTAGAAAAAGAACATCACCGAAATCCTATATATAAAGTAAAACCCTAATCTTAATTATGCTGTTCAGTAATATAGAAAGGTACACTACACTACTCCCACTACGACTACAAAATAGTTACCAGTGGAATTTAAATATAACTCAAAACTACTGTACTATTCTCTATTATCAATATTTCTATTTATTATTTCTTAAATTTGCAGTTTGCTCTATGAAGTGCTAAATCAGCATTTATCATAACAAAAGTTTTGTTGGTGGCGATATTTGAATTATTCAAGTATTATAAAATTTGAACGCGAGTGCCCGTGAACTAAACTAAAACAGCGCCTGTTTCTGTTTAATCATGCAAATAAACGAAAACATTTACACAATAATTTTAAAAAATCATATAAAATCATTTAAATTCGTGAAATCATTACATCATACATCAAGGATTGAACAGATATTATGAGAAATCTAAAATAAAGCAAAAATTTCATATCCGGGAGACCTTGGCCCTTATTGCGGCTTCTTATATTAATTAAAACATTACATATACATACAATATTTAAATGGAAAAAAGATAAACAGGGACATCGTCTAATTACTTCTTCTTTAGAAAAAATACTTGAAGTGTGTTGAGTATTAGTTTGGTCTGAGGGAGTAAGGATAGAAGGAGACCAAGAAAGGTTTGGATGGACTGTGTGAATAATGTCTGTGAAAGAGGCGAGTATTGAGATTATGGCTGATAGAAGAAAGTTACTTAAAGGGAAAGACTTGCCAACCCCCAACTAGTCTGGGACAAGGGAAGAAGAAATATTACTTAATAGGACGGTCATAATTATGTATATCTGTGAGTAAATTTAAATGAACTTTTAAGTAGTAATGAGGTGAAACTATTGTTGTAATAAATCACACAAAAGTAATTAAAATGTTTCCCTAGACGATTTCTACCAAATTATAAGCCGCTTCTTCTCTTTAACACTGATTTATAACAGGCTGTAGCAGATATGTTTTCTTCATAATCTGTTAAATCGAGTCGCCATTTATCCTTGAACGGCACATTAATATTTGATATGCATCATTCAATAGCAGCCGTCGGTCCAGATGTGCACGTACAATGGACTCTGACAATCAAGTCATCATTCTAATTTATACACGCCCGAAACATCGTGTTACCGTTGAATGACATTGCCTTTCAAGACTACATTATATAACCGAGAAGGGGAGTGAAATGTTTAAACAGCGGGAATCCCCGTAACTAAGCAACGATGAAAGCAACATGCCTAAATATGTTGACAGCTTATTTACGTATTAATTATTACGACATTACATATCGGTTTCAAAGCGGATAGTATAGAATGTTTCGTGAAACGTATTCATACGAAAACAGAATAAAAGAGACATGTGAAATTAATTTTGCAACCGAATAAAGAAATAATTTCTTTAACTTTCTGTATATTTATTTTTATTTTATACGAGAAGGTGGCAAGCCAGCTGCTCCATGGACATTTGCAACACCCGCAGGGTTGCAGACGCGTTGCGCTCTTTAGTAAAGTAGGCCCCGGCTACCTCACTCACCAGACGAAACGCCGAAGTATATCACTTCCACTTCACACTGGTCTTCTGTGAGGTCGTGGTACTTACCAGGACATAGTCTCATATTATCATCTGTCACACCACAATAATAAGAGATCGTTCAAAAGAAAACCGCGAATGTTTCATTGGTAGGCAATCAAACTGAGTCCAATATAAACAAAGAGAAACTGACTGACCTTTACATCTTCGCTCTTTGCCTCCCTGTTTTCTTCCTTGGCGTCGTCGGCGGCCGCGTCGTCCTCTTTTCCGTTTGCCGTTGCAGACTTCGCGTCCCCTGTACACAGAAAAACGTTTAATTTTGAGACGTGAGAATCTCGTCATCTGATTGGTAATGTATAAGCATAAATACTTATAATAAAGGTTAGTCTTCTGTTGGGTCCTTTCCCAGGTCAAGCCTGCACTGCCGCAGCCGTGAAAGTCAACAAAAATTGCTCTAATGCAACTCGCTGTTCGCGCTACGCATCGACAGCCCTAAGTTAAGAAACAGCCTATACGTGGGCAAGCAGAGGTACTTGTATAGTATATTATCAAAATCATTTATTCATCATATTAAACACACATCATATTATATACATATATTGTATATTGAATTAAAAACGAAAGCCCGAACACTGAGCTATCACCGCTTTAAACAATCCATTAAAAAGGTAAAATCAACGCCCATTCGTGGTTCATTTGGCAATTGCGTCGATACATATTTTTAAACGGGTCCTTTCGGTTCCACGTTCACAGTACGCTTACTTATGTATGCACATACATCGAAAATAATAACCAGCTAGAACGTCTGCAAGAGTTCCCATTGTATTTGGAGAGACCCATGTTACTTTCATATTTCAGTCCAATCGAGAGCCAAACGAAAAACATTTTGAAAATATCTTTTTAAGATTCGAAAACCAAGTTACGATCAAATAATCCAATAATAAGCAGAATCCTAAATTCTAAAGACCCGTTAAACTTGTCTCTAGTAAATGTATGTCTCATGTACAAACGTGTATTTGAGACAGACATTTAGACGGTTGAATTTTAAAAGAAACTATGGTTGTATTAAACAAAAAATGTGCAATATACCACATCGCTGATCTAATTAGTACATTTTTTATCAAATAACACACAACATAGGGATATTCACACTTGAAACATCCACTAGAAAAATCTTTAAAAAAAAGTAGCAATGTTATACAAGAGATTCTAACAATTTATTTTTATTTCCACACAAAATATAGTAAATCTGTGCCCGTCATTAACCTGTTTATCACTTAGTAAATATTGATTTCTGTGATCAACAATATTTTAATATTACAAATATTACAATATTTATAATACAAAGATAATAATACTTACAAAGTAAAATCTACACATATATTTAATCATACGATATCATACGTTAGGTGGGATTGTCTATTCCGTCTACGTGTATGTATGTATCTGCATAAAATGCAAATCTATTAAATATGTAAAAGTATCGATTTTGAAATTTTCACACACAAAGGATCGTCTTGAATACAATATATTCGTGATAACGGCATTGTTTCATTCAATGTCGACAGAGAACTTCTTCCATCACTTTCAATCCCGATAGATGACCTTGTATCTCATTAAAATAAATAGGTTTTTTTTTTCATGATATTTGTGCCGAAATTTGAAAAACAGATAGAAGCATGTTACATACTTATTATCATTACATAAACGCACCGATATAGAATTATCAAATAGATAACAAAAATTAATACGGTCACCGGAACAAATTGTTATTTCTCAGCCAAAAAAATTTCATCGCTTTTTATTTTTATTGAAGTAATCATTTTATGCTGGCCAAAATTACTTTTCTCAAAATTAGTCTCTCATCGACAAACATTATTTTTTCTACATAATAGGATAAACAATCGAACACAAGTAATGTCCTCACAAGATTTAAAAATTATATTAATGAAAACTTATGCTTCTGGAGTGCTCGTGGGCTTATCGAGCCGTGCATTATGCCTGCATTTAAGGTATAGTCGCCATTATCTCTGGACTCTACGGCTTCAAATATCCTATCGCACTCCGTTTCTTGAGCCGTTTTACTTTTATGTGGAAAAAATCTGATCGATGACGTGTTCAATCTTTTATAGATAATTAAAGTTTACAAACACGCGCACAATGAAGTGAAATGGTCGCCACTCCCTTCAGACGATAATTGGCACTGAATCCTCATTAAAAGACGCGTTAAATATTTCGTCTGTTCTGTTTTTGGACAATGAAACTTAAATATTCACCTATCTAAACTTAACATTATACTATATAGGTGAAGGTATTTATAATTTCGTTCATCTCTAATCCAACAAGAAAGATTTTGAAAAATATTTTTTGCATTGAATAGGTACCATCTGTTTACTGATTAATATCCTCACATTAGTCTACGACCTTTAGAAGCCGAGCTACCGTACATTGGGTAAGACGTTACATATACGAAATAAGCACGCACAAAGTGGAAGATGAACGTATTATTAGGCAGTTAGCGTACAGTAATATACCGAACAAAATCACCTTATGGAGTCGAACGCTAAACGCCCGCGAAGCATCGGGCGACAACTACTGTGATATAAAGGCACACATTGATGACGTAAAGCCGATCAACACATATCGGTATTCTATGATGCATAAATTCTATGCTGAGGAGAATTGTACAACTGACCGCCTTTTATAAAACAACTAGCGACCCGCCCCGGCTTCGCGCGGGTGTAATGTATTATACATATAAACCTTCCTCTTGAATCACTCTATATGTATATTAAAGAAAACCGCATCAAAATCCGTTGCGTAGTTTTAAAGATCTAAGCATACATAAGAGACAGACAGACAGCGGGACGACTTTGTTTTATACTATGTAGTGAAGTGTAGAGGTAACAAAGCGCCAGCGACCTTATATTCGACTTTGCAAACAAGCAATAATTCTTGATATTGAATTCTGCAGTTGACCTACGGAGACCGAAAAAAGATATGACGTCGAATGTTTTGTACGTTGGTCTCCGAGCGGAAACGTTTCGTTTTTACTTCACATGACTTAAGGCCCATTTACACGATGCCATTTTCTTGAACATACAAGAGCAATAATTGAATGCAATAAATTGCGCGCAATAATTGTTTAGACCATTTCTTGTTTAGACCATGCAACTCATTTATTGCTTGAATTTAATTGTATACAACAGGCAAGAAACTGGCCCCGAGTAAATGGGCCTTTACAATCTTCGACTACAATTCCACATTACCTACGATTTAAAATCCAATTTTAAGTCCACTTTTTAGTGAAACCTATCTGAAACTAAACTTTGTTGACTAATAAAAGTTGACTTGCCAAGCGTGAAAAATCTACACATCGACCATTGATATCTTTCACACAATATCAAGAGAACCGTTCTTTATCAACTTGGTGCCCATGTCTGTCTGTCGATCTTGGACTTGGAACATATACTATACATTATTGAATCCAGCATATATAGTAAACCTAATTGCACAAGTTCTTTTCCCATATGGAAACACTGCATAATGTATACAAGTACTTAGTCAGGTCTTGACAACAAGTGATTTTACTTTAAAGTAATATATTGACTCGACTTTTCATATTATACAAGAGGATGAAAGTTGTTGGTGTTTCATCCTAGTTTCTGTCCTTATTTCTTTGAGATAAGGTAGTAGTATGAAAGGCGGTTCACCCGATGTTTAATTGTTACCGCCGCCAATACAGCCTGCAATCATAATTATCGACTCATTCAACATACGATATGCAATAGCGTCAGTAATTAATACATCACGTTGGTCTTTTTGTGGTGCCGTAGCTCTTCCGCATTTCGAGGCTGTACAACGGTAACATGAGAATATATATAAATAATTAAATCGATATTTTTGCGTTCTGTCCCACTGAAGACTTCATTCTTTAAATAAAAAAGTAAGAGTACACAATACAATTTCTAATGAGGTGATAAAGAGTAAATTTCATTTTATAATTAAAGACATAATAAATTATCCAAGAGATATTTAAGTGATAAATATGAATTGTTTGTTTTAAAAATCGAAGATGTAGGTATCTCTATGTGTTGTGAAGTACCTTATATAAAAGTATGGTATTGGAATATATGTAGTTTATAGTAATCATGTTTTCGTTAACTGTACATTTATATGAGATGAACCTTTTTTTAAGCTTTTTCATTTTTAAAATACAATTTCGGATCTTGTTTTGCACCTACATCATATTTTTACTACTTCCAGGGTTAACTGGAAGAGAATGCTTATTAGAAGTAAGTTTGCCTTTTTTTGGCCTTATGTTGGAGTGTAGACAATAAATTTTTAAATAAATAATAGTATGTTCCCTTCGTCAGTAGTTCCTCGTTCGTAGACATGATTTATTTTAATAATTGTGGAGTAACACTGCAATGGTTTGGTAATAAATTAAATGTAACCTACATTACTCAAGTAGGGCGAACAGAGACAAAATTAAAAATTTGTATTCGGTCTAATTTGTAGCCTGCAGGTTATACAGGTAAATGTATATCACGGCATTTTGATTTTTCCAAGGACATACCCAAAAACTCGTTTTGCATAACAAGTAATTTAGAATAAGTATTCAAACCTATTACCTATCAGAATTTGTAATAAGTTATTTACGAGCGGACAATTCCGTAAGTGTAAATTTTATAAAATATTAAATTATAACAACAATAGTCGAGACATTTTAGTAACTGGCGTTTATAATATTATGCTGCTTAGAGATAAAATACAGCAACACGGAGGGAGATGTTTTAAATGAATTCATTTTTAACCGACTTCAAAAAAGGAGGAGGTTTCTCAATTCGACCGTATATATTTTTATTTTTTTTGTGTGTTCGCGGATAACTTCGTCGTTTATGAGCCGATTTTGAGGATTCTTTTTTATCGGAAAGGAGATGTCCCAAGGGTGGTACCATGATAAAGAAACCCAGATCTAATGATGGCAATCCTATAGGTATTAACAATGTTTTTAAATTTCTGATTGAAGTCGGTTTTTTTTTTGTTAAAAATTATTATAGCAGATGTCTGTACATATTTCTATAAAAAAATTTCCATGCAAATTTTAACACATTATTTGAATGCCATTTCAGGATTTCTGGTTTTTGGATTCCCGGCAAAAACCAGTATTGTAAATAAAATTACCTTCTATAGAATTTGAACATTTATTTTCGCTAAATGTGTATTTTGGTATGAATTATGCAGTAGGTGTGCAAAACAAATACTAACCCAAAAATATAACTTATTTTTACTACGTTACCTTACCTTTTTCTTACGTCTATAACGTATTTTAACATCATAATACTACTACTACTACTAAATGACGGAGAAAATTTAAAAAATACCAGTTGTAAATTAATTTGCCTTAAATATCTGTATTAAATGATTTTTGTGTACCCAAAGGGATTCCTCGAGCCTTGTTACTTAAGATTCTAGTTTGAGTGAAACGGAGGGAACCAGATGAACTAATTAATCTACTCGGTTCTATAGATAATTGTTATCGTTTATCGATGTAAGGAATTTTTAGAGTTTTTTAAATTAAATTAGCTTCAGGAATTAATCATTTCAATCTGTCCTTTAAAAGGATAACATTAAAATGCGCGATATTTAATTAATAGCTAGTTATTATTATAAAGGAAAGCAATTGGTAAATTCTGTAGTGTTCGTAATTTCTACCGCGAGACTACAAAAGAAATTATTTTAAGCCATAATAAATCATTCTTTGATCATTACAAGCCGTGATAGACTTGTCCGGGCGATCGCTTTTCATTCTATATACTCGAGCAACCTGAGTTTGTTACCCGTAGCTGGCACCAATGAAATTGTTAATTTAAAGTGCTGAATTGTCGCGTGCTCAGCGGTGAAGGAAAATATCGTGAGCAAACCTGCATTTTTTCGAAATAACAATCAAAATAAATTTCGAATATATGTGAAGTCCGCACATTCGCATTGGGACCGCGTGGTGGAGTATGCCCTAATACCCTCTGTACAGAGGAGGCATTTGCCCAGCCGTGGGACATTTATAGGCTGTTACTTTACTTTTTTATTACTTATTGTTTTTATGTAAGCCATGTCATTTGCCTTTATTGATTTATTTGACTTTATGATGTCATTATAGGAAGAAGAATATGTTGCTTTAAATTTTACGATTACTTTATATACATTAATGTTTGTTGATTATTAGTTCTATAACAATATTAAAGTTAAAAAAACTATCATGGTCTTATACAAAGTATAAAGAACTTCTGTGTATTTGTGGATAGCCTTCACTATCGATAGCAACCCACGGCCCACCACTAATATATAATGAATGAACATAACGTGTCGTAACGAACGTAAATTAGCGAGTCCCGTAGTAGTAACCTATAACTACCCGTTCACCACTTCCCCTGCTTGACAACCGAAACACCTTAAAAGTTGACTGTATATAGCACCTTTGCAATAGTATATTTCGTATCTAATTTAATGTAAAACGATTGATGTGTACTTTGTGTCCGTAATTTTATTTATGCGAAAAGTTGTCAAACGAGCAGACGGTTCACCTGATGTTAAGTGAATACCGTCGCCCATGGATATCCGAAGGTTACGGATGCGTTGAAAACCTTTTGAAAATTGGACTCCGGCAACCTCACTCACCAGATGAAACGCGAGTATTTGTCATACTTTCACTTTACGCTGGTCTTCTGTGAGGTCGTGGTACTTACCCGGACGGGCCTGCCCATTCGTGCAACAGCCGAAGCTGCTGCGTGGCCCTACCACCGTGAATTTACGTAATTGAACAAAAATCACAGAAATTATTACCTACTGCGAAAACTTTTTTCAATTATTGTCCTCTTTCGTAATGCTCACTGTTTCTTAATGGTAGGTCTGAAAGAAATTTATTAGGACCACGATCTCGGCCGAGGCCGATATTATTTTATTTCATTAATATAACTCGTCCTAATTTTTAGAAGAGTATGACTGTAACCGAAACAGAGACAGGTCTCTGTCGGGCCTCACCAATTACGCATAGTACCTAACTACCTGGTAGATAGTAAAAACCCGATATTCCAATTTCTGCCACCACTTCCACATACCCTATTTTTTTTTCCTTTATATTAATTTTGACCAAAATTTAAGCGAACTTTGACTTTATACTATTATACTACATGCAGTTTGTGTGGAACATACTTATCTAGCCCGGAATTCCTTGTTGGCTAACACATAAATTACTCTTAATAAACGTTTTCTAAATTACCATGGTAAAAAGGCACCAATTCGGAACTTACCTGTAGATTCAGCGAATTAGACACTGCACACACGAACACAGATTTTTGGTTAGTGATGAAAAGCAAGGTGAGAACTTTCAAACCATTAATGAAAGCAGTATACTTGCAATGAAGTATTCATTGCAAGTGTGAATAAATAATTTGCTGACATACCACGAACAACATTTTGATGATTAGGTTCTTTTGTAAATGACAGGTTAATGGTATATAACGTTTCATAGGCTTACGGCTGCACTCAGAGATACTTAGCACTATCAATTAATTAACATTGAGCTTGTTCATTTGCTATTATCTATCTTAAATTTATTAATACTGCTTCGCTTAATATATTACTTAGTTTAATTGTAGCAGAAATAATTTTCATCCTTTGATAAATGCAGATACTCAACTTATTAACTGCTATCCAAAGGAAAAATTATAACAATTTCAATGTAGACATAGAAATAACTTATTTCTACATCATATGAACTCATTTGATTTTAAACATTAACAAAACTCAGCCCACACAATGGATCCAAAACATAATGACGGACAGAACAGCACCCAATAGGTTAGTTGCAATGTAGATGAACACTGAGTGAGTCCACAAAGACTTTGTTCACAATCCTGACCTTCTGTCACTGGTTCACTCTGCTCCGCATTATTTGGTTGATCTACATCCGTGTTACCTTGGGCCTCGGTCTGAGCGACAGACTCACCCTTGGAGTCCTGCGAGGACTCATCCTCTGTGGTTTGGCCGTCACCTGCGCCTGACTTCTTATCTTCATCCTATAAAAACAATACAGTGTTAAATATGTGAAAATCTTATTAAATTATTAATTAAAGTATGTACTCCATACTGGTATTTGGCAAATATTATAATGGTATAATTTTAAAATTTACAGCTTAATTTCTTTCCAAGCTTCAATGGTCAACTTTTTTATGATTAATGTGATAAAAAAGTAAGTGTTAATAAATAATACTCAACATGCTAATTCATTTAGACTCATTAATCATTCATCTGTTCAATGTTTATAGCTTTTACACATTTTATATAATTCATAGTTACAAAGACATACAGATTATATTTTTATTTCCTAGCAAAGGCACCAATTTTTTAATTAATTTCATCATTTTCATTAATTTCAATTCCAAATCACACAATTACAACATGGATTATTTTTATTTATTTTTAATAACACAATTAAAAATTATCATATCAATAACAGGTTAATGGCAGATATTCAATTATACAATTCAATTAATAAGCATTAAAAAAGCATATGAAAAACATTACTTTTAATAGATAATATAACTGTTCACATTTTTAATGATGCAAATATTTTTTTTATTTGATGATATAAACTTCTTTCAAACCGAATTCAAACCAAAATTAATGTTCTTAACATCATTATTTTGGTACCTTCAAACAAAAATGGATCTTCTCAGTACAAACACAAGACACATATTCCAATGATGTATTTAATCTATCGCTTCACTACCGTATTGTCTATGTACATTTCATATATACATGTATACATAACAACTATGGTAAGTGTTAGCGAAAATGGAGAATTTAGCGAATGTTAAGGTCAGATGAATACAAAATAAATGAGTTTCGATCGAGATAAACTGCGTTTAAATTATCATAACTCTAAATATACACAGTACTATGGGAATACTTCCTTCTGGAAAACGAAAGAGGTCACCAATAATGAATCCGAAAACCTAACACTTAGAGGTTTTATTTACATCGCCCGCCGCGTTGCGAGCGTGAATATGAACGCGCGAGGTCGACGTTCAGTGGAATAACAACAAATCTCGAGACATCTTAATAGAAATTTCGCAAGAAACAAAATATCAAGGTCATGCGGATTTCCTATCAATGTCATATAATATCGTGCACATTAACAAAGGCCCTGCAACGAAATGCAAAGGGGCGGGGGTGGCTAAAATATGTGAATTCTTGAAAAATATCCCATTAGAATCAGTTTCTTTAACTGATCATGATAGCATTCACCGTCTTTATTGCAAATCTTTGACTAATATCACAACCCTCCGTGGCGTAGTTCCCGCGTTTAGCGGGAAGCGAACGTTCTGTCAGCCATGTTGAGACGCAGGCAAACATTAGTGATATAACACGGAAATAACACCACTTCACAGCTTAAAATGTTCTTAAGAGACGCGCACCAGTATAAGGAAATGAAATTAAAATATATATTTCACAACTATACCTGATTATCACTGATTTTTGCTTTATCGGTATCACCCGACATTTTTCCTACGAAGAAATTGAAAGCGAATTCCAAGCGTCTTCAAACACCGGACAACCGACAACACAAATGCACGCACCCACACATAGAAAAAAAAGTTTGCGTTTTGTTGCATCATAACGTATATTTAAATTGTGAAAGTATGATTTAAATTATAATGTTTAATCCTTATCACATTAATATTATATATTTTAGATAATTAATATTATCAAACAATTGTAATTACTGTCCTATTTCTTATAAAGTAATAAAAATTTAAACAAAATATTCCTTTCTAAAGAATACTGATTGTGTACAAAAATATATAAAATGGAAATTTTGAATTTGGATTGAGCAATTAATTTATAAAGTTATAAGTATAATTTAAGATTTTTGAATACTTTTTAATTTTATTTTTGTTTTTGATTTTATGATTGTACTTAATAATATTAGCATGTAATCAAAAAAAATGCATAACTGTATTGCATTACGTAATTTTAAATGTTATGAACCCATTATAAAATATTTTCAACATTTTATATATTTTTATTGTAATAATCATATGAAAACAAATTTAAGATCGAAATTTAAGATTTAAGTGACATCAAAGTAGCACATCTTAAATTTGTTAGAAAGGTGACAAATATAATAATTTTATTACTAAAAATTTTATCTGTCTATGTCTATATATAAGAATACTCTCAGAAAAAATCAGCACAACATGTATACAATTTCTTAGTGAATAATTTAATCCTAATTTATTATTATATATTTTTATTCATAGCTTTATATTTCTCTCTATATTATATTATTTATTTATATCTCTTTATACTACATTATGGGGGAGGCCTATATTCAGCAGTGGACTCAAACAGGCTGAAATTATGATGATGATGATGTTACATTACATTTTTTTTTTGTTAAAATGCCTTCACTTTGATATTAAACCATTTTCAGTATAATACTAACAAACTAGTAAAGAAATAACTCATTATAAATATACCAATAGTGTTACATCAATTTCAAAGATAATTCCAAAGAAATACATCATCATTTGCAAAATATTAAAAATTTATAAATAAATAATATGCAAATAAAATACAACGCACAAACATAGCATTTTAACAATGTTATACATAGAGCATTAATTAAACTTGGCTCTATGGTCACACCTTCGCACTTTTTCGTGAATAAAAATGATACATACTCTCTTTCTGTCTATGGTTCGCGTCTTTCTCGCGAGTTGCGAGGCAAGTGTCTAATAATTTTTGGGTCTCTTGATCCTTTATTAATGGCTGCCGGATTTCGCGGTTGAATGTGCACTTTAATCAAACATGAGTGATTATTCTTCTATGGCTACGCTTCAGAATAATAGCCAAACGGCAGGATTTGCGGCTGCTGTACAACGTGCTAGCTTGGTGAGTGGACCGACATCTGCATAATGGTACTTGTGACATCGTCGCATCATTTTTTCAACAGATAAAAATTTTGTTCATACCGTCTTTAAATAATTAATTAAGCGTTTGTATGATAGTCTACCCTCTTTTTTTATTACAAACGGCTATCTGTTGTCAATCATCTAACCAGTACGCCGTCTAACCTACTTTTTAAGTTGGCGTTTCATCGTTAACCATTACGATACATTGTGACGATCAATCGTTTTTGAGCGTAACTGCGTATTAATATAAAGTATTTTGTAGATTGCGGCTAAAATTGGTGTAGGTGGAAGCAAAAGATCTCTCGAAGACGGACCGGAACCGAGTGCAAAAAAATTGGCGCCAGTGGATACAGGATTTCCTCAGCAACAATCAATGAGGTATGATTAAACCCTCCATCTAATCATAACGGTTCTTTGTTTTAGATTTTTTTCATGAGTTAATTTTGTTTCTTTTCGGTATACTTATAGATAAAATTTATTGTCAATTTACCCAACATTGAAAAATTTGTCTCCGATTTAAATTCATCGATTTTTTTTTGTAATTATATCACTTCAAATAGAAATAAAAAACAATCAATAGTAGTACTTAAGCATTAGCAATGCAATATTTTCACATTTCAATTTTATGGCATGCTTATAGTTTGTACTTAAAGTAAGTTATTAAAATGTTATATTGAGATATGAAGTTTCTAATTAAATTGATCTGTTAATTTATATAACTTTTGATTTTATGTGTACAATCAGAATATCATACATTTAGCAAAATGCATTCGTAGTATTTTAATTATAATTTCAAATCGAATCTATTAGAAAAAATGGCAGATAATCCAGATCCTTGTAAAATAAAAGTTTATATGAATAATTGTCTAAACATTAAAATAATTTTGACACCTTAATTCTCATGTTTTAAAACATCATTGTAAGTTTCCATTCTTCCATCCAAGCTTTAAATGCACTGGCACAGTTAGATTTATTAAAAGTGTATTTATTTATTAAAAAGTAAAATAAGATATGTGTAGGAGTGAATTTTAATATTCTTACATTTTAAATGTTGATTTCTTTTATGTGAACTTAATTAAATATCCATCCAATATTTTTACTTTTTTTGATACTGCAACAATATATTCCTTATCGTTCTAGCTTTTCATTAGAGGATGTTGGAAATAGGTAAGTGTCTATGAGTATAAGGAGGGTAAAATATGTAATTTACATAGTGATGGATTATAAGGAATTAATATTTATACTACAAAAATTTGCTTTTGCTAAATGGGGAAGGAGACTGTGTGTAAATAGTAATAACATGAAACACCTCCGTAATATTCTTTCAAATTCATTTATTTTATTTGAATATTTGGCAAGGAGCAGTGGACCTGACGTAAAGTAATTGCTGCCGCCCAAGAAACCTGCAACACCTAATTGACAATGCATTGCAAACCATTAAAAAAGTGGGATAACTCACTCACCAGATTAAACGCAAAAGTAAAATAATTTAAGACTATCCTTCTATGAGAGGTTTGTACTTCCCTTTATGACCTTGCCCATTTGTACATCTGCAAAAGCTACTGTGTGGCCTTATGACATTTTACATGGCCATTGCACGGGGAAACATTCTGTGGAAGTTATTCAATTGTATTTTTTATAATACGGTATATTGTTTTCGATGGTGTCCTTGACAAACGTAATTACGTCATTTTTTAGTAGTGCATCTGCAGCGGCAGCAGCAGTTGCAGCAGCAGCAGCCCGTATTGCTGCATCAAACACTAGTATACCACCAGCTCCTCCTACTGGGGGCCCACCTAACCTAATGCAGGACCAGCAGATTAACGAGTACATCAGAGTGCCAGACAAGATGGTTGGATTAAGTAAGTTGAAAGTATAATCAACTCTTACTATTTAGTCTCAATGACCTACAAGTTTGCACTAGTTATATCTACAGCGTGTCGTTACCACCGCAACAATAAATGAACACACGTCTAACGCTACTTGCCTATAATCATAAAAAAATATTAATGTTTTAAAAAATACATAATTTAAAAAAAATATTTTTCAAACAAAGTAATTAAGTAAAAAAAAGCAAAATTTGTAACATCCTATACAATCACAACTGACTGATTCATACATTCAGAGACACTTTTTCATTTGTTGCCACAGCGTCACATTACAAGCCTCTACTTCTAACAGTATGTTTTCTCTTTTAAATTCATTCAACCCATTCATATGCTTTGTGACCTTTACCAATGAATTTTACGTTACAGTTTTATATGTAAGGTGTTCTAAAATTGTTTGTTTTTTATAATAATTTAATAACTCTGTAAATATTGATGTTTAAAGAATGTAAATTTTTAATACAATTTTAAAAAGTTATCCTCTATATGTGTGTTCATTTACTGTCACGATTGTAAAGACATGCTGTATACAGGTTGATTTTTTAGACGAAGACGACTGATATAATGTTAATTGAGCATTCCATAATTAAAAAAAAATTAATATTTTATTTTGACACGAAATCCAATCTTTTCGTACTTTTTCTACAAGTTTTAATGCTTAATCTTAAGTGCAGAGATTAGCACTATAAAAAACTTTGAATTCAAACATTGTTTATCCCCTTAAGAATGGTCACGCAGTTGATAAGCAGTTTAGTAATTATGCATTCAGTAAAAAGTTTTAATGCTCATGAATAGGTTATTGGATTGACACTAAGGCAGGAATTTCTTAAGGTGTCCATAATGTTTGAAAAAAATTGAAAATAATCTTTTAATGTTAATATGTCCGTCGTCTATAAAATCACCCTGTATATGTGTATCCATATGTGGCATATTAATCCAAAGTGCATGTCTTACTGCATGATTTTTAATTTACACTTGGTAGTATTATTTCTACTAATTTCAATTTAAATTTTTTCTTCTTCTGTGATATACCTAATTAATAGAATTGAAATTTTGCAGATAATGTTAAAATATTTAAGAAATATCATACATATCATTTTCACAGAAGAAACGACTCAACTTAACTTGAACTTAAGATTTTTTGATCAATATATTATTTTTGTGCATTTAAGTTACACTAAACAAAATAATTGATATACTGATTACAATAAATATGTTAAAAAAAATTACATATAACAATACTGAATAATCATTGCTAAATTCTTAACCAGAGGAATTAGATTTTAAGATTATTTTTACTTTTAGTGGGTAATATGCCCTGATGCTCTAGTCAACTTAGCTAAACTGTAGATTACCTCAAGGTGCAGATCTCCATATCTATCTACTTTTTTTTTTACAAATTCTTGGGGCCACCTAGTGAACAACTATACAGTATGGAAATTCTCAAATAAAATTTTACAACAAATTCTTGAAATGAACTGTTGCCCTTGTTAATGAAATTTTAGCATAATTATTTATTTTAGTACTCGCCTACACTTTTTTTTCAGAAAAGGACAGTTTTCAACAATTTATCCATTAAACTTACATTTAAAAGGGATGTTATTTTGAACAACTATATTCAATAATTTTATTTATACACCAAAATTTTATTTCGTGAAATTCCTCACAATTATCCAAAAAATAATCATGTTTTGTACCTCATTTTTTTCTGCAATATTAATAAGTTTCTGACAAATTTGGAACAAACATCAATGCCAGTTTACTAGTACTACAGTTTCTACAAAAAAGTTAAATGCAATTCTAAAGTCTTTGTGCATTTTGTTCTTTTCCACATAAATCTTCCTATACAGTCATAGGGCGTGGAGGCGAGCAAATCACGCGCCTTCAGGCAGAGTCTGGGTGCAAGATCCAGATGGCTCCGGACTCTGGTGGCCAACCAGATCGTCTGTGCACATTAACTGGATCTAGAGAGGCCATTGCAAGGGCTAAGTAAGTCTATGGTATATTATGATAATATAATTTATTTGAAATTATTTTTACCATCATGATTATGATGATGTGTGTATAAGGATTACTATATTCCTCATTCAAGTTTTCTCAGTTATGCCTCTTGGCAAAATGAGTGTTTCATGTTGTTTGAATGTTACTGTAAATTTTCGTAACAGAAGGTAATGGAACATGGATTATTATTTTTTATGATTATTTACAATGATAGTCTATACCATAAATTTTTCACACTAATTAGGTTATTTTGTTGTTGTAATGTAGAGACCTGGTGAACCAGATTGTGAATCACCGTGGTCGGGAGAATGCTCCTCAGCACCAAGATAGTCCAATGGGCATGGGTGGTGGTGGCCCGCCAATGCCAAGGCCTGGTGGTGGTGGTGGACTCGCTGTTACGGTATGTAATCAAATAAATTTAGCTTTCATTGATACATTACATGTAAAACGTAAATGTGTTTCTGAATTTCATGTAAGTCCTATATTCTATACAATGGTCCAAGGAATACATGTTAAGTATAACTTTAGAGAATAGTAAAGAATTGGCAGGGATTTAAAATAAAGGAAACTTTCAAACGTTTTAATTGTAAATACTTATAAAATTAAATAAAGTGTCTTTGAATATTGTTCTCTGTTGATACAGAGAGATAAAGAAATGTAAAGAAATGACAAATTATATTATGTTTACATGGCCTTTTATTTTTCAAATCTCAGTAGATTCTATTTGTTAGAACAAAAATTTACACTATTTTAAGTGTTAATTGACAATTCAAATTATAGTTAGATGTAGGGGTCTGAAGTTTTTACAAATGCATGCTTAATAGGCGTACATAACAATAAATATTAATAATTACTTATTAAATACTACACTTGACTCATTCATGTTAAAAAAAAAAAATTTTTTTTAGGACGAAATTATGCTTCCTGGTCCAAAAGTGGGCCTTATTATTGGCAAAAATGGCAAGACCATCAAACAACTTCAGGAACAGTCTGGAGCGAAAATGGTTGTAATCCAAGATGGACCTAACACTGAGTATGTAAGTAGCATTAAGAAATCCGTAAATTACAACAATGAGGAGCCTAGCGAATTAGAATGAAATTATGTTTGATACCCGTTTTTCCTACTGATAAAATACAATTTACAAGAAATCACTATTTTTAAAAAAGTTCAATACATGTTATCAATCAATCATACTTTTGGGATGGGCAATTTTTTTTTACAAAAATTTCAAGTTCTTATTTTGTATCCTGTAGGAAAAACCGTTGCGCATTTCTGGTGACCCGTCGAAAGTGGAGCACGCTAAACAGCTCGTGTACGAATTGCTGGCCGATAAAGACATGCAACAGGGTGGTCCAAGACAGCAGTATGACGATGGCTATTCTCAAGATCAAGGCAATGGACTTGGCACTAACTCCACTGAGGTGAGACTGTTCATGCTTTTCATTGTAATTTTATCTATCATTTGTGCAAACTCACGTAAATAACTCACGTTTGAAGACCCGAATGGCGTAGTGGCGTAGTGGTGTGGGTTCGATCCTCACTACTGGAAAAGTATTGTGATGAACATAGTGTCTGGGTGTTTATATATCTGTAATATGTATTTATTTACAAAAGAATAGTATGTTTAAGTATGTTTATCAGTTATCGTTGCTTAGTTTGGGAGTAGAAAATGTTGTGTAAAAATGTGTCCTGTGTCCTATAAAATGGTAAACAATATCGGTTACCTCATATTAATATGAGCCTGTTCTTCACTGTGGTTATTATAAGTGTTCTATATTATCCTCTATACACTCTATTCCCACGTTTATTGTTCTTAGGTACTTGTGCCGAAGATTGCGGTTGGTGTGGTGATAGGTCGCAATGGGGACATGATAAAGAAAATCCAAGCAGAAACTGGCTGCAGGGTTCAGTTCCACCAGGAAAGGGATGATGGGCCTGGCGATAAAAGGTATGATAGAAGCAAGTTCGTAACAGTAAAATGTTGGCACATGTTTATAAACATGAAAAATTACAAGAATTGTTTAAAACCTTAAAAAGTTTGAATATTTTCTAATACTTGCAGATGCTACTTACAAGGAAAACCACATCAAGTTGATCAGGCAAGGCAAATGATTGAGGATTTGATTGCCAGTGTAAATGTAAGTAATTTTGAGTTTTGGTCATTAATTATTCTTCAAAAATCCAGTTCCAAGCTTAAGATGAAACAATACATGCCTACATTATTAGTTCAGTAATAATGAGTGCATTTGCACAGATTGTAATACTTCCTGATTCACCTACCTCTTATTGTCTGAGCATAAGTATGTTTCAGTAACATCCTATTTCAAGCCATGAATCTAACAAGAAGTAGAAAGAAGATGGTTTCTTTACAAAAAAAGCTTGTCACTTATGTTTCATCAGTACCTTGGCTACGAAAGTTTTGCGCATGTGCCGTTGAGTCCATAAGTCAGAATATCGTTTAATAAAACCAACTAGGCAATCGCGAAAATGTCCCTTTTCTAATTTCTACATATAACATTCTTAAGATCTCAAGATATTCTAAGATATCTGGATCAGATATCGATGTTTGTCCATGAGATATTTATGTATGTAAAACATCCTTACAATACAAGATAATATTATCCTTTACTAAAGGGGCAATGTTTTTGAAAGGAAGGCTACAACATACCTTCCTAGTTCACAGTGGTTATTGGTTCTTACAACTCAACCCCTTCCACGCAAAATACTATAATTTCGTTCGTGCGATACACGTGTGTGGGCTGTTCGGAGGTGATCGAACGTACTCGTTACTAAACAGCGTCGCGAGCAGGAGGAGAGGGCGGGGAGGGGGAGGGGTGGCGCCGCGCGGAACGGCGAAGGGCGCGTCGAACGCGAGTACCAGTGGCAGGAGCAGCCTGAAGTGCGAGTCACTTTCACCGTCTCCAACGTCAAGTGCGGCCTCATCATCGGCAGGCGTGAGTGGCTGATAATATATTGTAGTAGTTGTGCTGTACGACCGTCTCCCAACGTTGAGGCTGAGAGCGTCACTTAGTGAGAGTCTGATGGTGAGGCAACAGGTCCATAAGAAGCGAAGTATTTGTGTCTGCCTGGAATTTTTTTTGTTTTGGTACCATTCAGTGGTGCTTTGTTTTATCAAGAAACATAAAATGCTCCTTTTCTTTATTTTATAACTATCTTACTATCTCACCTGGTGGTTAGAGGTCATGGACAAGTATGCAGTTTGCCAGCCATATCTATTTATAGCTTGACCAAAAATTTAAACATTATCAAACTCATGGAAAGTAGTTTTTTATGGGTTTGGTATGAAATAGTTATTTAAAGGTATAAAAAGTGCTTAAATTAATTCAATATATGAATAAACAACTGGACTGACTTGAAATGAAGTCTCCAGATTGAAAGCATTAACTTCAGTTAATGCAAGATTTTAAAATTGATTTTTTTTAATTTATAATTTATAATTTAAAAATGTAAGATACCAAGACCACCCAGTTTCTTGCCAGTTCTTCTTGGTGGTAGTTTTTTTTTTTTTTTTTTTTTGACATTCACTAAGAGCTTAAAAGCAAGCCTGTATGGAATAAAGAAATATTGCCTTTTGACTTTGTATTTTCACAGTTACATTGTTGAAAGGTTATAAGATCAGATAACTGTGGGCATATCAGTTTGAATTTTAATTAGTCGACCATAATTTACTTGTAACTACTTATTGACAATAGTGAATATAAATGCTATTGTTCAGTTGGTATTGTAAATATTTTCATTTTGCTGTGCGACATTGTCACGACATTAAAAGTGAATCAAAATCTCAGGAGAATCAATACTAATCAAGGTATGCAATACAAAATAATATGCCTTTTAATAAAAAAATGTCATGTCAATCTATATTGTTTGGCATACATTCACATATTAGACAGGATAGGTATGTACAACAATATGTTAAAGTTGTAGGAATTTGTATTGGTTTAAGTGGCCGTTTCCCCACTTGCGCCATTATGTACGCTTTCACATTGTGATTTTATCTGTGATATATATATATATATATATTTATTTTATTAGGAAAACTTACAGCTATTGAGTACTTACTTTAAAACATATATAAAGAGCCAATTACAAGTTTCCACCTTTAGTAAATAATTATGTTCTAAGAAAAGTCGAGCAAGTGATAAAAGATAAAAAAAAAATGAACATACCGTAGTACATACATCTCATTCCGAACTTATATATAAACTAACTATTTTAGGAAAAATATTGTTCTTTTAAAGTTTCTTTGGCCAACTTTGGAGAGGTAAAGAATGGGTCGATATTTCGTGCATTAATAACCGTGCTGTACCTGTGCCGTTTTAACATTGTTTTTTTGTGCAACTTTCACAAAAAGGTGGCGAAGTGATAAAGCAGATCAACGCGCAGACAGGCGCTCATTGCGAGCTGGATAGACGTGCCCAAGGGAACGATCGCAACAACCGCACATTCTATATCCGTGGACATCCCGAGGCCGTTGAGCATTGCAAGCGCATCATCATGGAAAAAGTTGGAATGGTGAGTTGAATATTTTTTCTATAACATTTGTGAGCACACATACAATTGCTACGGTTTAAAGTTGCCCATACATAAAAAGAATATCAATGGAATGCAATTCTGTACAATGTTTTTCATTTCAGCCAGTGAACTTTATGCCAGATAATAACGGTGGCGGAAGCAGTACCGGCAGCGGAGGTGGTGGCGGTAGCTCTGGAAATGGGGCCGACATGTACGGTGGAGGGCCCGGTGGTCCAAGCGGCCCTCCAGCTTGGGGCTACAACCCACACTGGCACCAGCCCGCTGCTCAGCAGCAGCAGCAGGTGAACGGAGAGACTTTCGTGGCATTTACGGGATTTCTCTATATCCGTTTTCTAAAATCACTAAGGGGGGGCCCTATTAGTGATTATTTAGTGATTTTAGAATTTAAAAAAGGGTCTTTATTATAGACTTGCATGTCTGTTGTTCCTTAGGATTTCAATGTCATAATTCAATATCATATTTCTGTGCAGTAAAAGCATTCAATGACATTCGGTCGGTTTATTTTGACATTTCTTTACCGCCATACAATTGACATAAGCTCATCCATCCCACATTGACATCAAGGTGTGGTGGTACAGGCAATTACCAGCACACTGATTGTGCTCAAACCAAATGCAAATGTCTTGGTATTCCCATTGGAGCAGCCCATTATTGCAATTGAAAAAGGTTCTCACATTACCACATTAAAATCTTACTTCATTTATTTTGATGGTGGAAATGTGGTATCAAGACTTTCATAAATGAGCAAATTGCAATATTTGTTTTAATTGTGGACACAGCAGCAAGTGAACATCAATCCAGTCACTGGGCAGCCGGACTATTCGCAACAGTGGATTGACTATTATCGCTCGCTGGGGCTCATGCACGAGGCAGAGGCGGTTGAGCAACAAGCCAAGCAACAACAGCAACAAGGTAACCATTGTTCTCTCTTAAATATCTATGTTATTTATTTCTAGTTACCTTCTTATTTACAATCATCTCTTAGCTCGCTAAATGTTGGTGTATAAAAATATTTACCAAAATGTGCTATTTAATTTAGGTAAGATGTATAGAGATATTAATCAATATTTATTCTCTGTGGAGCTTTATGAGTTTTTTTTCTGTAATTAGCTTACATTTAATTATATTTCATAATTATACTTTACACATAACTGTACTTATTACATATAAGCTCTTTTGCTCCAATCGATAACCTCCATATACAGTGTGTTGTTACAACCTCGACAATAAATGAACACACATATAAAGGATAACTTTTTAAAATTGTATTAAGCATTTACATTCTTTAAACATCAATATTTACAGAGTTATTAAATTTTACAAAACAAACATTATTAGAACACCCTTACGTATAAAACTGTAACATAAAGTTCATTAGAAATTTTAAATTGTTTATAGTGCTAATCTTTGCACTTAAGATTGAACATTAAAATATGTAGAAAAAGTGCGAAAAGATTGTCGCCGCTGTGGGAATCGAACCCACGTCTTCCGAAGACGTGGGTTCGATTCCCACAGCGGCGACAATCTTTTCGCACTTTTTCTACATATTTTAATAAAGTTCATTTGTAAAGGTCACAAAGCACATGAATGGGTTGAATGAATTTAAAAGAGATAAAACACTGTTAGAAGTAGCTACTTGTAATGCGACATTGTGGCAAAAAATGAGAAAATCTCTGAATGTATGAATCAATCAGTTTTAGTTGTATAGGTGTTACAAACTTTGTTTATTTTTTATTTAATAAGTTTGTTTGAAAAATATATTCTTTTTAATTATGGATTTTTTTAACGTTATATATTTTTTTATGATTATTGGCAAGTAACGTGTTTTCATTTATTGTCGCGATTGTTACGACACGCTGTGTAATATTTTGCCTTTTTCTAGCGGCGGCAGCAGCAGCAGCTACGACCAGCGCTGCAAGCGCACCTACGAGCGGCGGTGGGGGCGCTTCTGCGACTTCCGGCTCTACCGGCTCTTCAGGAGGTGCGGACTACAGTGCACAATGGGCTGAGTACTATCGCAGCATCGGCAAGATGAAGGAGGCAGAGGCCATTGAGGCACAGATTAAGCTTAAGGTAATTGATTTCTATTTTGGTGGAATTATTTAATAATAGTCTATCTGAATACTTGTGTAGCTACTAACCTTGGCGCCATTTCTTGGTTAGATTTTTTACTCCAAAGACTAAATGGTAATTTTAATGATGGTGAAGTGGAATTATTAAATTTTCGCATTTCATCTAGTGAGTGAGGTGAGGGAGCCGACTTTTTTAAACGTTTTCCACGCATTAGCAAGTCCTCGGGTGTTGTAGATGTCCATGGGTGGTGGTACTTACTTAAAATCAGGTTTACCGCCTGTTTTTTTTTTAATTCAAAAACTGGCTAGCACTTGACTGCCATCCCACCTGATGGTAAGTGGGATGGATGGATGCTTTGTGACATGACGTCGCAAACTCGGCTCTGCAATTGATACGCGATTGAACGACCGGAATGGTGTAGTGGGTGGGTAGTGTACCTGCTGGTAGTGGTGTGGGTTCGATCCTCACTACTAGAAATTGTGTGATGAACATAATGTTTTTCTAGAAAAACGCTTTTCTAGTTGTCTATTTTTTTGTTGTTGTCTGTTCATATAAGTATAATATGTATTTATTTACAAAGAAAAGTATGTTTAAGTATGTTCATCAGTTATCTAGTACCCATAGTACACGCTTTGCTTAGTTTGGCACTGGGGAATGTTGTGTGAAAATGCGCCCTAAAATATTTGGAAACGCTTTCGCGTCGCAGCAGCAGCAGCAACAGCAGCAGCCCACGCCGGCGTCCACCGCTGCGCCCACGCCGTCGCCGGCGGCACAGTCGCCGGCGCCCACGCCCACGATGCCGTACAACGCCCACTACCCGATGTACCCGCCCGGCGCGCCAGTCTACCCCGGCTACGCCCCGTACCCGTACCCACCGGCGCCCGAACACCAGCAGTAAACGGTGAGTGGGTACATCTTTCCCCCAATTACCCCCACCCCCCGACAGCTTGAAATAGTAGATTGACCACCGCACAATGGCTTTTATAGTAGACTTACGAGATATTTTTTTTTTGTTATCAGTCTATAAACCCGTAACAACTTCGACTGCACCACAATCATTTTATATTTTTTACTGTTTCATAAAACTAAGCAAGTAATGGAAAGGGTAATATAAATATTATTGATATTTAATAGGGCATATGGTGCTCTATAGTATGTTTATTTATTATAAGTAAAACACAGGACTCAGTTTGATCTCAATTCTCACGTTATATCCAAAGGCTCTTAAATGCCAGTTAGTAAAATGGCTCATTATAATTTTATTATTTTCCAATAAAGTTGTGTTGCACATAATCATTCACCCACCAATATTAAAATTTTTGTTCGTTTACATATATAGTTTGTTTTTTACACATTTTTACACAACATTCTCAAGGCCCAAACTAAGCAATGCTTGTACTATGTGTACTAGATAACTGATAAACATACTTAAACATTCTTTTCTTTTCTAAATATACATATTATACATAATATAATTATAAACACCCAGACACTAGAAAAACACTGTGTTCATCAAATATATATTGGTAATTACATAATCTGTAGTACATTGTAGGTTTGCATACCGATGAAACAATGATAATGGAACAATCTTAAACTTAGTAAAGTTTAAGGTCCTTTACAATGGATTTATAAAAGTTGATATGATACATTAATTTTATTATAATTTAAAACATCATCATACTTCACTGTAAAGGTCATCATAATGTCTTTGTAAATTGTAAATTTTGGCACATAAATGAACAAAAATCGGTTTCGCCCCCAGACGCTTTATCAACTAAGCTAAGCGGCGACTAGAAACTCCGGCGGCGTACATTACTCGAAATATTCTGTACATATATTTGGATACAATGAATGCAAATTGCACTATACATATTATGATATTTATATTGAATTATTTAACTATTTTATTGAGGAATTCTATTTTCGAGCTTTTTAAGCAAGTTTATTTATAAATAGGTATTTTATAATAAAAAAAGAAAACAGATTTTGAATTATGTGCATTCATAACATAACCAGTTTTTTGTTACATTAAATATGTTATTTTTTTATTTTTCTTAAAAACTACTGGGTTAGTTGCAGCATGTCTGTTGCTTTTAATTGTATGCGTAACATATATTTGTATTTTTAGGAGGATTGAGTTATATTTTTTTTAGAATGTGACCATTGTTGGCAATTTTTTTTCCATTACATTACACTCACAGAGATCTGATTAAGTATCTATCCTTAGTATTAAAAGAGAGGAATTTTAAGGAGGATGTATTACATACACGCAAGTTTATGATTACATTGTTTTGTTAGTTGGGCTAGAATAGTTATAATCTTTAATAACTATGCAGACTAACATTGTAGAAAGAAGTATCTATTGAAATTTAGATTCATGCAATATATCATTTTCTTATATTCCAAGTAAAAATTCTAAATGTTTACATGCAATTGTACCATTGTCCTCATGACATTTACAAGTACTACTTTTTAATTTTGGCATATACTAACAACAAATTATCTTGTCTATATTCATAGAAATATGTCATTAGATAGTATACCATGTGTTTCTTTGAGTCCATAGACCAAACTAAATTAAAATGTATTTCTATATGTTGCTGCGATGTGCAATTTAAACACCATCAACTATTTAAAATGTTGGTATATATTACTTAAAAAAATGTGTAAACATATCAATGTGTTCCAACTTTTATTATGTATATATAACCAAAATATATCACTGCATGTCGGAATTTATTTTATATTTTACTTGTGATACACAATTATATACAATATGAAATATTGATTGTACTTACAAAAAATATTATTTGTTTTGTATTATCAATGAGCATGTCTTAATTGTACACCTGTTCTCTTTCAGTATTTTGCATGCGGTATACAAATATAAAAATTGTTTCCATATATTCCCGAGGATATTACGATCAAATATATACAAATCGCCGTTATATGTACGTGTCTCGTAGTTATCAGTCATGTTAGATGTTTTGATACGTTTATGTATTAGTGTGTGTAGTGTTGCAGATGTAGGCTCGCCAGTGCCGGGGTTGCCTGCTCTCGAGAAAGCTAAACTATCTCCGCATATTACCAACTGTGTTGCCATGCTCTTCTGTTTGTCTGATTGCAGAGCGCCGAAGGAACGAGCCCGTACGCGTCCCAGAAGAGACCTCTCCATTTTAGATTGTAACATAACTATAAGAGAATCCGTTTCGACTAGCCGGCTGCTAAGCGATCGACCCGCAATAAATAATCATTGAATTAACACCATGAGCATGTAATTTACTCAAAGATATGTCGCAGACTTATTTCTTGCGGGTATCCGGGCAGTAGTTGCGTTATATTTCAATTTGTCAATGTGAGATTATTACAATTTTTCGTTATTTTACATACATACAAATTTCACGTATATCTGACTCTGATTCACGGCTGTGTGGTCTATTCACGTTCGATTGCATTGTGTCACACTTGTTTGAATGTACCTTCTCACCTGATTCGTACTGTGTTGTGCCGATACTTATGTTTGTCATGCCAGTCTGTCCAGGTTTTAACTGTAGAATGCCACACTGCCTTTAAAGAAAGATGTAACAGAAAGAATGATCCGACGGGGCAATAGAGAGAGATGGAAACGGAAACATAAAAATAAAATGAAAGCGTTGTGTGACAGTGATACTTCGCCGCTGAGGAGGGAGTCGAGGTAAAAAAATGCACTGTATTGCGTGATTAGTTTTCTACACTTTTATATTGCGACTTGACCGGGTCAAATTTCTATTTTTGTTTTCACTATGTGTAATCTCCGGTAAAACGTGTGCGGAGAGTGGCGATTCGGTTTTGGGTCATGTTTCCGGCTCGATTGTTGTTCTTCCTTCCTTCACGCGACGGATGAAATCGTCGAACGCGTTCCACAATTCGACTCCGATCTCTCCGCATGCGATTAACTTTATATCGATTGTGTCTAGATATAAGTTATAGGGTTATAATAAGTATGTCGGTAACTCATCGTTGACCTCTCTGGAGCTCAGTAGGTTACTTACTTCGTACACAACATTGATAGCTGCATAAATTAGAATATAATGTATTTTATTCATTAAAAAAAAACTAGCTTTGATATTCGACAAAATTAGGCATACGCCGAATGAATAATTGATGGAAAAAAAGCAAGGCAATGTAAGTCGACCTACATTCCTCGTGTGAAATTGTTCAGTTTATAAAGAATCACGAATTTTGGTACGCGCGAGTTCGCCACCACGGGACTTGCCCCAAGTCAATGTATTAATATTAAGATATAAAGTGTATGTTGATTGAACCGTGTTCATTTTATTTATAATCATGACTTCTATTCACAGACCGATGAGGTAAGTAACCCTGTGTTAAAAAGTGTTTTGGTTTATTTTTGTTTTTATTCATTCCTTATATACTGCTGATTTGCACTAAATATCCGATCATGTACATGTCTCTTGCCCATATTGTATTCTTATGTATTTTATTTCTTTCGTTATAATGAAGTCGGCGAATCATAATCTTTAGTGATATTTGCTGTTTGCACATCGCACTATTTCGTAGCCCAACGACTGATATGACTTTTTTACAATCATAATTTAGGGGTGTTGTTTTTCTTTTTACATTCCTGTTTTCTTACCAGGTGTTAGTGTGGTAGCTTATATTTCATGGGCGTTTCTTTTTTGTTTCAAATTTTTATTGCTCTATAAATTTGTAGCCAGAAATGTACTGTCACGCCCTATGTACTCTCCACAGCAACTTCAAATCTGAGAAATTGGTGAAGTCCAGATATATAAATAATATTGCCAAATTGACTACAATTGGATGCTGATGCTGTCCCAAAAGTCACAGTCAACTACAACTAATTAAATATAACATATGTTGTACTATTAAAACCGTCATAACTCGGATATTTTATGATTTTGTTTAAGCGAATATGTTTTAATAGTAATGCTTCCTCGGTTAATATACTGTATGACCAGATGCTCACTATTAGTTGCCATAATTTTACTGTATATTGTATTATTATAATACTGATTCTTATGTCACATGTGCATTGAATTTTCCCTTCGCTTTTCATCTTTTATTACGTCATTACTGTCTTTGTTGTCGATCTGTGTTGAAGGTCGGAGTGGAGTGTCAACTCCAAACGACGTTAAAATTATTAAATGTTAAAACACTGAACGGACTATGGGATACAGCGAAATGGCGGAAACGAGAACGAGGCTGAGAGATAATAAAGTTGGTTTGTATACAATTCGCGACGGTAAGTTTACAGTGCAAAAAGTCAATTGAAAATAAATAACAATTATTGTATTAGGTTAACAACATCAAAAATCATTTTATTAACAAACCATATTTTTTTAAAACTTTTAAAGACATCAATGACAAACACATAAAATATATTCTAAGGATGATTGTTTGTTAAATACAACGCATATACCTATATTAGAAAGAAAAGAAATATTTTTTAAAATATTCATTCGTATTGGTAGTCGATATATTACAAACAAATAGCTCTGATAATAAACTTTTGGGGATAGAGACTATAATAAGTAAAACAAATTGTTTTAAACGCTGTTGTCTTTGATTATATACATGTCTATAAATAAAACAGATTAGCCGTATCGAACGGCGCAAAAAATTCTATTAAAATTGGTAGACCAGCGTTTCACTTGCGTCAGTGTCGTTTCAATCACGAATAACGTGCTCAAATAAATTTAATATGCCGGTTTGTGCTGTCAAATTGTGTCGCAATTATGTGGTAACACCTTATAATAATACCAAGATCACTTTTCATCGTTAAGTTTTGTTATTTAACTACTACTAATTTAAGAAAACACAAATTCGTTATTTTTTAGGTTAGTCTGGATAGCCGATGTTGTCAGTTTATTGTTAGGAAAACTTGAGTCAGTAAATTTGAAGCAGGAATCACAAATAACGCACATCTTGCCAGTTTGTTAAGAATAAGTACACGAGCGGCACTCACACGTCACGCAATTGGAAACAGTTTTAGCGCATAGTTTGTTAAGCATTGCTCAATCTAGACAAGTGTATAATCAAAGGCCGTTACATAAGTTATAATCTAACAACATGCTTAGAAGTTTTAATATATTTAAAAATAATTTACCCTATACTTACCCATTTAAAACAATCATTCCGATTGTTAAAACAATCTATTCTGATCGTTTTTCCTAGAGAATTTTTGAATATATCTAAAAATAAATTATCCCTATCGAAGTATTATCTAAGAAAAAACGATCAGAATAAATTGTTTTAATAATCATATAAGTTCTGAAAATTTGTTAAATTTCATTTTGGCATGCTAAAAAATTAATTTGGCGAAGATATTCGTAATATTTTAAATCATTTTTACGCTGTAGTATGAACTAAAAGTAATTTAAGAATATATGATGAACACAATGTTCTTAGGAATAGTGAAATACTGAAATGACCCAATGCATTTTTTAGTGTCTAAATATAGGATACAATAAATGAAAATATTTACAACGATTTTATTCGGGTAAAATCCATATTATTGGTTAATATTCCAATAATACCAAATATGTGGTTTTAACAATTGCTCTTTGTGTACCGTTTGATCTTTAAAACCATAGTTGTTTGATGTTCATGTCTTGCATTCCTCATTTTTCCACAGAACGAGTCTTGGGAAAAAGGGGGTATTTCCAATAAAACGTGTGAATCGATACGTTGTTTTATTTGTACACGAATGAGCTAATTATTTACTTTCGAATGCATTTTAAAAATCAAAGTTAACTATTTGATCCCAAAACACAATATTCAGGAAAACTGTAACGATCCGTTTACTAAGCGCTCAACATATTGGGATGGAGTACTCTGTACCCTTAGTACTTAGTTCTTATTAAACAATAATAATCTAGTATAGGTTGTGTTATAATATCCCTAGCGATCAAATATCAATATCTTGTTTGGAACCACTTTCTTTTGACGTTTGTGATGTCAGAGACGCGGAGGATTCGCCGGAGTGGAGGAAACGCGAGAGTTTGTTGAGCGGCGCCGTCGCCCACGGCTGGAGTGGGCTGCCCGCTTCAGGCACTGGAGAAACTCTGCATTTTGTAATGAAACATTGGTGACCAATTTCCATAAGTCGTTAATGAACTAAAACGAAAATATGTTCACTCTGGTGCAACAACACAGCCGCTTCTGCCTTTGTACAAATGGGGTTGCTAGTTTAAGACCACTGCCTCACAAAAGTTTGACTTAGTGAAAGTTTTATACTTTTATATGGTGACTAAAGTAAACCGGGGCAAACATTTAAAAGTAAGAGTCCCTTTTCTACTTTTAAATGTTGGGTCAAACTAAAAATTTTAGATAATTACCTAAAATCGATGAAATAAATAATGCATGCTCGCCTCCCAACTCACAAAATACCAAAGGGCGTTTTCTATTAATTAGTCTAAAATTATACTTAACAATCCCCGTGGAACACTTATGTTGCACTACGCGTCCGCAAGTGTCTTAAAGTTCAAAAGAATATGACTAGGGATTTTAAGTTTAAAAACAAAGTTTTCGTATTTAAGTGTATTACGGTTTAGATAAAAAAAAATAGAACAATTTATATCAAAATGTAACTTAAGATAGGCTACAATAAAAAAGTCAACATATTTCGAGCATACTATTATTTTTCCTTCGGGTGTTAGTCCTTTAAAACGTCCACGAAAGCCATTAGGTCCATGAAAAAACTACTAAGGTCCGTGAAAAACCACTAAAGTCCGTGAAAAAACCACTAGGTCCATGAAAACCTACTAGTTCCGTAAAAAAACACTAGTTTGTGACAAAACCACAAGTTCCGTGAAAAAACCACAAGTTCCGTGAAAAAACCACAAGTTCAGTGAAAAAACCACAAGTTCCGTGAAAAAACCACAAGTTCCGTGAAAAAACCACAAGTTCCGTGAAAAAACCACAAGTTCCGTGAAAAAACCACAAGTTCCGTGAAAAAACCACAAGTTCCGTGAAAAAACCACAAGTTCCGTGAAAAAACCACAAGTTCCGTGAAAAAACCACAAGTTCCCGTGAAAAAACCACAAGTTCCGTGAAAAAACCACAAGTTCCGTGAAAAAACCACAAGTCCCGTGAAAAAACCACAAGTTCCGTGAAAAAACCGCAAGTTCCGTGAAAAAACCGCATGTTCCGTGAAAAAACCACAAGTTCCGTGAAAAAACCACAAGTTCCGTGAAAAAACCACAAGTTCCGTGAAAAAACCACAAGTTCAGTGAAAAAACCACAAGTTCCGTGAAAAAACCACAAGTTCCGTGAAAAAACCTCTAGGTAATTGGCTCAATTCATGGGGCAGCGGAAATATGCCGGGAAATTGCAAAAAATATTATTTTTTAATGTACTATCAGTTTGGACTTAATTAGACTATCAGACTGTGGGGACTCAAGGTGTTAGAAGAACTAGATAAAATTGAACTACCCATAACATTACTCAACTGTAATTGTTACGACTGTTACCTATTTCTCCGAGGCCGGGCTGTCTTTGGACGTACGCGCTTTTGACGTTTTGGCACAGATATCGGAGGAGCTGCACATTCTACTTCAGCTCCGGTGCCTGCACCTTGATAAAGATATAAATATTTGATAATTTATTGTATTTACGCGATTACATATTATAAGTGAAACTAATTTTACGGATTTATCGCGTTTAATTTTAATTCCCGACGTTTCGAACCCTTTACAGCGTCCATGGTCACGGGACAGACTGGGCATGGACGATTAAAAATAAACGCGATAAATCCGTAAAATTAGTTTCATTTATAATATAAATATTTATCATAAAAAGAGCTCGTAGATAACATACGACCAAATTATTGTCAGCCACTCAGTTTTCAAGAAAAACCAGATCCAAGGTTAAATTAGTTCAGTTAAATTTATTGAATGAGTTATGGTATGGCTAGATTAGTTAATATTCATTGTTATAAACACTCGGATTAAAAACTGTAATGAACAGTGTTATCGAGTTACCCAGCAGCTTCTTTTTTATTTGTAGGAAGATGGGGGTTCACCTGATGATAAGTGATAACCGCCGCCCATGGACATTAGAAAAACCAGTACAGTTACAAATACGTTGCCGACTTTTAATAAGTGCCACTTTATTAATTTTAGTTACCACGAAATTCCGAACTATAAACTTGTATTTCCCGTCGGCTCTATATTGGTAGACCAGTCCGTACTTATAGTGAAGGACCGATGTGATTGGACCTTGATAAAGCAAGCGAATTAATCTGTTTCAATATGCATTAACGGCTTACCATCATATAAATATACATATAAACTGCTTGTTAATTTGCGACCTTATAAAAAAAAAAGAATACCTGTTACGAATAACGAGTGTTCTACTTGTGGTTGCGCGGTGGCGTGCTGTATGCACAGAGGTCGGACTGCCTTCATACGGGCCGCATCATCTCGCGAGCCTGCTAAAGCTCTGTCGAATCAAAAGCGGTCATAAAATATCATTTATTAAATTATCAAGCATCGGATGAGAACAATGGCTAATAATATATGTAAAATTGTTTTAAGTTTATATTTTAAGGTGAAATCGCTTCTTTAATGCTGAAGTGTCCATCAGACGTAATTAAATACCTAAACCGAACAATAATTGTATTAAAATTTGTAGAAAAATATGGAGTTTTTCAGTAAAAAAAAATTATAAAATTTAAATAATTCTTTTAATACAAACTTACGAATTATTTCCTGAACTTATTGGTTCTTCCCATGGCGCGTCGCTTTCTACTGCGCTACTCTCAGAGGCCACCAAATACATAGACCTGTTAAAAAGCAACTTATTAATAACAGTATTCTTCTGTTTAGATAAATAAATAAGCAGCTTTGACAGCTTCCGCGGAGTATGTAATTAGGGACTCAGGGGAATGTAAGTGTGGACTTCATTTTTTTTATATCTGTATACCTAGCCGGTACGTAAAGATGGGGCGGTGGCGGTGCGGCGCGACGAGAAGCCGATCGGGCTCGTCTTGCGCGGGAAGCACGACCCAACAGCGCAGACTCTGTTATTAAATATAAACTTTTCAAAATAAACATTGGATTATAAAATATGTACCATATGTGCTTAACAAACTGATAAGATGTTTTTGAATAGTCTAGTATATTCCCTTAAAAAAGGAAAGCAAAAAGTGTTGAAAAAATATAGTTTAGATACGAAAACAATGTGAGTATTAGGGAACCACAATGAATTGACAGATGAGCATTGCCACCTGAGCAATATTAAAAGATTCAGGTAGTCTACATCGGAAAGTTAGTTCAAAATCTGGCAACAAAACCGGCTGGCAATGCAATTGCGATTCAACCAATGTTGCAAATGTCCATGGGCAGCGGTGATCGCTTATCACCAGATGACCCGCATGCTCGTTTGCCTCCTTTTCCCATAAAAAAAATCTAGGACAAAACTTTTTATGGATGTAGCTTTGTATTTGTTGAAAATCCGAACCCGTTTAGGAACATTAATCACGATATCAATATGTCAAAAGCCTTTGCAATATGTCAAATTCGGTCTCGAATACTGAAATAATATTTAGTATGCAACAAAAAGAAATGGCCAAAAATAAATAAATAGATATCCATGCGCGGCAATAATTAACAATTACAAAACATCAGTCGCATAATTTAAAAAATATATTTTGTTTGAAAACGATGAAAGATAAATCGAATCTTACTGTTCACTACTAATGCGACGTGTAGTAGGGATTATCAAGAAATGTGATGCGTAGGGATCAAGCCACATAATTATCAAGAACTGCAGCGCGAACGTGAAGGATCATTTCGCAAATAAACTGTGGATTTATAAATTAAAGGTGATAGGTATATAAGTTTTGGCGCATTATTATTATAGTTTAACGTCTTCGGATTTGTCCATACAGACAAGTTATCAACATTTACGTGTTGTCAGTATTTTTTTTTTGTGAATTTACCGGATATAGGGTCGCTGTCGCTTTGGTCGTGCCTCTCCCTCCGCCAGCCCGCCTCGGGCGCCGGCGCGTCTGCCGCCACACCGAACAATCCGGAAACTGCGCCAGCCACCATTTTACGCGTCGACTTTGCCGCCGTCTTACGTCACATTAAATACCGATTTTTATTCGATGTCTTTAAATCTTTGTAGCGTTTAATTATAAGATTCGGTCGATTTCGTATAAATTCCCCTTACATTACCTACTATCGACTTGTAAAAGAGTTCTTTTAAATATAATGTCAAGCTTAGTCGTATTATTGCAAGCAGGCGATAGATAGTTATGTACTGGGACAGAATTTACTATTCTTCAGTTTGATAAAAACAATCAGGTGGCAAGCAAGCTGGCGGTTCACCTGATTTTAATAAAAAGCACCGCCCATGGACATTTGTAACACCTTTAGTGTTACAGACGCGTTGCCAATGCGACCTTTTAATAAAATGGGCCCCGGCTATCTCACTCACCAGACGAAACGCAGAAATACAACACTTCCATTTCACGCTGGTTTTCTGTGAAGTCGTGGTACTTACTCGTAGGGACCTGCCCATTCGTGCACCAGCGAAGACTGTTGCGAGACTCAACCACAGTTGATATAAAATATATAACTTATATGATATAAAGTAGGTATATAAAAATCTTATAATTTCCGGTATTTAATTTGTCTTTTAAATACTCACACTTATATTGATGTCTATAACCGGTACATGCGAAAGGTCGGCCGCCTGCTCCGCTAGTGTCTTCAACTGCGGGTCGTTGGGTTCAGTTTGCTCGGCCAATAAAACTAACTCCAGCAGATAGTCTCTAAACACCTCCTCGCTGACGGTAGCTTTTCGTTGAGAAAATACAATACTTTTAAAATACTTTCTTTACTTTTACAATACTTTCTTTGCTTTTACAATACTTTTTTGTTAATAGAGCACTAGCCACTTAATGTTAAGTAAGTACGTCTGTTAAAGCTTTAGGGGTGATCGAGTTTTGATGGCAGGTCGTAATGAAATATAGAGATATAATTTTAAATTCTTTCCTTATAAAACTTCCAAAAAATATTTAAAACTTGTTCAATGAAACTATATTTATACCTGAATCCTCATCTTTATGGTCACAATATACCTAAGAATTTTAACATGCCAATGTGCTGTTAACGCTGTACGAGAAATTTGTTAATTGTACTTACATGGTTGGGGAGGAGATTGCAGAAGGGAATTTTCTTGACCGGTAGAAGTCAAACCTGATGGTAGTCCTAGTAAAGGCCCAGTATTCATATTTAATGTCAGGGCATCCATAGCGGGGCTCGTTGACTTCATATCCAAGTTGCTTGACGCAGCAGGCGAAGGTACGGTGGCGTTGAGGTCCACAGTCGGCGGTGCAGTCAGCTGATTGGCTGTTGACTGTACTTGTGAAGCGGCCGTCGTATTGAGTAAAGTTTTGCCGTTCACTAAAAGATCTGGCGTCGCTTGCTTCTGCGACGGTTCCTGACCTTAAAGGGATAGTTTAACATTACTAAGCATTATTGAGAGTAGTTCATGTCATTGATTTTAGAAGGAATTAAAGTAAAGTTGCTGCGTCGTTGCTTTAAGCTGGCGTTAGATTTAAATTATGTATACATTTCTTCATTCGCAATGATGACGCCCATGGTGAACAAAATGGATTAGTAAACTGAAGTGGCAATGAGCCTTGCCATATAAGAACCGATAGTCGATGGGGAGGAAAAGTTGAGGGGCAGCCTAGTATTGGCCTTCGTAGTGCAAGCGCTACCACCCACTAGATGAAGAGACGACCTGTGCAAATGTGCTAGAAGTCGATGGATGCAGGTGGCGCAGGCTCGTGCTTTGTGGCAGTCTGGGGGTAGGGCTATGTTCAGCAGTATGCTCAAACAGTCTGAAATGATGACAATGATGAGTATTTCTTATTTTAAATTACAACTTTCGTAGATAAATGATAAAAACTTTCGGCGCTACGGGTTTTGAACCTGCGTCTTCTGGTTTCGCGCCCAGAAAGTGGGGACGCTTTACAGACTATGCTAAACGGCCGATGACCTCACGGCGCGAAAATCTCGACAATTATATACGTTCTTTCTATTGCATTTTTAGCAGTGCTTGACGCCATCCAGTGCATCCTTTACAGTACCTATACAACACCTTACAAATATTTTTTTTTCATTTAATAGAGTGATAATGTCTTGCTCTTTTATTAGGGTTGTTCTTGAGATTATGATTGTTTTGTTTTATGTTTTGTCAAAGGTGTTGTGATCAAGAAAATGCCTTTGTAATTGGTGCATGTAACGATGCCATCGGTTCACGTACCAGTGGTTCCAAGGTCGAGCTCGTGGGTGAACGCCATGACGTTGAGGGCGGACGAGAGCGCTGTGCCCACCCCGTTACCAGCTTCGCCGCCCAGGGCCGCCTCCGCTGACGTCACGCAGTCCGGCGCCGGAACACGCCTTCACGTGGAAAGACCGTTGAACCAATGATTTGTGTGGAAGGGGTTCGGTAGTAAGCCTCAATGACCATTGCGGCCTAGAAGATCTATGATAGTCTTCCCATTGAAAACATTGCCCTTTACTATAAGATAATATTATCCTGCGTTGTAAGGTCGTTTGACACGCATACATTTCACGTGGACAAACACCCTGTTCCGAAACCATTATCTATTGGTCACAAAAATAGTTGTCTCGTGTAGGAATCGAACCCACAAATCCCGGCATCGAAGCCAATACGTTTAAAGTTTATACCAGGGCATTGTTCTTTTACGATTCACGTTAACGCTCTCAGTCTATAGACTATAAAGTCTCATCGGCTATAGATTTTGTGGAGAGGCTGTTTCCACGACCTTTATACACCCTTTCAGAGCAGAGTCACGCATGTGAACATGTGTAATATTAACGGCCGGTTTCAATATTCAATCTACAGATCAATTTTTTTTTGACGTAAGTATTATGGATCTAATGTCAAATACCTATCACTAGCAACCAAATCTATCTGTAGATAGAATATTTAAACCGGCCGTAATTCTATCGATTGAAAGGCTGGCGTTAACTATGAAAGGTTAAATTTAGAAATAAGAGTCAGGGTCAGGAATTATATAAGCTTACGGTAGAGGCGCCTTCGTCGGTGTGGAAATGGAAACGCGTCCCCACATCAACCTCCTCAACTCCTCGCCGCTGATGCCGCGACGCCGCAGTTCGGCAATGGTGACTTTCCCGACTCGCTTAAATGGAATTAAATAAAATCAGTTATCGAAGCAATTATAATTAGTGCACATGGAAACATGTGTGTTTTTCGTATACAACAAAATGGCAGAAATACGTTGCATCGTCTATTTTAACAACCTGTAATTTTATTAACTCTGAAACTTTCGTGGGCGAAGAACTTAACCGAAATGAATTTCACGGCAATTGGTAAAAGGTATAGCAATGCTTTACCAAATTATACAAAAAAGGCTAGAATATTTTCTCTAAATAAAAACATTCCATTCATGGAAAAACATTATCAATAATTTCTGAAGATTTTTATATTAAACGGATTCAATACCATTACATTAACTCTATTTTGTTAAATAATTACAGTTGGATTTTTATATCCCGTTTACGCAGATAATACATATTTTAATTTTATTGAGCAAGCTGATAGTAGCACCCAACCCTCTTCTCTATTGTAATTACGGTATTGTTTTTTAATTTAAATAGTTACAGTTTTATGCTATTTTTAAAGGAAATGTATGAAAACTTATTTATACTTTATAACTTATGTATGAAAATTTAAAAAAATTATTATTAAAATTTTCATTTAAATGATTTTATGAAATATTTACGGACAAATTTTAAAAATCTACACATAGTAGGCCTTTAAATCTCTTATTACAATCTTAATAATTCAGCAAACTAAGGAAATAAATACAATACTGTTCTCTACCTTCCTCTATGTTAACCTTTACCTACATATACGTAAAGTTATTTAGCTAAAACTTTCAATAATTAATGAATTATTATGAAATACCAGTTCATTTGGAGTGCTCATATAATCAAAATTCACACATAGTACCTGGCGTTTAAATTTGGAGAAGGAAGAGGAAGGTTTAAAGGAAGTGATGGGGAAGAAGCTATGAAAAAGTGACACTAGAGCATATTATTTATTTATTTATACTGTATTATTATCTATACTATATTGTACACACCAAAAAAGAAGTATTAACAACGAAAAAGTTCCAAAAATTATTGTACAATGGGAGGTCTTATCTATTAACCAGGGATTTCTTCCAGGTAGACCTTTCTTAAAGGAGTTTTAAAAAATATCCTGGAGGATATGTACACATGAAAAAGGACAATTAGACAACAATTATTCATAATAAATATATAAGTATGCATACTAAATAGTCAGACATATAGCCTTTACTAAGAAAAAACAGAGATAAATGAACGGAAACGAGCAGATACATAAAATAAATTCTAAATTTAAAACTAATGATCATTCTCATTTTCTCTAAATAGTGCGATTTGATTTTATTTCTCACATTCTCACCTTCCAGTTGGCGAGGGCGCCCTTGCGTTGTTTCGCGCGCGTTTTCGCTTTGCTCTTGATGACCATCACGGCCCGCTGCTCGTATCGCGGGTCGTCTGAGGGTCCCAGGCCTATGGAGTACTCCTGTAGGTAGCGATGCGCGTCCTCCTGCGCCACAGACTGCTCCAAAGCCACCACAATCTTCGCCCACTGTCGCGATAAAATTTCAATCTAATTCCTTTTGAAGTTATGTTCTTTTGGCGCATAGTATGAAAGTAAAGTTTTTACGATGCGCGCGCACACCGATCCCTAAAATGCGACATGATGAAGAACCAACTTGTCGTTATTCACGCTTCAACTGATAATAACGTGGTTACCATGGCAACCAATAACAACTTTTTGACATTTACCTATTATTCACAAACCAACAGTACTGGCACAGTTTTACTTTTCTTATGTTACTCTAAAGAAGTATAACTTCTTGCTTGCTTACGTAAGTACACACATAATTTTTATATAGCACTTAGTTTATAATGTAAACATATTTAATTTGTGCACTACCTGCCTACCCCAATGATATTATATACAAATATGGATATGACACTAGCGCATCAAAACTGAGGCGCTCAAATTACGCCAATTGATGTAATTCTATAGACTGCCATCTCTTTCTGTGTATCATTTGTTCTATATCAGCTGTCACATTAAATTACATATGTCATATAATGTAAAGCGGAACAATATTTAAAGGCCGCGCTGTATCGACATGCGTCATCTATATTATTAAACATCACTGGCTTACCCATCATTAGTTAGGCCTATAATCATATGTCAGAGGTTTTTGTTTTGTAGGAAACTCATTTAAGCTCACTCTTTGTATGTTTATTTTAAACCTTAAGTAGAGTAAAAGATAAGACCGCAGAATTCCTTGCCGGTTCTTCTCTGGATAGAGGTCTAGTTTATTGAACCGGTGGTAGTTTTTGACGTTCAATAAGAACTTCGAATACATATATTGAATAACTAGCGTAGACTACGTCTGCGTAGAATAGGCTGAAGGCGTAACATTCAGACAGAAAGAGATATATATACATATATAAATATGTATATAAATTATAACCTATGTGATATTCTGATGTATAAGCTATATTATTGTAGTTTCATTAATTTCCGTTCAGTTGTATTTGCGTGAAAGAGTATCAAACATCCATCTATACATACAAACTTTCACCTTTATAATATTAGTATGGAAGAAAGTTTTACTTTGAGTATGCCTTTCATGTGTTATCGAGGGTACCTGCTTGACCCACTCCTTCTCCGACTGCTCGATGACGTGCGCGTAAGTGTTGCCCATCATGGCGATGAGCATGTTCAGCAATAAGATCGGCACGAAGACCATAAATACGGCGAATACCGCCTTCGCCAGGTTCGGGTACGTTGTCATAGCCAAGTCCGTGTACTGAAATATGCAGTACTTATTAAACGATAAAAATTAAAAAAAAAATAATCAAATTAAAAATCAAAATTAGAATTAAAATAATTCTTAAGAATAACGATCGACATATGCATTTACTTGTAATAGAGAGACAAAACTCACACTATAATCTCCCAGAGTGATTTGGAATAACGCCATCCAAGTGCTTGGATAACTGGAAAACAGCGTGGACTGGACATTCGGAAAGCCTGTCCAAGAAAAAATCAAACGTTCACTATTGAACAACTGATAATTTGATATATTTTTTCGTTAAATAAGCTTTTATACACAATGGTAGTGTTGTAAGGTCTTGATTGTACGGCACAATCCTGATCTAAAATGATCATAAGTTAAACTTTAAGTAAGTTACAGTTAAATTTATTTTGGTATACTCCTTACTATTTACATTTTTGATCACAATTGGAATGATATTCTGGCAATCAAATTTTCGCTGATTAACTTCTGCGTTTCAAAGTTCTTTTGCACTTTACCTTTGTAAAGAAAGTAGAAGGACTGGGAGAAGCCGAACAGCACGATGGTGTAGATGATGCCGAACGTGAACATGTCGCCAGTTATCATGCTGTAGATCATCGTCACGAAAGGTCCCGTCAGCTTTACAGCGCTGCGGTGGACGAAACATGGAAAACGTTATTAACAATGTACATTGTCAATAGAGACTCAATGGCGCCGGTGCTAAGCATCGGCGTCGAGAATCTTGGGTTCGATTCCCACACGGGACAAGTATTTGTGTGACCGCCAGATAACTGTTTGTTTGTTTGTATATTCTTTATTGTACTAAAAGTCTGTACAAAGGCGAACGGTGCTAAATAACATTTTCTGTTCCGGGAAATGAAAGTCAAAATCGAAATCATTTATTCATCGACTTAACTAACATACATTTCATCTATCGATAGTATCTTTTTCTCTAAATCTAACACCGTTTCCAATTTGGTTCCTCTAACGGAGAAGAAACAAGCGAAATAAAACTCCGTAGGTATCCTTTTTGGTTTGTCATTTTTCCTTCTCAAAACATTAAAATATTTTTCTTTTAGAAGTAGCTTAGGACCGATCAACACATTCCCAGTGTTTATTATCAAAAATGTATTCGTTTATATTATAATAAGCCTTCTAATAAACATTTTATTTAATAAATTTCTTAACCCTGTCTTTGCGCATTTAATTGGATTTTGTTGTAGAAGCGTATTCACCGCCCCAATGAACGAGTCTCTCAAGTCAACTCTATGGACTCTATGAAGTCTTAATGATACGGTGAAAGAAATATTAATGCAAATTACAAAAGTAATATTGAGAACTGTTTTAATAAGTAATAGTTTGTGTAAGTAAGACTATGGACTCTTAGATCTTTTAAGCTACGCAACGAATTTTAATGCAGTTTCCAGCAACAGATAGAGTGATTCAAGACGAAGGTTTATTTGCACATTGCACCATTGCAGAGACGGGGCGGGTCGCTAGTCTACTACTTATAAAAATAACTTAAGTATTGATAAATAACCATTTTTTGATCAGTTTTTAACCATCCTTACCCTGCGAAGAACATGAGGAGAAACCAGGACCCTGGCAGTACGAAAATCAGTATCGCTTCCTCCAACATCATCTGGCGAGACAGTCTCGCTGGGATGCAAGCCAGCAGCAGAATGTTCGACGCCAAAAATATAAACTTTGCCGGCTCGTGAATCTGCAGCGAGACGAATTAAACCTGAGTATACACAAAACTTATATGCAGAAGTTCTTCCAAGTGCTTCGGTTCGGTTCTATTTGTGAAACCCCTGTTTCGCATCTAGGTGTTTGTCCACGTGAAATTTATGTGTGTTAAACGTCCCTATAACATAGGATAATGTTATCCTACAGTAAGGGGCAAATTTTTCGAAGGGGAGACTACAATACATCTTTCTAGATCGCGAACCCAACCTCTTCAACACAAACAATACAAATTATAGATGCTCGTAATAACGTAATAATTAAGTAATAACTTAACATCAGAAGAGTTGCTCGCTTGCTGCGCGTACACGTAAAAAGTTTAAGAGACCAAACAACAGCATAGCAAAAAGCATAAAAAACGTTTCGTTAAACATTTTGCGTCTATAATCTTCAACTGTTTGAAGTACGCCGCCACCCCTGGTTCTAAGCACAAAAACCGTTTCGTTTAACAATTTGCGTCCACTCTCACCAACTGTTTGAAGTACGCCGCCACGCCCTGGTTCTTGATCTCGTCGCCCTGCTGCAGTATGATGTAGCAGAGGGTGCTGAGGATCGTGCCGAGCTCGCTGGCCAGCCGGAGCCCGCTCCTCGCGTCCGTCACCTCCAGCCCCCAGTCGGGGTTGGCGTCCGCCTCCGCGCTGCTGTGCCTCAGGTACACGGACACGGAGAGGAGGAGCAGGTGCAGCATGAAGATCATGAGCCGCTTGAGGAACTTTTGCTGGATCGTATTGGTTTCATATTCAATGGACGCTTGCGTTCTCTTATGAAACTTCGAATTTTACATAAAGTTGAATCGTAAGTTCGTGGGCGATCATGTGGCGCTTTAGGAACTTTTCCAAGATAGTGTAAGTTTCAAATTCAAATTCAATATACGTATCTTTATTCGAATAGACGCTTGCATTTTCTCATGAAACGTCGAATGTTATATAAAAAACTAGCTCACCTGGCAAACGTTGTTTTGCCATATAAATTAACTTCTAGGAACTTTGTAGGGAAGAAAAAAAATTTTGGGGTGGACCACCACTGAGAGGTATAAGAATTAGTTATAAACCTATTCTCATACGTACTGAATATAAGTACATAATATAAGATTTCATCAAAATCGCCCAAGCCCTTGATATATTAATAAAGGGACTTAATAAACATCTCTCGATAAAACTTATGCTACTTTCTAACAAAAAAATTAGTTGTAAGAGCCAATTATGATGCACTCACCCGGGCAAAGGTCTTCCATTTCTCTCGAGAAGCCGTTGGATGATGCCACCGTCCAACATGTTCAGGTGCTCCTGCTTGGTGCCGTTCAGAATTATAAAAAGCGCAGAGTTCCAATCTGTAAAGTAACACATAACCTCGCTACCAAGCAATAACACATAACCGCGCCTAGTTAACAAAGGAAAAGGCCTTAGTGTGTATGTTAATCATTCAGTTTCTTCTTCCTTACTTCAATAAATATAAATGTGAACAAGGAACAATTGGCGTTTTCAGTTCGAAAAAGAAAGTAGCACGTCCACTCCGAACACCAAAGACAATATAGGATGACCCAGAATAGAAGGCAAAAGAGCTAAGGTTATAAACTAGGATATATTGGTACCAGGTGTGGTAACCAGAGTCTTTTTTAACTATCTTCAGCCCGTAACTATGAAGTTCGAATGACCATTCCACGGGCCGTAATCAGTAACTTCAGGCGAACAGCTGATACCACCGTAGCGCAGTTGTCAAGGTATTAGCTTCGGCTCCGGGGGTCCTAACTTCGAATTCCACATCGGACAAGCATTTGAGTGACCCACAGATAATTGTGTTTCGGATCAAGATGTTGGTCCACGTAAAAATTTGTATTCGTAAAACGCTCTTACAGCACACGATAATGTTATCCCGCAGTAAAGACAACGTTCTTTAAAAAAGGAACAGCCGATGCAGTCATCGGCTTCTCAGAAAAACAACATATACATATACTTCCGCACTCGTCTTTCCGTCCGGCAGCAAAGTGTCAAGCGCGTTCAGGGGGTAAGCGGAGCACGTGATGTTGGAGTAGCGCCAGAACTCCCTGGAGGAGAGCTCAAGCATCTCACGGAAGACAGAGGCTCTGCCCAGTTGGCACGCGAGGGTCAAGGGCGTGAAGCCCGCGTGGTTCATTCGCCCATTGCTGGCCGGCACCTTCGGGTGTCGCAGCGCGTAGCCGAACATGTCCTGGAATGATAAGTTTGTGTGTGCGCACGTACATGTGTGCGTGAACACGTAAGAAGTTGTGCCTATTTATTTAGCGCAAGGATGAGCAACGCGCGGCCCCTTAAACATGTTTATGCGGCCCGCCAAGCATTTCTAAAATTGAATTAATTTTATCGAATTTCTCCCATCAATATATTGTTATAAAGTGGTAATTTAATTATAATAAAATGGTAGTACATACTGAACCGAAATATTTTTTGTTCGTTTTTCTGTTCTTTTCTTGTTTGTTTTTACCTTGCATTGAAATTTGTATATGAAATCCTTACTTTTTTAAATTTTATATTTTTTTTATTCTAATATTTATTATAATTATAGTTTCGTAAATTGTTATGTGCGGCAAGCCAAAAAAATTTGAAATTTAAATTGGCCCATTGATTAAAAAGGTTGCTCACCCCTGATTTAGCGTGTACTTATGTGTACGGCACGTCAATGATATTCTATACAAATATAGATATGACACTAACGCACCGAAAATTAGGCGCTCAAATTACCCCAATTGTCGTGATTCTATAGACTACTATCTCTTTCCGAATCGTACTTTCTTTATCATTTGTCATATATGTGTCAAGCGGAACAAGGTTTGTGTCGTTTTAGGGTGTTGGGCATCGTAAAAATTCACTCTTATCATTTTTCTCAAATGCGTCAAAAGAAGTAGGTATAACTTTAAAATTACACGACTCTTGTTGGGTATGTAGAAGAAAATAATATAGATTTAACTTCCCAATTCGAATAGTTTCTGATTATTATCAGTAAATCCTGCAATGGGCAGGGCAAATGCCCATTCGTGCAACAGCGTCACCCTAATACAGTAATATTTTGTTATTGCAATATGCATTTACATATTATAGACACAGACACAAGAAAAAAAGCTAATATGTTCATCACAAAATATTTTCCCAGTAGTGGTGATCGAACCCACACCCTCTGACGCAAGACACAAGGTCACTATTCAGTACTCCATCCAGTGGTCATTGTTTCGGATCTGGGTGTTTATCCACTTGCAATTTAAAGTAAGTAAAGTAACAGCCTATACATATCCCACTGCTAGACAAAAGCCTTCCCTTTTTTATAGAGGGTATCAGGGCAAAGCCCACCACGCGGCCCCAATGCGGATTGGCGAACTTCACATATATTCGAAAAAAATTTTTTGTTGTTTCGAAAATTTGCAGGTTTTCTCACGATGTTTTCCTTCACCGTTGAGCACATGATAAATTCAGCACTTAAAATTAACAATTTTATTGGTTGGCACCGGGGATTGAACTCAGGTTGCTCGAGTACATTGAATTAAAGGTGAGCGCCCGGACACTGAGCTATCACGACTGTTCGTGCAATTTATGCATGTATAACTTCCTTAGAACACGGAATTATGTGCGTAGTGGATAGTCCACTGCGGCAAATGGGCCGTTAATATGAAAAGAACCTTACCAATTTATCGCAGACGACCACCATGTGCAGTATCATATTGCCAAACGAATCCTGGGCGTCTGGGTCGGCTCCGGAGTCGAGAAGCAGGTTGTACACCGCCTCGTTGGCGCAGCAGGCCGCCCACGCGAGGGGATACTCGCCCAGGTAGGCCAGGCCCTCGTAGTTCGTCTGTCGGGACGGCGGCACGCGTTGCTGGTCGCGTGGCAGGAAGAAGCTGCCTGCAAACGACAGACTGGCAAAGATATCGCAACGACAGATTATACATAATTATGAATTCATAAGATATCGCAACAACAGATTATTAATTTATTAACAACAGATTTTACGTAATTATTCATTTATTAATTTATTATGGTCTATCTACAAGTCACATGTTTTTAAGGATTGGTACATCAAGATTAATACAAGCTTATGTAAGGAACAACAACTACAAACGGACACTTTATAGAGTACCTATAAATGCTTAAACTAAGGAACATTTTAACTACAATGTGTAAACTACCCTGTGCGAACTTTATGCTTCCTATAATTCAAAAGATCAGCTAAAATGTTTACTTCAATGGCCAAAACTTACCGATAGCTCTTTGACTGACATCAGCTCCCGCTTCGACTAAGTCCTGGACTAACTCATTGTTGCTGTACGCAATCGCTAGATGTAACGAACTCGCCCCTGAAATTTACAAGTTAGGAGTACTATATTCTTCTTCTTTCTCCTGCCCTTACTGCACACTAGTTGGGGTCGGCACATCATGTCCTTTCCTTCCACATTCCTCTATCAGCCGTCATCTCAATAGTTAGTTCTTAATAATTTGTTTTATTTTTGCACATAGATAAATCAACTACGTTTCGCAGTAGTTCGAATTAGGGCCGGTGGGTTATAATTCGGTCCCCACTACTGGAATAATTGTGTGTTATGAACTTAGTAGTGCTTTGCTCGTGTCTGTGTGTCCATAAGATTTAAATACATTTTACAATAAAACTATTAATATGAGAGGGCGACAAAACATAAGCATAATGAAAATATTTACCTAAATATTCTTCGCCTTCAACAACGTCAAGAGATAATTTTGGAAAACATTTAACCAAGGTCCTTGCTAGCCGCGTATGAATCTGAAACGTTACTTTATCTTAAATAGAATATACCTACTTAATTTGACTTAATCACTAATCATTACATTAAAAAAGGCTGTGCTAATTCTCAAGAATTCATATAATATTAGTGTGATAAGAAAATTTCTAATCCTACAAGTAAATTTCACGAGCGCTCCAAATAAGCCTAATCTGAACTAATATAGGTATATACTTAATATATAAGATTTATTAACGTTGATTTTAAATTCGAAGAAAAATTAAGCTCCTACTACTATCTTACTTTAAGTAAACTTTAATTATTACGCATCGAAAACATATATATTTTTTTAATTTTAAAGCATTAAATATATACGTAATCACAATATATTTGTATCATCATATATTATCTATTTTATATCATCATCATCATTTCAGCCTGTTTGAGTCCACTGCTGAACATAGGCCTCCCACATAGACCCGCCACGAAGTACGATCTTGAGCTAACTGTTTTGTATACATATTACATTTAATGGGACAACAAATTAGAACAAAGTATTAATAATCATTTGCGGTTAAAATACCTTGGTGTCGCAAATGATGAGCAAGTGGAGCAAAGACTCTCCCAGTGCCCCACGGTAGCTCATCTGCCAACAGGCCATGTGGTCTTCCCATTTGGCGAGAGGGTCGTGCGGAGACAGAGACGCCTCTATCGGCAACACAACCTTCCGATAAACGAAATATCGAAAATAGAAAAAGAAAAATGTATAAATAATTCTAAAATCTAATTAATCTAAATCGTCGCGAAAACGTATATCTTAAAACGTCTTACAATTGTGTTTTTAAAAAAGTTTGTTTTTGTGTTTTTGTGGGAAGGTGGCAAACGAGCTGGCGGTTCACCTGATGTTAAATGATAACCGCCACCCGTGGACATTTATTTCACCCGTAGGGCTGCAGATGCGTTGCCATCTTTTACAAAAGTGGGCTCCGGCTATCTCACTCATCAGATGAAACGCAGAAGTATAACACTTCAACTTCACGCCATTCTGTGACGTCATGGTACTTCCCCGGACGGACCTGCCTATTCGTGCTGCAACGATTTTTGCGTGGCCCTACCACTGTTGATGCTGTGCAAACTCTACCTGCTCCTGGTCTCTGAACTTCCACCGCAGATACTCGGCCCTGTTGATGACGCGGCCCCTCCCACCGGCGTACATGTAACCCGAGAAATCCTCGCGTATCAGCCTCTCCGCGGCCGACATGCCCCCTTTGGTGTATGCCTCCAACAGCAAACCGCCTTAATTTCAAATAACACGTTTCTCAAACTCTTTCAAAATAAACCCGAATGTTTTTTATTTTTTTTATGTGACGAAGTTGCAAACGAGCTGGCGGTTCATATAGTAATTACCGTCGCCCATGGACATTTGCAACACTCCTAGGGTTACAGATGCGTTTTCATCTTTTAATAAAGTGGCCCCCGGCTACCTCTCACCAGATGAAAAAAAAATTATTTATTTACTTCTACTTCAAGTCGGTCTTCTGTGAGGTAGTGGTACTAACGCGGACGGACCTGCCCATTCGTAGAACAACGAAAACTGTTGCGTGGCCCTAGCGTGCAACAGTTTTCGCTGTTACAACTTGCATGTAATAAAGTTACTTACCTGATTCCGCCGTGTATGACCTGACTGTTTTACGAGCATATGTATGTATGTATTTATGTCTCATTGTTTACGAATAGTAGGTGAAAATGTAAATATTTTCTGTCTTAATCCATTTCAGTAGCTCTGTACTAGTAGCTAGTACTGAATACAGGGAGTACCTACACAATGTCAAACCAGCCCTTAAACTAAGAAACTGCTTTTAGATACATTACATGTTAATAACTGTATATGGTTTTTTTTAATGAAATACCTTTCTTGTAATCAGCAAGCTTGTACAGAACTGTGTGTTCCTCGGTGCTGGGCTGCGATATGACTCGATCGAGAACGGAACCAACCGTCTGGACGCCCCCAGGCGAGAAAATCTTGATCAAAGCTGCCCCCATTACGCTGAAAGATGAATATGGATTCCAACCACATCATCACAAACCACAATTACCCGCGTAATTTCACAAATTGTACCTTGAAAGCGCTTCTGGATAGTCTGTTTACGCATCCGCTGTGTTCTATTATTGTATGTTTTAATAATAATGTTATAACACCAATTTTACCCAAAGAATGGTTACATATTTAAGCTCTGCAATAATTCTTCCAAAACTTAAACTTCTTCATATTTACAATAGCTCCGATCATTATGCCCACTTTATGCTTATTAGATAAATGAGACCTACAAACTGTTTTGATTACTAGTTAACAGTGGAGGTATTATCAACACGTTTTTTGTAATTAACACTTGCTTGTGGTGTATCAGTTAAATAAGTTGCGGTAACTATGGCAACAAATCTGCGCGACCTTACTACAGATCGTCTTTGTGTAGAGAACGTGTACGTTTATGAAAAATAAAGGTGAAAAGAGATAGAAAGCTCTTTCTATCCCATATTTAGTATTTGAAATCTTTACTAATTAATACAACACAACACAAGTGTTTGTTACGAATTGAAACCTGTTTCAGTATTTCCATGTCATGTTATTTGCGTAGTCATATTTTCAACGACGCCTTTACTAGGGTGCGGCGCAAGCCAACCTACCTTAATTTAAACTAAAAAAAGAATCAAATTGCTTGTTATATCGCTCAAAAACTTATGTAGAACGGAAGAGACAATCGAGAAATGGCTACTTGAATATGGTATGTGTGGTAAGTATTACATTTTTGAACGCTTTTTACATACTCGTAGGTTCATAAAAAAAAAAAAATATAACATTTTTTGGAGATTTATGTAACAACCTACCTAAGAATTATTTATTTATTATTTGCGCGATACGCTATTTGTGTATTTTATTAAATGCTAGATTTTTAAAGTTAAAATTCGATATAACATCCGATTTGCGCGTTATATATAACGGTAATGTTTAAATTTATTACAAATTCAAACGTTACGCAAGTTTAAAACTGTGACTAAGGGAACTTGTTTTTATCGACATGGTCTAGTCCGAACATTGATATGCCAACCCAAACCATACAGGACCCGCATCCAAAAAGAACGCGCGGTAGCGAAGGTTTGACGTCACATCGCTACATAACAGAGATTTTGCACGCTCATGTTGTGCCATACATCGGATTCACAGACGAAAGTTTTATTCTAAAGCAAATTGATGCTTGGTCGCACGCCGCTGCACAAGTTCAAGAATAATACTTCGAAGAGATTTTGATGCTTACTTTTAGTTGACCGACACTTAGCCCGGAGCTTAATCCCATTGAGCACGTGTGGAACAATTTAAAAGAGCCGTGCCTTCAAGATATCCTGCGCTCACAACAGTAGAGGCACTAAACAAACGCTGACTCAAGAATGAGACAATATTTCCCACATCGTTAAAAACCCTTATCAGTTTATGTGAAGCCTATTGGCAGCAGTAATAAGGGTACTTGGAGATAAAAGAAAAGTAAACCGTCATTCATAACTTTTTAATTCTGTAAAGTTAGTAAGTACCTAGTTATTAAACTTAAGCCAGTTTGCTCGGCTCAAAAGTTAATTTGAACGCTCGATAGATGACACTTTATCGGTATACACCGTGCTTACGACTCCTTATAGAATTATTTCACTTTCATGTTACCTACTTAATACAAGTGCCATTTTTTATGTCATTTTAATATTTTGAAGAAACGATACGAAAAGAAAAAAACGAAAACGCGGACATCGAATATAATTGATATTTCATTATATATCACATTTAATTATAATACGGTATAAATTAATTACAAAAGACCACATATTCCAAATTATCAATTTAGGACCTATCCTACCCAGTTGAAGTCACTTCTTTGTTTCTTAAGGCGGAGACTAGATGGCGAACGCAAACATTTGATGTTTTTCTCAGTTTTTAAAAAGATGTAATAGGCTTTTGGACATAATGGTTAAAGTTCCACTAAGTTAAATGTTCAATCTTTCATTCTATCATCGGAATTAATCACAAATAAAGGCCGTTTTGAGCTGTGTTAGCTCAGTGTCCGGGTGCTCTCCTTTAATTCAATATACTCGAGCAACCTGAGTTCGATCCCCGGTGCCGGCACCAATGAAGTTTTTAACTCTAAGTGCTGACTTATCATGTGCTCCGCGGTGAAGGAAAACATCGTGAGGAAACCTGCATATTTTCGAAATAATAACAAAAAAAATATATTTCGAAGATATCACATATTATCTTCCACAGTCCGCCAATCCGCAGTGGGGCCGCCGGTGGACTATGCCCTGATACCCTCTGTATAGAGGAGGCCTTTGCCCAGCAGTGGGACATGTATACGCTGTTACTTAAAGGCCGTTTAAGATAAATACAACACAAATATTATTTGAAGTGAAACTTCATTAACATCGTGATGTGAAATTCGATGAAACATACTTTACTTTAAAATAAATAATAGGATTAAGCCATTGTACAGTATAAGCATTGTTCGTACTGCATATGTGTGCGGCGTGAGAGAATGTATATTACTGAGCTAAAGCGCGAGAGCAAGCGGTGGTGTCTAAATTGCATTGTCTAATACTTGCTTATGCTGTTTTTGGGGTATCATTAAAAACCCGTTGGGGCACAAAGACAAATATATATGTAGTCATAATCCGACAAAAAGCACTAGGTACATAAGGTAAATAAGTTATCACAGAGTCCAAGGTGAAAGCCAGGTTATTCTTTACAGAAGATACGAAATGTCCAGGAACAAGTAGTGGTAAATAATAGAAAGGATTGTCTTTCTATTTACCACTAGTAACTCAATTCAACATTTTGTCGCGAACAAAGTGTAACGGAACGAACTATAATATTGTATTATACCTAAGCGCCATCTAGATTTCTTACACTTATTTTAAATTAATTGGTCCTACCCGTCACACCAGGTGGCAGTAACTTACATAGACTTACGATTAAACTTCGGAACGACTTTCCTGCCTGAGTCACCAGCTAATATATTACATAATAATATAACCGGTATTATTATACGTTCTTCGCAGATAACACTTGGTAATAATAATAATTTGACACGGACCTCATCAGTCCAGCAATAAGTAAAACATTTATTAAAATGGAATATTGTTTGTAACTATAACAGTCGAAATCATATCACCTACAACTACATTAAGAATATACCCTCAAATCTCTTTAATTTCTTTAGTTTTTTTATTAAGGATAGGTAATTCAATTTTTTTAATTTTAATTAAGAGTTTTATTCAATAGTATACGTTTTTAATAAAATAAAATAGCGATAACGAATTCTAAGTACCTTTTCAAAAATAAAGTAGTAAAAATATGATTGAATCCGCTTCTTCAGAAGAATGTAACAGAATAGTAATAATACGATACAACGTACAACCTGCCTGGTACGTACAATTTCTAAATCAATGATATGAGTATGACCCTGTCGCCCCACCTTCGCGACCGTTTCTTTATTTCAACCAACGCTCGCCAACGCGAAAGAGAGATACGATAGTCGTTCCTACTCTAATACACGTTAGGGGAACGATTTCGCCATTTTGTGTGCGCACGTCATCCAGTGCAATCATGTTTTGTGATATGATGAAAAATATTTAAGAGTATTGTATAAAGTGAAATGTTACCTTATTTGTTATTGTTAATGTGATTTAACGTTAGATTCGGTGTGTATTAATCCAAGACAAAAGGTAAATAACGTTTTTGTTTTTTTTTTTTTAAATCCTACAATTTAATTGGTTTTTATTAAAAAGGTGAGTTTTATGTTTTATTTTAAAATTTATAGCAACATTGGGCATGTTTTATAATCGGCGGCGGGTAAATTTTATTTTTAGATTTATTAAATATTTGTAATTGCCATATTTAAATTAAAAAATTGCCGATATTAATTGCCATATTGAAATAACCACCTAAGTAAGGTAATAGTTTTTTTATTGTTATAGCTTGCCTAAAATGATTTTGGATGTTGCTATCCATAAAAAAACCACTAGGGAAATGCTCTAAAAACATTTAAATACAGCGTTTTTGTAACATGCAGATAGCTACCTAACTGAAAATGTATATTTTTTGCCTGTTTATTTTTTTTATTTTGTTTGGACTTATTAAAATAAAACAAAAAAATTAAAGATATTTTATTATAAATGTGAAATTTTCGGATTGAATGTATCTATTAATAGCTGATAGAATGTTGTAAAAAGAAAACTTGCATTTATAACTATGACGGTAGGTAGAATTTTAGAAACAATTTATATTTGAGTTTGGTCATGCGCGGCAAAAAGGATGTTAATTAGAAATACATATATACATATTCATAAAAATGTAGACGATACTATTAAATTGTGTTGATAGTAACATCTAGCTCTTGTTCGAATTTTGTTCCATTTTTAACCGATGATATTAAGCAAAAAGAAAGTAAAATGAAATCTTTTTCACTTATGTTTTTTTTAAAACCAGCTTAAAACGATTTATGGATAGCAGGCATGCCATTTTTCTAAACAATAGAAAGTAAAGCCAGGATATTAACAATAAATATTTTATATTTTTAATTGTGAACAATCAGACACGTAATTTGCATTTGTTTAATGTATAATCTCTATCCTACAATCCTATGTCAAAGATATTTTTAGATTAAATCTTAATCAATTAAACATTTGACCATTTAAATTGTTGTCATATAACAGGCTCATTTATAAATACCCCACTTACTATGTGTGAACGTGAATAAACTAAACTCATAAAGTGTAAGTGTCACATTCTTACAGTTATTATTGTTTTATACCATATTGTCATATATAAAGGTAAAAATATAAATGTAATGAAAATTTTGTATTTGGAAAAATGTGGGTAAGATTTATAAACTTGCAACACTGTTAGTGGTGTGTCGCTAGGTAATCACGAGCGGAACGCTTCTTTGGCAGTTGTTGTTCGAGCGTGCGCGAGCTTGGTCTGATATGATGCCACATTGGATTAAATC